CGCAGCGATCTGAAGAAGCCGTGCCGTCCTTCGGTGCTGTGCGCTCGGCCGATAAACACGTCCGAACCCAAAGCTGAGAGATTGAGTGCGGTGGTCGAAGCGCACGGGCACGCTACCAGACTTGACAGCATCGACAATAAACTGCCTCGAAGCTCGAGCGGCTGCATAACTGGACCATGGCCTGGAGGTGCGAAATCTTGAGCGTGTTGTAGACTTGGCCGAGTTGCTGGAGCAGACGCATGACAATAATGTTCTGGAGCGGGCGAACGTACTGCTGCAGGCGGGCGTCGCTCTTGATGCGAGCAATGATGGGCTCGACCTTCTTGCTCCAGTGGAGCGGGTGGAACTCAAACTCGAGCCACTGGAGCAGGTCGCGCAGCTCTTGGGAAGCAAACTGCGCAATGCCGCGAACAGTCAAGTCCTCAATCAGGGACTCGCGGGACGGGGCGACCTGCAGACCAACGAGCGATGCCAGGCGGCGGGACTTTTCGACCACGTTCTCGTCAAGCGCGAGGTGCTCTTCAGCTTGGGTGCGAGCCTTGGCGATCGGAATGGCGAGGGTGGCGAGCACGGCAGCGTTGGCCATGGCGCGGCCTTCCTCTTGCGGGAGGTTTTTGCGGAAATCGCGCGAGAGCACAAACAGCAGGTGGTATGCGCTTGCGTGGAAGAGCAGGTTTTCCGACTTCCAAAACACCTGGGTCAGACGCTGGTAGTACAGCGCCTTGACCTGGGGCTTGGGCGCGCGCTTGGACAGACCAATGAGCGAGTGAATGTCCTCGATCGCCTTGAAGGCCTCCTGCCAGAGCTCGAGCTGCATGGCCGTGTTGAGCTGGTCAAAGCGGAGCTCAAGGTGGAGCTGGTGCGACTCGGGCTGCGTCAGGTTGACGGCGTGCAGGACGTGCGAGTACTTTTGGATAAAGTCCAAGTGGTCGCGCAAAAGCTGGCAGGTGCGACGGAACTCGGTCTTGCGGGCGTACTTGATGCAAAACAAGAAGGCATGGCGCGCCGTGTGGGCGTACAGACCCTCAAGCTTGGCGTTGTTGCGCAGAATGTCAAGCACAGTGCGGTAGGCATCCCACAGGAAGCGCAGCCAAGGCGCCAAGAGCTCGCGATCGGTGCGGTCCTTGGTGCCCTCGCCACTGACAAGCGAGAGCATGAGGCTTTCGGGGGTCTCTGCAGCCTCCAAGTCCTCAATGTCGGCGAGCTGCGCGGACGAGGCCGACTTTTCGCGGGCCTTCTCAGCCTCCGACACGGCAAGCGTGAGGAAGTGGCGGACGATGACCTCGAGCGACGCGAGGTTGATGTGCTGGCAGACCTGCTTGTAGACGTACAGCGCGTCCTTGATCTGCTTGCTCTTGCGCGTCTCGACGCACAGATCAATCAGCTTGATCATGATTTCGTCGAGCGTCTTGCTCCAGGCGTTCTTCTTGTTGTTGATGGCATCGGACAGGATTTCGATGGCGACCTGCTTCTTGCCGACGTCGATCAGCTCTGTTGGAGCCGAGGGAGGGAAGGGGGGGGGGAAGCGGGGGGAAGGGTTATGAGCGATGTCGACACACGAGTGAAATCGAAGTTTGACTCTGCTTGCGATCGAGGTTTGGTCCCACCATACAACGGCACATACGAGACTTGCATCACAATCAGAAGAGGGGGAAGAAGGGGGGGTGGGTTGAAGGGGGGGAAGGCGAGTTGTCATGTGGGACAATGTTCTCTCCATCAAAAAAAAAAAAAAAAAAAAAAGTCAAGGAAAAGTAACGCAAAGAGACCAACAATTTCTAGGGCGATTTTGTGAGTACCTGCGTATAAAACTCGCTCGTCCGCAAACGCCCCACTTTGCGCGTCGAAAACACCTCGACCGTCCATTGCACCCCCACCCTCATTGACGCCAATCGCATGCCGCATATCGTTTTGTGTCAGATTCCGCAGCGAGGGGAGGCGTCGCGGCGACGTGGACGCCACAGCGAGCGGTCAGACGGCGTGAGGCTGGGGAAAAATTCTTCAATGTTACCTTGAGCTCGAGTCAATGCCGAGTCAGGAGAGCCTCTTGACATTGTTCAGATTTGATATGAGTTAGAAAGAGTGAGAGTCAAAAACAATTGCAATGGTGATTTTGTTCCACCATTTTGACCCTGAACATTCGAATAAAACATTGCTTTGAATGTTCAGTTATATTATGTTAATGCTTGTCTGAGCGAATTCGAATCAAGCGTTTCACACTCTTTTTTTTTTTTTTTTCTTTTTTGGGGACGTTTTGGCTGGATTTCCGTTGAGACATACACGCGCGCTTTTTCCCTTCTTCGTTTTTGCGCCTTCTCGTCACTCGCCAAGGCACCGTTCCCCCCATTCGTTCGCTCACCCTATAGCCAGCCCTGAACAGCATGTCGCTTGTCGGATGGTCTGGAAAGGCCGTCGAGGCAGCCAAGAGCGCGCTTCGCTCCAACAACAAGGTCTTCTTGCCCAACTGGTACATGAAGGTCGTCAAGCCCGGCATCCCCGTCGCGCGAAACCAGGCAAGCTGATTGGAAAAGGGGAAGGGGAAGGAGAAGGAGTGGACAACGCTCGAGAGAGATCTGTCCTGCGCTGGCCTTTGAGACTGACCATCGTGCTTTTCCCTTGTCCTCCCTGGATCCTTGCCGCCTTGCTCGTGCTTGATTAGGCCGTCTTCCATGTCCCGAAGGAAATGACCAAGTTTGACATTCGCAACTACCTCGCATCAATCTACGGTTTGGACGTGCTCGCAGTCAACACGGTCAACGTGATGGGCAGCCTCTCGCGCATCCACGGCCGGTGGCTGCGCTTCAACAAGGGGTACAAGAAGGCCTATGTCACCCTCGGATCAGAGTTCTCATACCCGCTGGCGGAGCCGGAGGCAAAGGCCCGCCGGCCGCGCGAGGAGTACCAGCGAACGGTGCCGCACACGCTCATCGTGCCGACGCTCAGCGCAAACTCACGAACGCTGCGCAACGAGCCGCGCCTGGCCGCGCGCTTGAGACGCAAGGAGGGTGTGCAGAAGCTTGTTGACAGCCTCCAGCTTGCAGGACCTACGCCGGCGGCCCAAGAAGCGCTTGCTAAAATCCAGGAGGAAACGCAGCAGCTCGCTCGCGGCCGTGCTCGCCAGCGTGCTGATGTCAAGGCTGCCGCTGCCGCTGTGGTTGCCAAGCAGAAGGAGACGGCTGCCGCCGTCGCTCGTGCACGCAAGGCGCTCAAAGAAGGCAGCGCCATGCCCAAAGAGCGCGTTGACACAAAGTCTGCGTTTGCCAAGCAGCTGGCCCGAGGACGGATAGTGGATCGCGAGCAAACCGAGCCCGCGCCAGCTGCTGCAAATGCTACTGCTGCTGCTGCTCCATCAGGAGACGTTCCGCCACCACCCGTGGCATAGATGAAGGGGAACGTACTGTAATTGTTTTTTTATCTCTTGGTTCTGTTCGGGTTTTAATTCAACAAAATACAAACCGGCGTTTTTTTTTGTTTTGTTGTTGTTCCTCTATTCTCTGGATATCGTTTGATGAAGCTGACAACGTTTCCAACCCATACATTGAGCAAATTGTTGGCGAAGAAACCAAAAGCTGGATTTCAGAAATGCAGGTAGATTAATGACAAACTCGAATGGCAACAAACCAAAGGCAATCACAACGCAATCACATCAAAACAACGGGCCTTCTATTCAACACGTCACTTTGCGCACCCGGCTTTTTTTTTTCTCTCTCTCTTGTTTTTAAACAGCAATCGCAGTCCCGCGGCGAGCCCACCAGACGCCAGCTGCAACAAGGCCAAGAGCGAACGCGGCTTGGGAATATTTCGCCGAGGCAGAAGGTTCTGGTTGCGAAGGGCATGCAATCAAGCCTGCGCGAAGCATAACTTTTGCGCGCTCAATTGCAGCGACGGTTGCCTCGTACGAAGGATCCTCAGTCCGCACGCGCGACTCTAGGTTTGCCAAAAACTCGCCGAAAATTGCGTACAAATTGGGCATGTTGGTTGCACCCATCATGAGCTTGACGGCGAGAGCCTTGCGAATCTACGAAAGCATTGGAGCAAAACAGTGTTGGTTGACGCCAGATTCCAACCCACACGCCTCTCTCTCGCTCTCTCCAACTGCACGCACGCGCAACAACTTGCTACATTACCTTGACGCCCGTGCGAGTAAACACTTGGTGGTTGTCATAGACGAGCGCCAGAGTGGCAATGGCCATGACTTGGGGAATGGCGCAAAAATTAAAGACAGACTGATTGCGGAGGCTGGACATGTAGGCAAACACGTCGGGGATGTGCGCAAGCGCGTCGGTGACCAGGTCGTTCAAGCACGCCAGGGCAGCCGCCTTGTTCTCGGGCGCGCGGAAATCGTCGAGCTTGCCGTTGGGGGCATACTTGATCCACACGGCACGCGGCCAGAAAATGCGACCATCGATAATGTCTTCCAAGTAGTCGCGGATGATGTTTGTCTTTTGCAGGAAGAGGCCCATGGAGTTGGACAGGTGCTCGGACGTGCCAACCGCCTCCGACTCGAGCCCAGATGCAGCGAAAATCTTGGACAGGCCGATGCCGACGAGGCCAGCGACATAGTGGCAGTACTGCAAAAGGGACACAGAGAGTAGAGTTGAACGTGAGTGAGTGACGGTGGCCAGACAAACCCAAACAAACCAAAAAAAAAAACCCAAATCAAACACAAAAAATACAACCGGCTCACCTCGTTATAATCATCCTTGGTGTGCACTTGGGCGCCAAGGAACTTGCTCATGCCCAGACCCATGCGCTTTGTAATGTCAGCAATGACCTCCTGGTACGCGGGGCGGAGCTTGAGGAACTCTGCAATGACGACGTCAAAGTCCACCAGCAGATGGCGGTCGGCTTCATCAGGCCCGTTGCCATTGAACGTCCAGCCGGTCTTGTAGATGATTTCGTGGAAGTCAACCAACAGCGGGACTTTGACCTCGTTGGCAAGGGTCATGTCGTCCTCGATCGTGTCCAGTCCACGCAACACCAGGTAAAAAATGCAGATGGCCGGGCGCAGCTCGCCGTCCAGCGCCTGGATGACGGCAGCAAACGATCGGCTTGTTGCCTCCAGCAAACGGTAGCACTTTTGCATGGATTCTGGCAGAGCGGACTACAAGCACAATGATTTTTGGCACCAAAACGTTAGAGTTCATTCAGGCCACAATCGTTCAGCAATTGCAAGAGCTGTGTACTGAGCTGCTGTTTTGATCATTATTTGTTACCAGGTCGTTCTTGGGCATGATGGCTTGCTGGCCGCCAAGAAACTTGAACTTGCACAGTGCCCACAGTTCGTCGGGATGCAGAATGAGTGAGGCCATTGTTTTTGTGTAATCTGGCGCGAAGACCGCAAGTGACAAATCAAGAAGGATGAGTTTTATGGTCCAGCGTGTTGCTATTCTTTCGTTTTGCTAAATCATTCAGAGAGAAAGAAGAAAAGCGACACGAAACCGGGCAAGCGAGGAGGAGAGCAGGAGGGCGGGGAGGGAGTGTGATGAACGCATGTGTGTTTTGCATTCGCAGAGGATGATTGAAGCTTTGGCGTCTTCCCCCTTTTTCGATTCTCTTCCCCCTCCTTCTCACAGGTGGAGATCAGACACAGGAGTGAGTAGAAGGTTGTGTCACTGGTGTCGCAGGTGGAGGGAGGCGGACAGGGCGAACGCATCAGGTTGACGTGTGGTTGACGCTGTCGGCGTTTCTCTTGGCTGTTGTTTCAGCTCCCTACGATCGTGTCCACGCCTTCGACGTTTCACTGCCTTGCTCTCTCGACATGGTGTGTTGGAGAGTTTGCCGTCATTTGCAAATGCGAGCAACGTCTGCTCGTCTTTTGTGTCACTCGAGAGTGGTGGTGGGCTTTATCGTGTTTGAGCATTGAAGCGTTGGGCCGCCGCTCTTTTGTTCTCGCTCCAGCGCCACCGCCGCCTCCTCCTCTCCTCGCCTTCTCCTACTCCCAGCACAGATCCACACAAAACTCTGTCAAATAACCTTACATAAGAACAGGAAATTTTCAACAGCAGAAGAAAACGACTGATTTTCTTTATTTCGTTCCATGGTGTGATTTTCATGGGATTGAGCGTCCAATCGTATCGCTTATTCCTCACGCGCTTTTTTTTTCGGTTTTTTTGACTTTGGGGTTTGAACTTGAACGCCATCTGCTGCTTGTGCGCGGCTGCTGCTCGCTCCTGCCACGCTCTCTCTTGAAGAAAGAGTGTAGTCACCTGGGCGTTACTCCACAGCCGAGCAACAGCGCCGAACGCCAGGGAGAAAAGGACACACCAGGAGCTGGTTGTTTCGGAGGTAGTTTCAAAGAAACCGCTGGATTTCTCGCGTTTTTCTGTTCATCTCGCTGCGACCGCTGTTGTTCCATCATCCCCACTCTATTGTTTTTGAATTGTAATGTCGCTGGTCTCTGCAACGTGTCATCAATCTACTTGATCGTGGAATTTTTTTTCTTGTTTTTGTGCTTTTTGTCATTCTTCCTTTTTTTTTTTCTTCTGTTTTGCCGTTCGGTTTTTTTTTTTCTACTTTTCCATTGCAATTTCTTTTGTTGAGGTAACGAATCGCACACATTCATTTGACCTCGACATTTGGCTTCCAACTGTACCACAACACTTGCACCCGTTGCATTGGCCGCGAGAGAAAAAGCGACGTGTCCCAGCGTGCCATCACGCTCGCGTGGTAGAGCGATCTTTTTCGGTCGGCTCCTTTCAACCTCCCTGCTTTTTTTTTTAACATGAACACCATCCATTGGCTCCAGCAAACGGTATCGTTATTCCGTGTCGAGGTTCTTCTTTGTCTTTCAAAAAGGGGGGTGAGGTGGCGATTGGCGATGAGGCAAGGGACCAAGTCAGAAAAACAGCGGCAAAAAAAACCAAAAAACCCAAAAAAAAACTGAAGAAAAAAAAAACTCACGCCATTTCAATCCGTTTCAATGGGTCTCTGGTGACGCGCGCCCAAAAGTTTGTGCGTGTCACGGTGGTTTGTTCCGCCATTGAATACGCAAAGCCAGCCATCGATCGGTGTGCTTGCATGTTTGTTGAATTCTTGATGATGATTGGGAGCGCGGAAGAGGGAGCCGCAATCGCACGAACTCCTCATGTTGTCCGAAAACGCACTCTCAAACATGTCGCAACCTCGTGGATTGGACTCGCTGGTCCAAAGCGCTGTGGGTTGCGCGGGGTGCGCTCGTCCTACTTTGAAACAAAATTAAGCCGATGACAGTGGGACGGTTGAGTTGGATTTCTTGTTGGAATGGGTCGAAAACAAGAAGAAGAAAAAAAACGGTCCAAAACACAAAACGCCCAAAACATCCCACGCTCGCATCCCAGCGTAGAAAATGCGTTCCCGAGATAGTGCTCGCTCTGCGGAGCTTGTTGAAAACTCAGTACAAACGCAAAGCTATTTTGGAAGACAATGGGGGGGGTTTGGAGCAGAGGAACGGAGCTGGTGTTTGTACGCAAAGAGTTTAGAACTACTCGCTGAAAAAGGAAACTGCTGCCTGTTGAGAAGCCTTGTCCTTGAGCTGCTGGCGTGCATATGAGTCGTGATGAGAACTGCGATTGCAATCGCTATGATTTTATAACGCGTTCCGTCCTCGGTGCTCACCCCCTTCCCCCCCCCCTGCTCGAACTCTGAAAATGTATTTGGCAGGTTTGTCCTTTTCGTTCTTTTCCAAATCTAAATCAAGAAATGGCCGCCACATCCTCTTCTGCTTCTTCTGCCACGCCAACTTTTGAAGTCCGAGCACCACAGCCAGGAACCGCACTCGGCATGTTCCACAACCACATCAAGCGCGTGGCTTCGCGCCCGCTGGAGGCCCTCCTTGCCTTCGCCATCATCATTGCCATTGGCGCCGCGCCATTTTTCAACCAAAAGCTGCTCAGCAAGGGTGCGCGCCATGCCCCGTGGAGCTCGTTCAGCTCTTCGACGGGCGTTGTCAACATGACCTACTGGGAAGAGGTGAGTCCTTCGCTCTGACCTTTCCAAACAGAAACAAAAAAAAAAAAAAAAAAAAAAAACTCGCTTGCATGAACTCACAAAAAAACCAAAAAAAACTCAAAAACAACACTTTGCAGGGTGTCAAATCCTCGGAGGTCCTGCTCCTCATCACCTGCAATTGCATCACCATTCTGTACGTCTACTTTATGTACTCCAAGATGCGCAAGCTCGGCTCCAAGTACTGGATTGGTGAGTGGATGTTGTTCACTTGTTTGGAGGTTTGTGCTTTTTGAACAAACTCGAAAACTCAACATTTCATGCTGCTGCTGCTGCTGCTGCTGCTGCTGCTGCTGCTGCTGCTGCACAGGCTGCTTTGCCGTCATCACCGTCTTTAGCAGCTTCCTCGTGGCTGCTGGCCTCCTCCACTATGCTGGCATCCGCGCGTCGATTGTTCTCAGCGAGGCCATCCCGTTCCTCTTCTTTGTGATTGGTCTCGAAAGCGCTTACACGCTGGCGCGCCGCGTCTACCGCCTCGACATGCAAACCCCAGTGGATACTGCTTCGTCGAGCACGTCGAGCGCGGCTGCTTCGCCTGTGGCCAGCGTCGTCGCCAAGGCCGTTTCATCCCTGGCATACTCTTCCACTCTTGAATGTGCCGGAATGAGCGGCGTTCTGCTTGCCGGTACTCTGTCCGGTGTGCCACAAGCGCGCGACATTTGCCTGTACGGTGCCCTGGCAGTTGTGGTCAACTACATCTTGATGCACTCGTTCTACCCTGCCGCCCTTGCTGTGCATCTCAAGCGCCGTCACATCAAGCGCACCGCATCGACCACCAAGCCGACTGACGCTCTGGCCCAGCAGCCGCAAGCCACTGCCTCCCGCTCAGTCACCGCCTCCGTCACCCAAGCAGTCGAGCTCGAGCAGTGGATGGCTGCTGTTGACACGGATGCCGACCAAGCCACTGGCTCCAACGACCGCATGAAGCTGATTGTTGTTGTCGGCGTTATTCTCATGAATCTGCTCAACCCGGTCAGCCTGACTTCGACTCCCACTCAAGAAACTGCTCTCCCGACCAACCTGCAAGCAAGCGCCGTTCAGGCTGCTGCTGCTGCTGCTGCTACGACCGTTGCCGCTGCCCCTGCTTCGGCCGTTCCGTTGGATCCGTACACCGATGCCGTCACGTTTGTTCACGACATGTGCAATGAGCTGGCCTTCTTTGGCCCCATGCAACGTTCGTGCCTCACGGTCGGAGACGCCGTGCTCGATACCCTCTCGTACGGCGAGCCCGCGGCTCTGGCCATGGTCGTCACCCTCGTTCTGATTTGCATGATCAAGTACATTTTTGTGGACAAGGCTTATGAGATTCGCGCCAGCGCCGCAGCTCCAGTTCGTGCCGCGCCGCGCATCACGACCTCTGCGGTTGATGCCGTGCCGCTGTCCGCCTCCGACTCTGAGCCGACTCGCCCTGGGCGCTCGCTGTCCATGCTGAGCCTCGTCGGCGAAGACCTCAGTGAGGGCGCTCTGTCCGTCTCCCATTCGTCTCGCGCCTCGGCGCCGGACTCTCCCACCCTGGCGCCCGTCACGCTTGCTGCTCCCAAGCCCATCAAGCTCGAGCGTCACGTTGCAACGTTCTCGCTGGCCGGCGACGACACTGAGACTCCCGCCGCGTCTGCCTGCGTCTCGCCCGCTCCTGTCGAACGGATCTTCCCCACGCTCAAGTCGTCGAATGCCGTCACTGGTGTTGCCGTTGCTACCCAGACTCTTTCTGAGGCTGCGGTCGTGGCCGACCTCGTCCAAGGCAGCGTCCCTCGTGTACAGACTGAAGCATCGTCCTCGGCCGCCGCCACTCGCCCCGTCGACGAGTGCGCCAAGATTCTCGAAAACCCTGCTCTCGGCGCCGCTGCTCTGACCAATGCCGAAATCATCGCCTTGGTGGACGCCAAGAAGATTCAGCCCTACAACCTCGAGAAGGCCCTCGATACGTACGAACATGGCGTTGAGATTCGTCGCCTCCTCACCGCTCGCGAGTTGACCAAACAGTCGGCCCACGGCCTCGGCACCAACGGCAACACGGGCGTCACCCCCGCCGCCGCTGTTGCTGACATCCCGTTCACCAACTACGACTACACCAAGGTCCTCGGCCAGTGCTGCGAGAACGTTATCGGGTACATTCCCATCCCTGTCGGCACTGTCGGACCCCTCCTGCTGGACGGCGTCGAGTACACTGTTCCCATGGCCACCACAGAAGGCTGCCTCTTGGCCAGCACCCATCGCGGCTGCAAGGCCCTGCATATGGCAGGTGGTGTGAGCAGCGCACTGCTGAACGACGGCATGACTCGCGGCCCTGTGGTTCGCGCCACCTCCGTCCACGAAGCCGCCGACCTCAAGCAGTGGCTCGACTCGCCCGAAGGCTTTGCTGATTTCAAGTCCGCCTTTGACAGCACCAGTCGCTTTGCTCGCCTCCAGAATGTCCACATTGCCATCGCAGGCCGCCTTGTATACATTCGTGTGCGGACAACGACTGGCGACGCCATGGGCATGAACATGATTTCCAAGGGCACCGAAAAGGCGCTGGCTCGTCTCCAAGAGCACTACCCCACCATTGAGGTCGTCAGCTTGAGTGGCAACTACTGCACCGACAAAAAGCCCGCTGCCATCAACTGGATTCAGGGTCGCGGCAAGTCGGTCGTCTGCGAAGCCGTCATCTCTGGCGACATTGTCACCAAGATTCTCAAGACCAGCATCCCTGCTCTCGTGGACTTGAACATGTCCAAGAATTTGATTGGATCTGCCATGGCTGGCTCTATCGGTAGGCAGCTGTTTGATTGGTTTTTTTTTTCCTTTTTTGTTCTTGTTTTCGTTTTTTTAATTTTTTGCTCTTGTTATATGTCTTCCTTTATCGTTTGTTGACAAGCTGTCGAGTTGAGCGCAGCACTAACTCTCTTTGCTTCTGGTTTCTTTGGTAGGTGGATTCAACGCCCATGCTGCCAACATTGTCACTGCCATTTACATCGCTACGGGTCAAGACCCCGCCCAGAATGTTGAGAGCTCGAACTGCATGACATTGATGGAGAGGTGCAAACACTTGCCTTTGCGGTTGGGAGAGGGTGAAGCGAGATGTGCCAAGTACTCACTGTCGCCAAAATTTCGTTCTCGACAACAGCATCAACGGCGGCAAAGACCTGCTCATGACCTGCTCTATGCCCTCCATCGAAGTCGGAACCATTGGTGGCGGCACGCAACTGCCCGCACAGAGCGCGTGCTTGTCCATGTTGGGCGTGAAGGGTGCGCATCAGACCAATCCCGGCCAAAACGCACAGCAACTCGCAAGGGTCATTTGCGCGTCCGTTATGGCTGGCGAGCTGTCGCTCATGTCTGCTTTGGCTGCGGGTCACTTGGTCAAGAGCCACATGACGCACAACCGCTCCAGCCAGAACCTGCTGGACTCGTCCAGCCGATCAGGCAGTCTGGCCAATCTGACGCGCTCCGCTCCCGCCACCCCCGGATCGCTCGAAGGTGTCATGATTCTGCCTCGCGTCCAAGCGCCAGCTTCCGCGCCAATTGTTGGCAGCTGCATCAAGTCTTAGTTCTCACCCATTGTTATGTTCTTTCCCTCGAATGTTTTTCTTTTTCAACGTTAATGTGAATACGACCTATTGTTTAGTATCGAACACGGAAAAGTCTGTTTGTCGGTTTGCTCTATGTTCTCTCAAATCTAGTCTCCAACGGGCAAACTCCAAAAAAAAAAAAAAAAAAAAAAAAAAAAACAGTGAACGGCCATACTTTGGAGCAAATCGAAGCATTCGCCACCAAGGAGGCGTCAAAAAGGAGAGAAAAAAAAGCGGAGACAAAGCTCTAGAAGTACAAAAAACGCGATACCAAACAGTAAAGGCAAACAAACAACAAGGTCAACCGTACAAAGCACAACAACACACACACACACACACACAAAAAAAAAAGCGAAAACACTTGCTTGAATCGAAACAAACAAGAAAAAAGAATGGCAGAAGGAAAGCAAACCCAACGACCTCCTCGACAACGTTTTAAAGCTGCTCTAATACTCGAATTAGGGTAGTGAGGCCATGGATATACCCATCATCACGGCCGAGGCTGCCATTGTCGGACGCAACGATTGGAAAGACGTGGGCGAAATCAATCATTCGCACGTCAACTGCGGGTGGTGCTCCGGCCTGTGCGGCACCCTCGTAGGTCAGCAGCAGCGAACTTCCATAGAATCGGAACGACCGCTGGCGCTCAAACCAGGATAGAATGGCGCGAAGCTTGACAAGAATGAGTTGAAGCACCTCCCGTTGGATGGACGCACCGCCGTCCGTGCTGAGATAGGTTCGGCAGCCCTGGGCCACGGTGCTCTCGTCCAAGCCCAGGCCAAACTTTCGGCCATAGGGCTGGAAGACGTCTGTGGTGGCATTGTACACCTTCATGCCCACCACTCGAAATCCGAGTGTTTGCTGTGGCGGGTACTTTTCGCGTTCCTTGGCGATTTTTGACTCTGACGCATTCTCTCCCCATGTTTGAATGCCCATCTTGATGTCCGCAATGCACGGCTTCCGGAAGGACGCGGACGTATCTTCCATCTTGAGGTAGCTGTTGTTCCCCTTTGTGAGGTCCTCCACAGAGTCGTCGTCGGCCAGCACAACGCCGGCAAACTTGGGCACGAGCAAGCGCAACTCTTGAACGTCTTCGCTGCGTGGCAGCGGCATCTCGTGCGCAATGGCCGCAGTGCCTGGCGTCGACGGCGTCTTCAGGTCAAAGATGCGCTCGTAGAACAAGAGCTCGTGGAACGACCGCGGATCGCCCACCGGCAGCGGCTTGAAGACGAACGCCCCCTGCTGGAACAGCGGCTTCCCTTTGCCTTCCTCGGGCTTGTGGCCGCCGACCTGGTGGTCGCAGCGGACGAGGTGATCGACGTGCCCAGCCCGAGCAGTGGCTGCGAGCTCGCTGAGTTGCTGCTGTTGCCGATGCTGCTGCTGCTGCTCCTGCTGATGCTCAAGCGACTCGCCAAGGTGCTGCTGGTGATGTGTGTGACTGGGTTGGAGAGTCCCCGTGGACGACGAGCGCAGATCGCCGACCTGCATGACAAAACTCCAAAAATCGAAAAAAAGAAGAAAAAAAAAACCAGAGCAAAAGAGATTGAATCCTTTGAGAAGGGGATGATGAAAAGAGGGGGACTGGGCGAGGTTGTACAATCACTCGATCGGAAGTCATGATGGAAATGGAAATGGAGGAGGTGTCGTTGGGTGTTCGAGGCGGACCATAAGAGAGAGAGTGTGTGTGTGTGTGTGTGTGTGTGGACGGCGGTGGCTTGGCAATCCGGAGATCAAATTGCCAAGGCAGACAGCAAGCTCATCTCATAACACCAGTCGATATCTGCTTGAAATATGTTTTAGTATCATTTTATTGCAATGCAGGGCGTTTTGGGTCGTTTGGAAACGGATCAACGCGAGCGATTCGAATTGCCGTGGCAAATTTTGCCATAGACGCGGCACTAGAGGTCGCAGAAAGCTGAAATTTTGAGGGAATGATTGAACAGCAAGATTCCGTGTATTTTATATGTTTAGGAGGTGGTCGGAGCTCAAACCGTACAAAATGTTTAACTGACTGGCTTCATTTCTTTTCGATTGCAATCTGCAATCGCATTCGGCCTGCCGACAATTCTTGCATACTTTGAGCGTTTGCCTCTGTTCACCACCAACTGCTTTGTTAAGGATAAAAAAATTCAGAGAAGCCTTATTTCGGCGAGCTGGAGTTCACATCAGCGCTCAGCGCGAGAGTTCTTTGCTTTCTGTGCTTGCTTTCAAGTTTGCAGAGCTTCTTGCTGGGCATGTCGCATGGCGTTTGTCTGCAACATGCGTGGGCGTGTTTCGTTTATCGTGACAATGTGCCAACAGTAAATCTTGATCGGTTCAACCCTCGCGTCTGAGTAGCTTGTGCAACGCGGTTGGGCTTTTGTCGCTCCTTACGACAGTGTCTGTCCCACTCTCTGCCATGACAGCATGCTTATCAATTGTAATCACAAGCAACATGTCTTTTGTGGTGTACAGGTGAGCAATGCCTCAGCGTTCCGCTGTAAATCACGCTGCAGTTTACCTCAGGTCTTGACTTCAATTTCCAAGCCACTAAGACACGACACGAGTTTATTTTTTTTTTGGGTTTTTGAGTGGTAGGGCTAGACAAACAACACACGCGAGGCACAAGCAATGCGATAGGGCTGCAACAGGGAGGAGGAACTGCATCAACTGCATCAACTGCATCGACATCAACAACAATAACATCATCATCAACATCGACATCAACATCGACATCAACATCGACATCAACATCAACATCGACATCAACATCGACATCAACATCAACATCAACATCAACATCAACAACAACAACAACAACAACAACAACAACAACAACTGAATCGCCATCCATCGAGGCACAGGCAACGATCGGCCGCGGGCAAAAGAGACGTTCAGTTGGTGCACGAAGGCAAAGAGCGGTACAGAGCGAGCAAGACAGGCAACAGGAAGCACAAAGTGGTCTCAACTACTCCATGGAAGAGCCATCATCGACCACAGTCGACTCCAGACGCACACGCTTGGCAAGCTGGCGAGGAGCGTCGTCGTCGAACTCCTCTTCATGCTCGCTCGAGGTCACTGAGTTCGACGTGCTCGCTTCCAATGCAGCATGTGTGCGACGACGTTGAGTCGAAGCAGCAGCAGGAGCAGCAGCAGCAGCAGCAGCAGGAGCAGCAGCAGCAGCAGCAGCAGCAGCAGCAGCAGCAGCAGCAGCAGCAGCAGCAGCAGCAGCAGGAGCAAAGACCGACAGGGCGGCAGGAGCATGTTGCTGTTCAGTAGGAGCGTCAACCACAACGTCAGGCAGAACGACAGGAGCCTCGACAGGAGCATTGCCAGGAACCTCGACAGGAGCCTCGACAGGAGCCTCGACAGGAGCCTCGACAGGGGTCTCGACAGGAGCAGACTCAGCGGAGGTCGAGGAAGCTTCAAATAAACAAGCGGCCCAAGCGGGTATCTCGCGCTTGAACTCACTCTCAGGGAAGATGGCAAACGACAGCTCTGGGACAGACTCCGTCCTCGCGTCCCCAAACACATTGTTCTTGAACTCTTGACGGAGCACGTTCTTGATCTTTTCATCGTAGTGGTCTTGGGGCACGAGGTGTCCAGACGTCGTCGTCGTCGTCGTCGTCGTGAAGAAGAGCCCCTGAATCCGGATTGGGATCTGTGTCTCCTTCTGCCGCAGCATCAGCTGGAAGAGCGCAACGAACAGTGCCGAGCGAATCAGCAGCTGTCTCTGAGCAGCCTCGACTGACTTTGTAGTGCGCTTGATCTCCACCAGTTGCACCCCAACACGAGGCTGCACAGGGTCAAGTGCAAGTGGTGCCATGGCATCGCACTCCACTTCGCCCAAATGCAAATTGAGCGTCGGCTTCAAGCGAGTGTAGATGTTGACGGCAACCAGGAGACCGAGCTTGCCGCAGAGCATGTCGTGAAGCTTGGGAGACAATGGCGGCGGAAAGGCAGAGTTGGTAGCCTTGTTGCACATGTCCTGGAACTCTGTTGCAGCATCGTGAAGCAGCTTTCCAAAAACGGCGGCCTGGCTGTCGCAATTGTCAAAGTCAAGCCAAATGGTGCGCATCTTTGCCTCGAGGGGTTGATCCACGACGGCAGGGTTGCCCAGGACGGCAGGTTTGTCCCCGCGGGCAGGTTTACCCACGAGGTTTGGGAACGGCGTGCCAGCGACTACGACAGTGCTCTTGATGTAGGCCCACTCTGTATCAGAACGAGAGCGTCCTTTTCTCTCCGAATCCTGGAACATCACGTTCGCATTGGTCTCGGCATTCTCGAACAGAGCTGCAAGTGCCTCTTGATTCTTTGCAGGCAACTGCTCGACCACTGAGTTGACTTCGTACATGAAACGCAGAAAGTCGCCAGAGTCCTGTAACAGGTTCAATAGTGAAGAATACGCAAGTAATGTTCAGCTGCACTGTGGGAACGACGATCGCCCTCACAACTTTCAACGTGTTGTGTTGACTTACGTAGAGCCGCTTGGCGATCTTGCGGGTGTGGCTCTGGACGTCCTTGAGCTCAAACAGGCTTGCACTCTGGGCATTCTGGTGAAACCAGCGATCAAAAGACGAAGGAATGACGATGAGTTGCCAAGAACGCACGAACACCAACTGCAGCAGGCTATTCCTGGTAGTCTTACCGTTTTCAGAAGTGCGACACCGGCTTTGAGCGCCTTCTCGAGTGAAGCGAACTTCATGTTGTACACGAGCTGCGAGTTCCGCGTCAGCACCTCAAAGTGGGCTTCAGTCATCGCACCCTGCAGTATCTGCACATCTTTTACGTCTTTCTGCACGTCTTTGATTTGCGCTGTAAGGCGTTCCTCCATGGCGTCCACTTTCTGTGAAGAGCGATTCTCCATGTCGTCCACTTTCTGTGAAAAGCGATTCTCCACGGCGCCCATTTCCTCCCGCAATTGACCAATCGCTTCCAGAATCCTGTATGATGCGTAGACAGAACAGAGTTTGTGACACATTCGAAGCATTTTGTGCGATTAGTCGCTTGTTCTCAAACACTCATCACCAACCAACTGCCGCTTGCCAACGAAATAACGAAATGACGGATAAACACCAACTTCCAACCTCGTCCCGTCCTCTCCCTCTGCCCCTCCTTCCCCTCCCCCCCCAAAAAAAAAACCAAAAAAGGAACAAAAAACACAATCAAAATCAAAATGGTCAACAGAGCAACGGGATTACTGGAAGGAAAGCAGAAAACAAACAACAAGGAGAAAAACAAAAAGGAAAAAACAAAAAGTAAAAAAAAAAAAAAAAAACAAAAAAACAATCAAGAAAACAAAGGCGAAGCCCAAGAGCGCATCGCACAACCCTTGCGCCATAGCGACACCCAACAACATCAATCAGCAACACGCCATTCTGTCATGGACAGACAGAGAAGATCGTACATCCACGCATCTCACCACTGCATCATTGGGGTTTCATCCCATTTCCAGCATCTCTTTTCGCCATCCCCTCCTGCCGACTGTCGATTCCAACGGCGAGCAAGAACCATTAACAATCGCAACGCAATGCCAATGACACTTGATCAACGCATTGGAGTCTCGTCTCGACGTCTCCCAGGAGGCGTGGGTTGAGAAAAAAAAACCGCGAAAAGATATGGCGGGAAATGAGTTGCAGATGAACGCGCGTTGAATGCGAGGAACTTGCAGTTGTGTGTACGACTCGAGTTCGTCGTCGCAGTCAGTCCACTGGTCCTCGTCGTCATCTTCAGTGCATTGTGCCTCGCTATCATCAACAGTAGCGGCGTCGTCGTGACAGGCAAGCTTGACGTCTTGACAGGCAAGCTCGAACGACGAATCGAGACTGCTGCTGCTGTCCTTCGAGTCGGCATTCGTCGTCGGCTCTGACGAAGAGCTGGAGAATGTGTCATCCAACTGTGTCAAGTTCATGTAAGATTTTCATTGTAGAACGGTTCTCTGCAAGATAACATGATGACAGCGATGGGTTCAAGTTTTGCTTTACCGAGTGGGCCATCCAGGGCATGTCGAGAGGCAGAGGCTTCACTGCGTCCTCAGCCAGATGATGGAACCGCGTGTCCGGATGGTGTGTCATCTGCTCAGAAGCAGGGAGAGGCGATAGGGTGGTGGTCATTCGAGCTGTCGACGGGCAATGGATGGAAAATGGTGAAAACACAGCTTTTTCTCGCGCCAACGTGCTGAGAAGAGCACCCAAAGATGATCAAACAAGAAAAATACAAAAAAGACTAACTCTGATATTCAAAATGTCAGTTGCTTTGTTTGGATTCATAATTCCATTCCGTACTATGGAGTTACTGTCATGGATTGATGTGTATCTGTGTTCACTCGTCGCTTTGGAAAAGTGAAGTCTCTTGTTTCTCTATTATTACTCTCATCATCAACCCATTCCTCGTATCTTCGTGGAACGATCTCTGGTCATAACAGTTACTTGGACACGATTTTACGATTTTGTATGCCTCCAGGTGAAACCAACAAAAACATTGGCAAAAATTGGTGCAACGTGATGGTAAAGCTGAGCAAGCCATGACGCGTATTCCTCCTTCCCCAACAAATCTCCGAGCGCAAAAGCCTCCATGTCACTGCTGCTTCCTTTTACACTCTTTGCGCTGCTGCGCTCTGGTTGCCATTTGTGTGTGTGTGTGTGTGTGTGTGGGGCGAGGTGTGATTCTTGAGCGCTTCTTACAAATTTCAATTTCAGTAAAATCTGCTCCTTTCCAGTCCGCCTCTCCAGCTCTTCGCCATCTCGATCTCATCTCTTTCGTTATCTCTGTCATTCTCTTGTGACGCAGCACCACCATTTCTTTCGGCTCTTTCCATTTCCAAATCCGAAAACGAACTGAATTTCAGAAATCAGTCCTTTTTTTTTATTTATCGCCCGCTTCACTTTTCGCCCACTCACTTCCAGCACCCACAACACCCCTCCCCTCCCTTCCCCTCCCCTCCCCTCCCCCCGCCTTCCTTTTGCAATGCTGCGCCTGACTCTGTCTGCACTGGGCCGCGTTGCCTCTGCCTCGTCTGCCTCATCAGCCTCATCCACCTGCAGCACGCCACGCGCAATGACTTGTGCCATCCGTCATTACAGCTCACGGCCGATGGAGCCGCCGACAACCGGTGCGTCCAACCCGATCACCCCCTCGCTCACTCTCGCTCTCTCCATCATCACTTCACCCATTGCATTGCGTATGAGAGTTCTCTCTCTCTCTCTCTCTCTCCTTCGTCTCACTCTCTGCCCTTCCCTTCCCTGAACCCTCACCACATCCGAACGGAACAGCGCTCGCGAAACGTGATTTTTGCTTTTCGGCCTTTTTTTTTTTTTTTTTTTTTTTTTTTTTTTTTTTTTTTTTTTTTTTTTTTTGATTTGGGCTTCCTGGTGTTGCAACGGGTGATTTGACTGCGTAGCGATCTGTGGGGACGGTTGGTTGTGTGTCGACGTTTGCTCATGATGATGGCATTGCTCGTCGAGTGCACAACGCTTGTGAGAGAGAGCGGCTGCCGTTGGGTTGAAATGCGCCCTTGACGGCTGCCAATGGTTTGCCTGCATGATGGACAGCACCGGCTTTGCTAGACTAGATCATCATCTAGTGATAGTGGTGGTAGTGGTGGGAGCGAGAGAGAGACAGAGACCGAGACGCTCATCACAGACACAACAGGCGGAACTCACCTTTGCTTCAATTTCATGATTTGTGTGGCTGGCTTGCGCAGGGTCACCCGGAACAAAACGGACCATCATTGATCTCAAGAAAATGCACAAGCAGAACGAACCCATCGCAATGGTCACTGCATACGATTATCCGTCCGCACTGATGGCTGAAATGGCCGGAATGGACATGATTCTTGTCGGCGATTCCCTGGCCATGGTCGCGCTTGGCTACGACAGTACCACCTCGATCACAATGGATGTACGTCCCGCCAACATCGTTGCAGTGATTGTCCAGTGTCCTGGTTGGTTGAGCCGGATGACCTGACACTGACTTTTTCTTTTGCCTCGCTCGGCTTACAATTTCCAGGAAATGTTGCACCACTGCCGAGCAGTTTCGCGAGGCGCAAAAAAGCCCTTCCTGGTCGGCGACATGCCCTTTGGCAGCTACCAGTCTTCCGCCGATAAAGCCGTTGAAAATGCGACCCGGTTCATCAAGGAGGGCAACATGGAGGTTTGTGGTTTTTTTTTATCGTTCGTTGTTGGGCTTTGTTGGTGCTTCATCCACCACTGACACGATTGCTCCACTCTCGCGCACCAGTCGGTCAAGCTCGAAGGCGGTGTTGAGATGGCAGACGTTGCCCGCCGCATCGTTCGTGCCGGCATTCCAGTTCTGGGCCACATTGGGTTGACACCACAAAGCGCCACGGCCCTGGGTGGGTTTCGCGTTCAAGGAAAGACCGCCGAAGCAGTAAGTGATGCTTTGGTTCTGGCGGTTAAAACATGGCGTGCTGTCAGTTTTGTTTTTTTTTTTCCAACCCTGATTTGTTGTTTTTTCAAAACAGGCGGCCCAACTGCTCGAGGACGCTCAAGCGCTCGAAGATGCCGGCTGCTACGCCATTGTGGTCGAAGCTGTTCCTGACAAGGTTGCCGAGTACATTACGCAGCAGATTTCCGTGCCTACGATTGGCATTGGCGCTGGTCCGCAAACCTCTGGCCAAGTCCTCGTGTACCTCGACATGCTTGGAATTTTCGATCGCTTTGTGCCAAAGTAAGCCCGTCCCAAAACCCGCAAAACTCGCTCGTTGTCCCTTTTTGTTTTTTGTTCATTGTCCATGTCATGCTGCTCTCCTTGTTTCACGCCCCACCGCAGGTTTTGCAAGCAGTACGCCAAAATGGCGCCAGAAATCATCTCTGCATTGCAGAACTACACCAAAGAGGTGAAGGCGCGCTCCTTCCCTGCGCCAGCCAATTGCTACCCAATCAATGACGAGCAATGGAACCTGTTCCTCAAGCGTGTTCAACACCAACACCAGCAGCAACAGCAACCGCATCAACCTGGCTCGGCTGCTCCCATCGTGGATGCTGACTCCAAGAAGCCCGTCAACGTTCACGAGATCGATCCAGCCGCCCTGCAGGCCCTGTTTTCCTCAAAGTCTGTCAAGCAGCAACTCATCACGACGTACGGCGGCCAACAGCGCATCATTAGTCGCGGTTATTCGTCGTTGGCCCGCACCTCTGCTGTACGTCTGTGAGACCCCCCCTTTTTTTTCGTTTCCTTTTTCTCGACCCTCTCTCTTCCAGCAACCATCCCGTTCGTACATTCAAGCCAATTCGCCTGTCATTTGTTCATGTCCTATCTCTCCGCACACGTTCTGTAATCTTTCACTGCCGTCGAGCGTGTTGCTAAACACGCAAACCTTGTTGGTTTCCCCTTTGGTTTTCTTCCTCTTCTTCTTCTTCCTCTTCTTCTTCTTGCTCTCCGTTCTCGTCGTTGTTTACGCGACCTTGACGTTGATCTCGCTTCGGCGCCATGTCTCTTTGATTCAACCCCCCCCCTTTCTCTCCCGCCTTCTAGAGCAGCACCGCTACTGCCGCGCCCGCGACTCCCCGCAACATTGTCGTCCTCGGAGCAGGCGCAATGGGTCTGGTGATGACTACCTTGCTCGCCGCATCTCCCCAGCTGACTGTTTGGCTGGCGGACGCGTGGAAGCCAGTTGTTGACGCTGTTCAAGCTCGGGGCGTCCAGCTGCAAGGCGAGCGTGTTGCTCAAACGTTCAAGGCCGCAACTGCGCAAGCCGAGAACGCTGCAGTGCTCGCTGCTTCCTCGATCCGTGCTCTTCATGTGCCCGCGCTTGCGGGGTCTGTGGTCGATCCTGTGTCGATTGCCGCACTGCAAGCGTTGCCATCCTCCATCGACGCTCTGGTCGTTCTTGTCAAGTCACAGCACACGCAAGCCGCTGCCCGTGTCATCCACCATGTGCTCCAACAGCGCTCCACAAAGCACGCTGTCGTGCTCTCGTTGCAAAACGGACTTGGGCACACCGAAACCCTCGCGTCCACCTTGGCTTATTCGCCCAACGCGTCTGCATCACGTTCCTCAACTGACGCTTTCGCCTCGACCATTGTTCATGGAGTTGTCTGGAGTGGAGCGCGCGTGACTGACCACGGTGTCGTGCAAGTCACGGCGGGGCGTCCCGATTTGACACTGCCACTTTCCTCGAGCGAGCAGCCATCAAACCATCAAGAAATCCTTGCTTTTCTGGCAGATGCATTGCGGTACGGCGGCGCTACCGTTTCGAATGTCCCTGCCCAGGCTGCCACGTCGCTGACTTGGCAAAAAACGATGGTCAACGCTGTCATCAACCCTCTCACGGCACTGCTGCGCGTCCCAAACGGACAGCTGGCCGCGGTGGAAGAGCTGAGGGCTGCCGCGCGTGACATTGCCGACGAGTGCGCAGCGATTGCAAACGCCAGCGGCGTTGCCCCGACTCCCGCTTTCGCCGACACGCAATCGCCGCACTTGTGGTCATCGGCCATCATTTTCCAGGCAGCCATGCAGGTGGCCGAGCGCACGGCAACAAACCGATCCTCCATGCTGACAGATGTCGAGCGAAACCAGGTCACGGAAGTTGATTTCATCAACGGCGCTTTGGCGCGCGCTGCGACAAAGCATCACGTCCGCTCGCCCCTCAATTCCCTCTTGACGCTGCTGGTCAATCGACAACAGTCATAAGACCGTTTAAAATGGGGGCCTTCTTGTCGATTGATTCATGTTCGCTTGGCCAGGGCAACGTTTCTGCAAATCCACGTCGGAGCGGAGCGGAGCGGATCAAAAACAACAAAACAAAAAAAGCCCCGCTCTGGGTCTGACAAAAGCTCCTGTCCTCCTCATCCACACCTTTTTTTAATTGCCACTGTTCATATTCTTGTATCTATTCAACACACATCTCGGCTTCGCCTCAATCAATACGCACACTTGTCATCCAGTAGTGCTCAAACCTTTCCTGCTTTAAATTCCGAATCCGAAAATCAACACAAAGCTCAGTCTTCAATTGTAAATCGGTGCCACACAAACAAAAAGTGCAAATACAAAAAACAAGCAATCTAACCGACTTTTGTCTCCTCCACTCCCCTCTCTTTGTCACCTTTCTCAGAATTCCCCACGCTGCGAATGTCGAACGGATCCACTTCTGCCGCCGCTGCCTCTGCCGCGTCCACGATGGACATTAACGACACTGCTGCCATTCGAGCCACGCACTATGCGCACTTTGAGCCTGGGATGCACCGGATGAACCACGGCTCGTTCGGCGCCCCGCCAAAGTGTGTCATCGATGCTCAGCTCGAGGGGTACATGCGCTTCCTGGCCCAGCCCGACCGCATGTACTTTGATGAGCTCATTGAAGGCCAAGGTCTTGACGCCGTGTGGTACGCAACGCAACGCAATGCAACGCAGTCGAATGCAGCGTCGGAGATGGGCGTTGGCAATAGAAACTTGAACTCACTCGTCACTCGTCAACTCTCTCTCGAACTGGTTCTCACATGGTCGAAATTGGTCGATTCTCTTCGGGCCTCAGCACCGATATCGCGCGCTTGATCAACTACCCAAACCACAAGGCAATCACGCTGGTGGAGAACGCGACGACTGCGGCAGTGATTGTCGCCGAATCCATCGCTCGCAAGTTCACCGCCGGCGTGTATGCCCGAGGCGACGCCATTCTGCTCTTCGATACGACGTACAACGCCGTCAAGAACATCTTCATTGATATCGTGGAGCGCGTGGGCGGTCGCTTGGTCATTCAGCCCAATCCATTCCCGATTGCGAGCGACGACGATCTTCTCCGCGCCCTGGACGCCGGTCTGGATGCGTGTGGCTCGAGCAAGGTGCGTCTGGTGGCTCTCGACCACATTACGTCCGTTCCCGCGTATTTGGTCCCGGTCACGACAATGATTGCGCGCTGCCGTGCTCGCGGTGTCGACCAGATTTTCGTCGACGGTGCGCATGCCGTCGGCAACTGTCCCTCGCTGGATTTGGAGGCCATGGATGCTGATTTCTATTGCTCCAACCTGCACAAGTGGATGTTTGCACCACCTGGCGCAGCCTTCTTTTTTGCCAAGCCTTCGCTGCAAGCGTCGCTCCACCACCCCATCGTTTCACACAACTACAAGCTTGGGCTTCCCCGGGAGAGCAGCTGGACGGGTACGCGCGACTACAGCGCGTATTTGGCAGTGGCTCGCGCGATTCAGTTCTACCTGTCGTGGAATAAAGACGTGGAGAACGCAACGCAGTCTCCGTTCGCCAACATGGCCATCTATCGACGGAATAACGCGATGGCAGTGCGTGCTGCCCAAATGCTGGCAGCTGCGTTTGGAACCCAGCTGCCCACCCCGATCTCCATGATGACGAGCTTGGCGATGGTCGAACTGCCACCTGCGCTGGGATTGCTCGACAATGCAGCTGCTCACCGCTTGCGTTGCGACCTTCGCGACCGGCACAAGATTGAGCTTATTGTCTGGGTCAACGAGGCTGCTACGCCGCGTCGCTCCTTTATTCGACTGAGTGCTCAAATCTACAACGACTGGGCAGAGTATGAGCTTCTTCGTGATGTTGTTCTTGGCCTGATTGCCAAGTGAGTGAGTGTTTTTGTTGGAAAGTTCAAGAGAGGATAGATCTACTACATTCAATGGAAAGCTAGGCGAGATGTACCAGCAACACTCCATCACATTTGCCTTTTTTTTTTTTTTTTTTTGGTTTTTGGTTGTGTCTTCGTTTGTTATTCACAAGACTGCAACCAGCATGACAACGAAGCAGTGACATGCCAGGCACTTTCAATCAACACCACGACGGCCTAGCATTCGTCTACATCAGTCGTTGGAGCTCTGCGGCAGACCGAAGAAGCTGCTCGCGTCCTTGAAGCTTGGGTTGGCCGATGTAAGCCGCTTTGTCCTTCAAATCGGCACGCAAATCATCCGTCAACTCTGGCAGCGGAACCTCGTAGAGACGCTGGTGCACGCGACCGAGAAGCTGTGCAAACTCCGACTCGGGCATCATCATGGAGAAACGCACAAAGTTGCTGCTTGCTCCATACGGAATTCCCTGTCCAAAGAAACCCCCAACAAGCCAACTTGTGAGCGCAAAATCCGCTCACCCTACTCTACGCTTTTCAATGCCTGCTCGTAGCACTTTTCACTCACCGAGTTTCCCAGCAGGGCAACCTGCTCAAACAAGGCATAGCAGTCATAGTTGGGCGGGCACTGGATCCACGCAAAGGCGCCGCCTTGCAGGCGATTGATGAAAGTGTACTGGTGCGCAGAGACGTTGCTCTCAAACACACTGGCCAAGCTCGTAAAGTGCGCAGTCATACGGCTCTGCGCGAAAGAAAAGTACGGGTTGAGAGTTGCCCCAGCGTCCACAGCTGGTGCCGGCGCCTCCGCGGCGAAAGAGGAGACGAGTGATTGAATAATGTCCAGCAGACGCAACTGAGTGTCAATGCTGACGCCAATTGTGGAGAAACTGAGGTACTCGCGCATGATTGCCGCGATGGTGGCGTTTTTGACGAGAGCGTAGCCAAAGCGCGAGCCTGCGTGGCCCCTGCGTCAAAACGGAAGACAGGTACATGTTCCATGTTGTGAGTGCATGAAATCGCCCTCCCAAGCAAGCGCGAGCAGCTGTCAAAGAAGCTGGACCGCCTTACGTCATTTTGGAAGCGCTGAAAAGCATAATGTCCTTGTCCAGCGGCACAAACGAAGACTCGTTCTGGTAATGAGGCCAATAGTACACGCAATCATAGATGACTCGGGTCGGATCCGACACGAGGGGACGACGCAATGTTCCATCCGGGTTGTCTGTTGCAAAAAAGGGTTCACCAACAGCGTTAAAGTTAGACTTGAGGCAACCATTATGCATCACGGACACACAACATGTCTGCCTGGTGTTACTTGGATAGGTCAGAATCTCGACTGTCGACAAAGCAGCCGGATCGGCAAGGGGATTCCAGGCGGCAGTGGCAACACCGCCCGCAACGGGCGCAAAGGTGGACAGGACTTGATTGGGGTAGGACGCATAGTACGGAGCCTGCGCAAACACTTGCAACTGACCACCTGCACTGGCGTGGAGAGAAGTCATGGCGTACAACGCGGCCATCATTGCCTGGGTGGAGCCGTACGTCGGGACGATCGTGTAATTCTCTGCATTCACGTTTCCGACAAGCCGATGCAAACTGCGAATCGCGTCAGCCAGAGGCTTGATTGGTTGTTCCGAGTTGAGCAGCTGGTACGGTGTGCGATAGTCTGCGGGAACCGCGTCGCAGGGTAGACCGGTCTGCAAAATTTCCGGTGAAATTTTCCGGTGAGCGACCAAATGCATGGAAGTGGCGCTTTTTTTTTTTCTTGCTTACCGATGCCCAGTACTCACGGAACAGCACTGGCTGACCGGCACCCGAGTCCACTGGACAAGCGCTTGATGCATTGAACGACTTGCAGTTGGGACCATAGAAGCACGCAAAGCAATCTGAAGCACGTCAAAAGTGAGAGCAGCAAGTTTCCCCCTCCCCAAAGCTTCCCCGGCGCCCCTTGAGGATTCTTGCCTGAGCCGTCGTAGCCTTGACATGATCCAAGCAAGGGATCCCACCATCCGCCCTAGCAATACAACGAACATTCAGCATGATCAGAATGGATTGAATTTGTGCCACCCTCCCCCAGCTTTCGGCTTTCGGCTTTTGTGGCATACGGGCATGCACGGGTCGACTTTGGGGCGACTGTCGCAGAGGTTGACTTGAGCATTGGCCGCTTGGATGGCGCCGCCACTCGCAAGGAGGAGCAGCAGCGTCAGCGGGATCAGCAGCGGGAACAGCTGGGCTTGCATTGGGATTGAAAGAGACTGAGGCTTCTCTGAGCTAAGCTCTTCCAAAAGCAAAATTTCGTGATAGATTCATCGCAAGTTGGTGTACCAAAGTGCTTATTTACTCATGACCTCGGGAGCGTTGCGTTCAAACTCTCATCTCAGTCGGCTTGTCGCTTCATTTCGCTCTTCGCCTCGTTGAGCTCTTCCAACACCAATGCATCATCACTAAGCGCGCAGATGAATGCAGCAAAGGCACTGACTCTCCACATCCGGAATACTCATTTACTAGTCTTCTTCTTACAGTCCCAGCCTTTCAAAATGACCACAGGAGAGCCAAACTCAGCCACCGAGCTGCCGTCCACTACTCCCAGCGCAGCACCAGCACCAGCACCAGCGGCAGCAGCAGCAGAGGCCCCATCGCTGCTTGTTCTGTACGGCAGCCAGAGCGGCAATGCCGAGTCCATTGCTCGCGACAAGATTCACGCGGCGGCGCTTGAGCGTGGCTATGCGAACGCACGTGTGTTTGGCCTGGAATCGACCGAGAAGGAGGTGCGACAACCCACCCACCAGCCAAAACGTCGTCCCTGCACTTGTAGTTGGCTCGTGTTGGTTGCTGCTTGATGGGATGGTGGCGGGTGGTGGTGGTGGTGGTTGGTGGAAAGCGCTTCTCAACTGTGCCCTTAACTTGCTGCGAACGTCACCACTCACTCGACTGTGTGTGTGTGTGTGTGTTTGTTACTCTTGGCTTGCTTCTGTACGATGACGACCCGGGGGGGGGGACAGTTCTTTATCGAGAAGGAGCGCCTGGTCGTGTTTGTGATTGCAACGCACTATGAAGGCGAGCCGACAGACAACTCGGCCAAGTTCTGGCGCGGTCTGAAGCGAACGGCTCTGACATCACAGCACCTGGCAAAGCTCCGGTTTGCAGTGCTTGGGCTGGGAGATACCAACTACTCGACTTTTTGCAACATGGGCAAAATGCTCGACAAGCGACTGGGCGAGCTCGGTGCAAAGTCCTTCCACCCTCTTGGCAAGGCCGACGACGCTGTCGGGTAGGGTCACGGTTGTTGTTTTTGGCTTGATGTGTTGTGGGTTTTGGAAAGTGGGTCAACATGTATCGAGTGACTTGTTGGCTCACTGGTGGTGCGGGTTTGGCAGGTTGCAACTCGTCGTTGAGCCTTGGACGGAAAAGCTTTGGCCAGCACTCGCCGCCGTTGTCAGCGAAATGGCTGGATCTACTGGCTCGACTTCTGCCACACTAGCGCAGAATTCGTCGTCGTCGTCTTCGGCAGACGCTCCTTCTGTTGCCGCTGACAAAAGCAGTCCTTCCGCAGCTGCTCCTGCTCAACCATCTGTCGGTTCTTCTGCACCTGTTGTTGCTGCTGATGCTCCAGTCGTGCCAGCTGATCCAGCAGGCCTTCCGCGACTCCCAACCGCATCCATCACCCTCGCGCTGCGCACAGAACCAGCAGTCGACCTGCTGACGCGCCTGAACGGCCGAGACCTGCAATTGGTTGGACTCAAATCCGTCTCGAGGTTGACGAGCCTCACGAGCAACTCTGATCGCACGGTGCTGCAAGCAGTCGTTGACATTACAAACACGGCGCTCAGTGACGGGCGCTATTCGCCCGGTGATGCGTTTGGCGTTTTTTGCCCGAACGACACTGCTCGGACGCACGAGTTGCTTTCCCATCTTGGCGCAAAGTTTGACCAGTCGGTCGATTTGACCCCAGCCGGCATGGCCAAAGGTACAGTTTTGCATCACCGTAGGCAACCTTGATGACTTGGACTTTGTGATTTTTTTGATTTCATTTTTCACGTTCATGTTCATCTCGATGCAACAGAGCTTCCAGTGCATATTCCAGCCCAAGCCACTCTTGGCCACTTGTTTTCGTGGTGCATTGACGTTCGCTCGGCGCCTAAAAAGACCTTTTTGCGCACTTTGGCCGAATATGCAACCAACCCGCTCGAGCGTCACCGCATCTTGACCTACTGCAGCCGAGAGGGCTCGGCAATCTACGAAACAGATATCCGCACCCCTTGTTTGGATTTGCTTGATGTGCTCCGAAGCTTCCCAAGCTGCCGCCCTCCGGTCGAGAGGATTATTGAGGCACTCCCGCCGCTTCAGCCTCGCTACTACTCTGCGGCCAGCGCTCCTCTCGCGCACCCGAACGAACTTCACTTTGCCTTCACTGTTGCGTCGTTTTCACCCGTCAACGGTGGTCTCTCTGCGTCGCGCTCCACCCACGGCTTGGCGACGCATTGGTTTGAGCAGCAGATGCTTTCCAACCTGCCCGCAGACCAGTTGCCACGCGTCCCGCTGTTTGTGCGTCCAGTCAACGACTTTCATCCTCCGACAGACGTCAGCAAGCCCCTGATCATGGTAGGCCCAGGGACGGGTGTTGCGCCGTTTATCGGGTTTCTGCACGAGCGACGCGTGCAGCGCGAACGGTTCCTTGCGACGCTGTCGGCCGAGAGTGACGCGGACAAGGCTGCTGCTCTCGAGCGCGCTTTTGGCCGCACTACCCTGTTCTTTGGGTGCCGCAACCAAAAGCACGACTTTTTGTACGAAGAGCAGCTGCGTCAGCTGGTTGCCTGTGGTGCTCTTACGTCGCTGCATGTGTGCTTCTCTCGCGATGTCCCCGAATCTGGCACTGCGACCGCGACCGAGCCATCGGCTACCGATGCGCCGATCGACCTTGGTGCTGCTGCTGCTTCAACCCCCGCCTCAACCCCAGCAGCTGCTGCCGCGCGTGTTCAGTACGTCCAAGACAACATGCTGCTCCACTACACCGAGGTTTTGGATGGCATGATGCGCCACGACGGTGTTCTTTTTGTCTGTGGCGATGCCAAGAACATGGCCAAGGATGTCCACGACACGCTTGGCAAGCTGCTCGTCCTGCATGAGGGCCAGTCTTCTGATCAAGCCACAGCGCTTCTCTCTCAGTGGTCGCTTTCCAAGCGTTATCTGCGAGATGTGTGGGCGTGAGTTGTGTCAGTTGTTTTGTTTTGTTTTTGTGAATTCTTCCGACATGTCCAAATTACCTCTTTCCATCGATCTTCTGTATCTTTCCCGCGGTTACCGTCCATGCGTTGTACCCCCCCCCCCAAATTGTATCTCGATATCTCAGAGAAGTGAGCTCAATCGTTGTTTTCCATTGCTTTTTTTTTTTTTTTCGTTTTCTACTTCGTTTCGCCATTGTCCTGCTCTCTCTCGTTCTCTCTGTCTCTCTCTCCTTCTCTCTCCTTATCTCTCTCTTTGCATCCATGCGAGCCTCGTTGGCCCTCCCTCCTGCTGCTGCCGTGGCTCTGCTGCTCTGCGCCGCCCTCGCAACGACTGTCGACGCGTCCATTTTCCACTTTACCATTGTCGTGCGTCTTTTGCTTCCCTCTCTCTCTCACTCTCACTCTCGCTCTCTCTCACTCATTCACTCTCTCGCTTCCCTTCTCTTCAATCATGTCGTCTGGTCACCCTCCCCCCTCTTTTCCCCCCCCCCCTTTCATCCTTCCGTAGCCAAGCACACTATTCAAAATGCGTCGCTTTTTCCCCCTTCCCACTTCCCCCTTCACTTCTCACGTCACATTCGTCCACTCTCACGTTTCCACACTTTCACTCACTCTGCCGTCTTGTGCTGCGTTTGCGTTCGCCACATTGCCATTTCGAACGGCCCTTCCTCTTGTTTTTTTGCTGAGCAGCAGCTGGAGTGGGGAAACGAGCTCTCCCTTCCTCCTCGCGCCTCCCTCCCTTTTCGTCTATCAATCCAACACCAACTGCCCCACTTCAATTCAATCCTGGCATCGTAATCAAAAATGACTTGGGAGCGGGTAGTGGTGGATGGCGATGAGCAGCGCTAAACAAAAATCTCCAATGGTGCTTCAGCCATTTTTTTTTAACTTGAATTCTTTTGGTCGTTTCGCTTACATTGTGGTGTTATGTTCAACAGGATCCTGACAACACCCAGAACAACTATGAGCCGCTGTATCCCAACTCTCAAGTCTACATTGACTGTAAGAATACACGAAAACAAACAACAAAAAGGGCAACATCGCCTCAGTCTCTCGTGTTGTTGCTCACTTCCTGCTGCTGCTCGTTGTTGTCGCAGTGAAATGCGCCCCAGCCGACATGAACTCGACTTTCACGATGCTCGTGGCATCGTCAACCTCGTATGATTGGATTTCGTCGGCACTGGTGAGGCATTGCACCATTTCCATTTTTCGCCATGTTGAATTTCGAGGCGTTGCACTCAAAACCCCTTGTGTGAATTTTTCTGCAGCGAGGCGATTGCTGCACCGACAGCACTGACACACAGACATGCCATGCCGGTTTCCTCATCCCAAAGACCGCCCCTGCGTTCTCGCTGATTCAGTCGGCGTCGTACGACTGCCGACCCGAGCCCTTCACCTCGACCGTGCTGATTGCCTCGGAGGCTGATTTTGTCGTCTCCCTGTACAAGCGCTGCCTGGGCACTGCCACTCTCATCGGCACCACTTCGTACAGCGGCCCTTACGGCTACATGGATGCTCGCGAGTACCCGCTGCTCGTCATCTTCGGCCTGCTCATCGGCTTGCACGCCGTCATGCTGTTGGTGTGGATTGGCCTGTCAATCTACCACCGACGCGTGCTGCTCAAGCTGCAGTACATTATCGGCGGTGTCATTCTGCTTGGTTTGTTCGAGACGGCCATCTGGTGCGGCTACTACAGCGACTTTAACCAGAACGGTGTCCGAAACACGTCTCTCTGGAACTTTGCCTCGTTCATGGGCAGCGTGAAGAAGACTGTGGCTTTGGTCTTTGTCTTGCTCGTGAGCCTTGGCTACGGTGTCGTCCAGTACGTGTCGAGTTTCCGACTGTTGTTTGTTTGTTTGTTTTTGAGTTCTTCTTTCGTGGATCTCATATTTCGTCTTCTCCTCGTTTGTGTTTACAGACCCGCGTTGCCTCCGAGCACCTACCTTCGTGTTGCTGGTCTTGGATTGGCTCTGCTGGTCTCCAACACCGCCGCCGCTTACCAATCGTCTGAGGTCTGTTTGCCCTTATCGTTTGAGTCGACATTTCTTTCAGCAACGCTTTGGCTTTTCGAAAAGGCGCTCATCCACTGTTTTCATTTTTTTTTTTTTTTTGTTTCTGTAGACTGGTGCCAAGACGGCCTCATTCCAGATCTTGATGGTGCCTCTGGCGCTCGTCTACGCCCTGTTCTTTACCTGGATTTTGTACAGCTTGCATCTCGTGTATCGCATGCTGCAGGTCAAGAAGCAGGAGCTCAAGCTGAAAATGTACCGCTGGCTCATGATCAGCCTGGTGGCGGTGCTTGCTCTCGGCCTCGCTGGCGTCCTGTTTGAGATTTACGTCAACAAAACCGACGCTGACTCGCGGTTCTGGGAGATGGCATGGCTCCGCACTGCCCTCTGGCACGCCATGTTCTTCTTGACCTTGTTGAGTATCTCTATTCTGTGGCGTCCGACGTCCAACAACACCCGATACGCGTACACCCCGCTTGATCAAGACGACGACGATGAGGAGGAGCAGGCCAACCCTGTGCCTCAAGCCTTTGGCGACATTAAGCTTCGCGCAGTAAACCGCTCCGACCCAGACGATGACGACAACATTCGATGGGCTGAGGAGAATCTGCCGTCGTCCAGCGCGATGGATCGCGATTTGTACGTGTCACACATTCGGCATTTTGTATGGTCGTGTTGGTTTGTCAGTCGCCTCACTTTTTTGGTCTTTTGCTCGCTCGATCTGTTCTTGTTTGTTGGGTTGGTGGCTTGCGCAGTGTCCCGAAAGTGGTTTCTGGCATGCTCGACGACGACGAAACGCGCGCCGAGATTGCCAACACGCGGTCCAAGTTGCAATGATGCCTTCAATTCAGCATCTCCCACCCACCCAACTGGATTTCAATTTTTTCTTTTCCCCCTTTCTCCGCTCCACACCTCTCCGATGCTTGACCTGGGTGATTTGTCGCTTTTTTTGGTTGTTCGTAGATATTTGTTCCGTTCTACTGGTTGTTTTTTTCAGGTCTAGCTTACAAGTCTCGTTGTGATTTCGTTTGATCGTGTTTTTCTGTATGTCCGGTAAAATATTCTTGAAATACAAATGGAATGGTTCCAACAACCTCGTTCAAGATTGCTCAAGATTTGGGAGTCTCGGAGGGCGCCGCTTGTTGCTGACTCAGCTGGTCCAGATTCGCAAAGGACGCTGTGGCAGATCCACGCTTGGCTGGTTTGGGCTGGTTCGGGGAAGGCTTCCAACCAATGAAATGGACAATTTGAAAGCTCGCGGGGATGGCATCCTTTGTGCCGTACATGTGCTGGTAAATGGCGCCTGCGGCCAGCATCGACTCGCGATTGAGGAAGGGTACACGATTCCTGCAGCAAGCAACCAGTCATACAACCAACCCAGTCAGACGGAATTCGAAGGCAGTGCCCCCAAAAAACGAGCAAAGCGAAAAAAACAACCCTTCAACCTCTTACCAGCTGGCATTGTTTTCAGCCATGCCTTGCAAATCAAGCATTAGCTCCATCATGGAGGGATAGCTGATGGTGACTTCATCGACATCGATCGTGGTGAGGGTAAACCCAGCCCGCGTGAGCAGATTGCCAATGTCGCGCGAATCGGTGAACGGGGAAATGTGCGGGTGAAATCCGCCTCGGCGCTCCTGCTCGGCCACTTGAAGCGCACTCCGCAACTCCCGCAACGTTTCCGTGCCAAACATGGCGCCAACAAAGGCGCCATCGGGCTTGAGCGCGCGGTGCAGTTGGCGGAAAACGCCAGGCAGGTCGTTGACCCAGTGCAGGCTCAAACTGGACACGACTGCATCGAGCGAATTGGGCTCGAACGTCATGTGCTCCTCGTCCATCAAGCGCGATTCGACCAGCGGTGGCGCAGTTTCAGCGTCGCTGGCATCAAGTTGCTTTTCTCGCAAATGGTCTTCATATCTGCGCTGTGCGCGTCTGAGCATTCCTTCGGACAGATCTGTTTGAATGAGCTTGTCTGCGACTTCCTGCGTATGTTCATGACAAACAGGGAAAGCAAATTGCAAAACAGGGGAAGGTCAGTAAACGTCCGAAACGACAAGTTATTGCAGCACGAGTGTCCGACAAATCCAACCTTGGTAATGACGCCTGCGATATGCCCTGCGCCACATCCGAGATCCAGGACTGTTGGGAACCGGCGTGTAATGTCAAACAGTCGGTCCACAACGACGCCTGCAGTGTAGTCGCGCAGCTGGTCGTGATCGGCCGCGTCTGCTCGCCGTGCAGCGCGATCGCGTTGCATGGTCTTTGCAGCACGGTCAAACACGTTCATAATGTTGTATCCGAACGCGGTTGGCGCTGGTCCTGCTCCTGGCGTTGGTGCTGCTGCTGACGACGGTGAGCTCGTCGTGCTGCCGACGCCAGCGCCTGGTGGGGCCTGCTGCTGGCCACCGGATTGCAGTGCTGGTACTGCACCAGACAGTGCCCGGGTGCAGCGGCGTGCTTGGCTGGCCGAGAACAGCCGCAGCGCAGCTCGCTGGAGAAGCATTGCTGCTGTGCTGAGAAAGAAGAAAAAGACTGAGACTGAGACGAACAAACAATCTGAGCAAAAACAAAGCATCCAAATGTAGTCCAACTTTGTCATCATGAGTTGTTGCAAAGTGGATGAGATCAAATGTTTGGGTTTGTTTGTTTGTTGTGCAAATTTCTGAGATTTCTCGTTCGCTCAGTCCTGTTTTTCTCTTCTCAGATTGCAGATTCTTCTCAGTACAGTACACAATGTCCTCCTCCGACAACCACCCTCCGCAGCCTCCGACCGCGCCGCTGCTCGTCAAGCACACTGCAGCCAGCGCCTATCCTGACGTCGACGGCCATCTGCGTGAGCTTCCGCTGCGGAACGATGCGCGATCCATGTCGCTCGTCTTCTTCCCGGCGGGCACGGTCGAGCCATGGCACCACCACTCCAACTCGGACAACATGTATGTGGTCGACGGCACCATCCGCGTCGAGACCAAGCCTGGCAGCAGCGGCGGCGACCAGCAGCAGCAGCAGCAGTACGAGCTGTCCAAGGGCGACTTTTTCTACATGCCGGCCAACGTCCCTCACCAGGTCTGTCAAACGCCACGAACAGTTTGGGTTTTTCCTCTCCTCCCCACCCCCAATGACACTGTTGGACATTGTGTCTGAGGCGGGCGGTTGTCAGCAAAAAGCAAGGAAACACAAAAAACAACAAAAAATCTGAGAAAAAAACTTGCCTGTTTTTGTGTTTTGACATGTTTTGATTTTTGTTTTTGTTGTATCTTAGGTGACGTATGTCTCAGACACGACGTTTCTGTATGTCAACGACGGCGTGTTTGATGGTCCTCACTGGGACAGCGAGGTCAAGGAGACCATCTACCCACCGAGCAAGCCATGAAGCTCATGAAGCATAACAAGGATGCTGACAAATGGCAGCACCGTCCTTTGCCTCTTGCTTGCCCTGTTGGCGTGGATGGTTGGTTGTTGGTACTGCTGCTTTTTCTGAGAATACATGTCTCACAGCAGCGTTCATTCATCACAAGCGCCTGAGCTGAGCTGAGCTCACACCATGTTCTGCTGTCCTTTGCTCCTGCTTGCCTGTTTGGCTGTGATGACTTTGTCTTGTGATACCGCTTTCTGAGAATACCTGATTCTTACAGTAAACCGTTCATTCGTCCTTTTTTTGTTGTTCTGTTGTTGTTTTCACTTTGTCGCTCCCAGGCAATAATGCAGCCACCGCGCATTGTGATTCCAGCGCCAGTCACCAGCAGTGGCAATAACAGTAACATTAACAATGGCAATGGCAATAGCAGTGGCAGTATGGGAGCAGCAGTGGTTGCCGGGACGCCCACGCCGATTGCCGCGCCGGTGGCCGCTCCCGCCTTCCCACCGCCGTTGGCCACCAACATCACAAGCAGTACTACTGCGACCGTCAATGTCAATAGTGCCAACGTCGGGGCGCTCGCTGCCAATGCGGACGAGTCGCTGACACGAAGCAACACGCTGATCGATCTCTCGTCCCACGACGACGCTCACAATGACAGCCTCACTCAAACCGACCATCATGATAAAGATGATGATGACGATGACGATGATGTCGGCAGGGGCGGTGGCGGGCTCTTCACGCTGGGCTCGTCCACCACGTCCGCCAGCCACACCGACGCAGTTCGCTCCAGCAGCCACCCCGCCGAAGTCCCGCCAAGCGATGGCTCGTGCTGGTTCTGGGCAATGTCAAGCGAATTGCTAGTGCGCCTGTTTGGCTATTGCGACGTCACATCGCTCAACAGCTTGGCTTTGGTAACGTTTTTTTTTTGTTTGTTTGTTTTGCTTCGATTCTGAGCGAATTTCACACCCTCTCAGAAGAATCACGCTGCTGAGAACAAGTAGTGTTGGATGTCTGGTTTGTTGGTACGGAACAAACTCTCACTGAAAAGCTGCTCTCCAGACTTGCAAAGGCTTGTACCAACTCTGTCGTGACACACACTTGTGGAAATCCGTCTACTTTCGACATTATGGCCCGACCATCGACTCGCCGAGCTTTTGCTGCTCATCGGTGCTGGGCGAAACTCCGACGCCGTTGGATCCGTGGTGGCAATCGCGGGCGGAATACACGCCGGCCGATGTCGACTGGCGACGCCAGCTCGCAGTGGTCGAGCGCACCTTGCAGGGCTGGTCGGAGGGCCATTTCAGCGTCTCGCGCATTTCCCGTCACAAGGATTTCGTGCGGTGTGTCGTGGGCCAGTTTGAGCGTGGCTTGATGCTCACTTGCGCCGGCAGCGTCAAGAAGCGCGAGTGCGCCGTGGGTCTCTGGGACGTCGAGACAACAGTGTGCAAAAAGTACTTTCGCGCAAACCACACGGGTCCGATTTGGTGCATTTGCATTGTCAACGGCATCATGGTAACGGGCAGCGACGACTCCTCCATCAAAGTCTGGGACATTAGCGCCATCACGGAGAGCGAGGACGAGAATGCCACGCGTCGCTCAAGAACGAACAGCATTACCAGTACACATAGCACGAGTCTACCGGCGGATGATCATTGGTATGCCCCGACCAGCGACCATGCCTCCTCAGCCACTATTACCACTGCCGCTGCTGCTGCTGCTTCCGCGGCCGCTGCCGCTGCCGCCGCTGCATCAACAGGAGCGGCCGGCGATGAGCCTGCAGCCGAGCCACCGGTATTGGACGAAGAGGATGCCCCAGAGACGGCCGATGTCCCGCTTTTCACGCTCGAGGGCCATCGAAGCAGTGTGACTTGCCTGCAGTTGATGGAAGACGGTCGAACGCTCGTTACAGGCTCCCGAGATCGTACAATCAAGGTCTGGGATGTGATGACGGGCCAAATTCGCTTTTCCATCAATCTTGTCGGTGAGTCGGATGCAAACAGACGCTTTGTCGAATTATTGTTTTGATTGGTGTGTTTTTGGCCTGGCTTGGCTCACTTTGAACCCCCGCCTTCCCCTTCCAAAAATGAACCACTTCCCCATCTTCCCAAAAACGCAACACAGGCCGAGTGACCTGCTTGCAGTGCTCTCGTAACCGTATCGTCGTCACAACCAATTGCGGCGAGATCAAAATGTTTGATTTGAACGACGGATACTTGCTGGCCGATATCCCGCATCCAGTGCGACCAGACGCCATCACTGACATTACCTGCCTGTCCTATGTGAATGGCACCATTGCAATCGGCATGGACGACTACACGATTGGCGTTTGGCACTCTGAGGAGGTTGGCGGAACCGAGGAAGAGCCCGATTCGGACGAGGAGTTTGACCCCACGCTCGTCGCGGGTGACGGCGTTGCCGCCGTTGTAGCCGAGGAAGTGGCTCGTCGGCGCGAGGAGCTGGTCGATGTCAACATGTTGAACGACTTGGGGGAAGATGATCATCTCACATCCCAAAACACCGCCGCGAACTCTGCCGAGTCCGCCACATCAACAGCAGCATCCGCAGCAGCAGCGGCAGCAGCAGCAGCCTCCAACGGCACCGTGCCCATGGCCATCCCGACGTCCCGCGTGGAGGCATCGGCTACTCAGACCTCGTCGTCGTCTTCGGCACCAAACTCGCCCCACCCTTCCGGCCTGCGAGCCCGCTTGGCGGACCAGCTGAGTCGCGATCGTGAGCGAAGCCGGAGTCGCAGTCGCAGCCGGAGCCGATCGCGCAGCCGCAGCGTGCACGGGTTTGATGGCCTCGGCGGCGACAACACGCCTTGTGTTGTTGTGCGCCACCTGCACGCGCTTCGCGGTCATCGCGGCGGCATCTGCTGCCTCCAAATGGACGGCTACACGCTCATGTCTGGCGGCATGGACGGTCAAATGATTGCCTGGGACCTTGCCACTGGCGACCAGGTGCGTCAATTTGCCTTCCACAACAATGCAGTCACGAGTATTCAGTTTGATCGCATCATGGACATTGCTGCCTCGGGCTCTTGGGATGGTACCGTCAAGGTGTGGCGCTTTAGCACGGGCGACTGCTTGCATACCATTCGAGTGCATTCGGATCGAGTTTGGGCCATTCACTATGATCTCACGCACATGCTGACCATCTCGTTGGACACGACCGTGACTTTTCCCCGCGGTGCCGCAACTGCAAGCGCCTGGTGCTGACGGGGTCGTGGGTGACCACGGCAGACCTTATGCTGCAAGGCTACAAGGCGGAGACGGCAATGACAACAGCAGCAGCAGCAGCAGCAGCAGCAGCAGCAGCAGCAGCAGCAGCACTGCAGCACCGGCGCCCAGCACTGCAGACGAAGCAGGGCTGGTTGTCCCTGACGATGATCCCGACGATGTGTTTGAGCCGCCCAACCCCCATCCACCACCACCGCCGCCCTCCGTGTTTGGTTCACATTTGATCAAATGTCCCCGGTGCAACGGCGCACAGTATTGCTCCATGTGGTGTCTTGTTGAGGATGCTTCAAGCCACGAGCACACCTGTCGCACCATTGTCGAAGCTCAAAGCCTGTGAGCGGCCTTGCATTTTTACACATGCTTCTGTACAAGTAATAAAAGAGTTGAAAAGACATGAAGACGCTTGCGTTGAATGATGGGAAGGTTGGGTGATGTTATGTGGAACGTCGATTGTATTTCACGGAGCATTCCAACTGAGCCGAGTTGATGGCTTCATGTGTCCTGAATTGAATGGATGGTTTTTTTTTTCACATGAATTCTTCGCTTCCTCTCGTGCCGATTACGCGGGAATGTGGGACTGGAGGAACTGGCGCACATCGAGCACCTCCTGGGTGCAGGCAGAGTGCATCATGCCATCGTACTCCTTGAAGGTGATGGGGAGGCCAAGATCGCCGAGGATTTCGTGGCTCATGCGGCCGAGGCTGATTGGGAGGACGGTGTCGCAGTCACCTACGGAGGCGGACGAAAGCAAGTCAGGATACGAACGTTCTCCAAGCAAGTCAAATGTTCAAAAAGCAACAACAAATGAAGGCATACCATGGGCCTGGAAGATGGGGATGTCCTTCTGGACAATCGTCTACGCAGACAAGAGCAGTCAATTCACGTCGTCGCGTTGTTTCCTTCACACGCTTGTCACTACTAATCTCTCTCTCTCAAGTACTACCCAAGAACAACGCACCTTCTGGACGAGGGCGCGCAGCGGCAGATAGGTGCTCATGGCGACAATACCGGCCAGACGCTTCTGGTAGGTGAGACCCGTGTACAGCGCGAGGGCGCCACCTTGGGAGAAGCCTCCCAACACGATACGGTTGGCAGGGATTCCAGCATCGATTTCCGCATCAATCAGACGCTTGACTAATCATATCGAAGTGTGTTTGTGGGTTGAGTCGCAGAGATGGATTGGGGGAGGAAAATTCAATCCAACGAATTCCTTCTGTTCAACACAGTCTTCCCGGGGATCTCACCGGATTCCGAAGCAGCGATAACGCCAGCCTCATCTTCGCGAGAGTGGTCTTCAAGGTCGTACAGGTCGTACCAGCTGGGCATGCGGAAACCGCCGTTCAAGGTGACGGGCGCAATCGGACTGTTTGATCACACACAACAAGGTCGCCCAGATTGTGAATGCCGAGGCCATTCGTCAATAGGTCACCTCCCAACATGCCAAACGGTGCCAGCAGCAGCAGCAGCAGCTTACGCATGCGGGCAGATGAACTTGATGTGAGGCAGCGAGAGCTCCTTGCAGAACGGCGCCCAGCCCCGGCCAGTGTCGCCAAGGCCATGCAGAATGACAACCTGCACACAGACAAACAACAAGCAAGCCAAAGACAAAAAAAACAACCCCATTGCACATTGACGAGCGCGCAGTCAGCCGAGAAAGCGAAAAAATCGCAAGAGTGCGTTAGTGGAGCCTGACCGTTGCCGTGTGCGTGCTGGTGGCTGGGACGGTGATAGAGCGAAGCAGAGACGTCATTGCACAGGAGGAAGTCGAGGAGGAGGAGGAGGAAGTCGAGGAGCAGGACGAGGCAACTGTGCAGACGGCAGCGAGCAGAGAAACAGCGAGAAAGATTGACGAGCGACGCGTCTTAGAAACTTGGGAAAAAAGAGACTGAGGCCCTGAAAACTGTATGGAGTTGACATTGACGATGGACAGTACCGGTGACACCAGGGATGAGTCGAATAGTTGAAATGATGAATGTCGAGGTTGAACTCGAGATCACAATAGATCAAGATCGACTGTACATATTATTAACATGAAGGCAAGACATGACGACATTGGGGATTTAGCAGGGAATGATGGGCAGCCGATAGGTCAAGGCCACACCGTCGTCAATCAGGAAGAGAATCACAGCTTTGCCTTCGACGATACCTGCCAAAAAAAAAGAAAAGAAAAAAAAAGAGATTGCAACGGTTCAGCACTTGCACACACTGCCGATGACAGCTTCCAAATGCACGTACTGCAAATCACATTGGATGCCCCAACTTGGTGGCCATGAAGGAACTGAGCGAAATGCTTGATTGCGACACGAGCGACGGTGAATTGTTTGGGGTCTGTTGCTTCTTGCTCTGGCTGCAGGCCATCTCCTGACACACCCGATGACAAGCAATGCAAAGCAAAGTCAGATGGAGACCTGCCCCTTGACTAGAGTCTCAAAAACCCCAAAAACAAAAATCAACGCTTGAAAACAAAACACACTCACGCCACTCGGGATTCTGCAAGTTGGGAAAGGAGGCACGGATTTCCAGCATGTCCGAGTCCACTCGAAGCCAAAACGTCTTGTCATTGTTGGCCGCAATGTCGAGGTGGCTGCTGATCGTCTTCATGCGCTCGACAACGTTGCGCAGCAGCTTGAGCGACGGCATGTAGATGGACACCTCGGGACGCGGTAAGACGGGCTCTTGGTAGTCGTCAATCAAGGAATGGTGCAAAATCAGCATGGGAATCTGCTGGCAGAGCAGGCGGGGTCGACTGTTTTGTCCGGGTCGAGTGTTTTGAGGGCGCTGCGCTTTGAGAAAAATGCCAAAGAAGATGAGCGAGATTCAGCCTGCCAAATGGTCAACAGGAAAAAGATGATGGCACTCACCAGCACGACATCGAGAACCAGGAATGGAGTTTCCTCCTTGCGGATCATGCGCATGGTCACCGTGTCGGCGTTGTTGGCCGTTTTCAGCGCGCGTTGCAGCAAATCGAGCGAAATGTCGACCAGAATTTCATTGTTCTGATGTGTGCTTTGGATTCTGTATGTTTTAAAGATGGATGTCTTTGTTGTGTTGCACATGAGGTCGATTTGAGGTCAAATGGTGAGACATTGCTTGGGTTGACCAACGAACTCTGTATGAACGACGTTGCTCTGCGTACCTGTGTGATGTCCGACCAGACGCGTGCTGCTCGGTCGGTCACATCGCTCTGCAGCACAAAGTGGAGTTGCGTTGGCGTGAATCGTATCACGCACTTGTGTGAGATTTTGGCCAGCGTGGCGACGATGCCTGTTGAAGGGAGTGCAGAGAGCGAGCGAGCGTCAGTCAGTTCAGTTCAACGGCCAGTCAGTCAGCCGGCGTTGCGCGGCCAACACGTTTGGAGATGTGGCGGTGATGTCGGTTGTGGTAGTAGCTTCGGTCTGCGATGCCACGAGAAAGAGGGAACGGCTGGGTGGATTTTGCCGGGAAAACGAAAACGAAACGCGCGTTTCAGTTGCTTGCAACGCTCAACCTTCAACCTTCGAGTCTGTTCCACTTGACTGGCTGAGTTGCATGAGTTCAGAGTGACTCGATCTTGCTACAAGGACATTTGGGTGTGTGCATGTGTGTGTGTGTGTATGTGTGTGTGGGACGAAACGCACGCTGCAACTTGATGACATTGTCGACAATGTCAATGCTCGCTTTGAATCGCATGTGGGAGAAATGGAAGAGGAGTGAAAGCGTTGCGTTGCGGGAAGTCCACCCGCCATACGAGAATTACAACGACAATTTAGTATCAGGTTGAAGCGTAATGGCGATGGTTGTGGGGTGAAGGCGGCAACTTGAAAGAGTTCAACACAGGTCCAAACACAGCGACCGACTTTTATGCATTGCCAATCACCTTTTTCGCTCCGTTTGTGTTGCAAGAGCGGAACGGGATGCGGTGCATTCCACCAGATATGGCCGTGGCTGAAGTGCAGGACTGTAGGTATTGAAGCAGCCCGTCCTGATTTGGGTTTTGTTTTGGGGCTCGGCTGCTTTTCGCGCTCAGTCGTTCGCTTGCATTGCCATTCCGTCATGACAGATATTCAAAGCTCTGGCAAAATGCTGCAAGAGGCGAACCAGCCAGCGCACCTGTCGTCTGAGAACATGACTCGCAGACAGCGTGAGTTGTACGACAAAATCAAGACGTATGGATCCGACCGGATTTGGTAAGAAAGTGAAGAGGTTACATACGACAGCGTGAACTGATGAAATGGAGGACAGGTTTCTCGACCAACAGATTGGCGATGCTGAAGCTCAGGCGATTTCTGAGGCACTCAAAGTGAACACGACGTTGACTCAGTTCGGGTAAAACATCTCACTTTGACTGGTGCATGTGAGTGCGTGATATCAGCAGAGGGCAAACAGAGTGCTCACTGATGGACAGTATGGGCACGAATCAGATTGGCGATGCTGGAGCGACTGCAATTGCTGAAGCACTCAAAGTGAATGGGAAGCTGTATTGGGTCGAGTAAGCCACCTCCCTTTGACTGATGCATGAAATTGGATGATCTAGTAGCGTTTTCGGGAATCCATACTGATGGAATGATGGACAGGCTGGAGGATAACCAAATTGGCGATGCGGGAGCCCAGGCGATTGCCGAGGCACTCAGAGTGAACACGACGCTGAAATATCTCATGTAAGGCATCTCACTTTTACTGATGCTTGTGAGTGGATGATTGAGCAGAGTGTTTTCGAATGATTCCTCATGGAAGGGACGGACAGACTGTACGCGAACCGGATTGGCGATGCGGGAGCCCAGGCGATTGCTGAAGCACTCAAAGTGAACAAGACGCTGACTAGCCTCAGGTGCAGGATCTCGCTTTGACTGAAGCATGTGAGTGGGTAAACCAGCAGAATGTTAAAGAGTGCTCACCGATGATGGAGGGGATGTGGACAGGCTGAGTAAGAATCAGATTGGCGATGCTGGAGCCCAGGCGATTGCCGAGGCACTCAAAGTGAACACGAAGTTGGACATGCTCAAGTAAGGAAACTCAGGTGTATCGATGCCTGTGAGTGGGCGATTTCAGCAGAGGACATTGAGAGTGCTCATTGGTTGCGCATCGCAGTCTGAATTGCAACTGCATCGGTAAAGCTGGTGCTCAAGCGCTCAACAAGGCACAAAGCTGTCGATATAAGTAAGATGATTATCGTAGACAATCACAGATAACAGAGCCCACTGAACGTTTGTCTTTCTAGACTCGAGTTCGAGCTTGAAACCCAGACGACCTTAGTGGCATTGTGCGCGCTTCCGCGACCGACCACTGCCGAGGACGCTCAGAGCGTGTTTCACCTCCTCATGAGCGGATTTCAGTACCACTCTGAAGCTGGCACCAACATGCAAACGTCGCCGCACTTGCCGAGGTTGCCAGCCGAGGTTGCTGAGCTCATCATGGACGCGGCTTGTTACTGGCCAGGGGTGCATGTTGTCGAACAATCCTGTCATGACCCAGATGAGAAGCCGCGGCCTGTGACAGTCACTGTGCCCAAAAGCACCGGTGGAAATGGCAGTCCGTTTCGTGTGCAAGTCGTCCAACTGCTTCGTGACAGGAGGGAGCATACCTACTTTCCAAGAGCCATTGACTGGATTATTCGAGATGAGCACGGTGCTGTTCGATACAAGGGTGCTGCGACACCGGTTGCCTTCGATTCGACGATCGAGTTTGTGACGATGCGGGCAGCCGACCATGCACACATCCGACAAATGCGCGAGGGCTGGCAATTTGAAGTTCAGCCTGGCAAGGCGGCCTGCTATGTGCGTTTGGAATCGCTTTTCCTGGGGTACATTTAGAGGCACCTTGGTCTCGCCGTCGAGGCACTGAGCAACTTACAGTATTAGGTTGGCACAACGAACTGCTTGTTCAACCGCCAAAAATCGTTTCTTCCAAAACCAACTCTGACTGATTGTCCACTGGTTTTCAATACAAACAGTGAACATTGTTCATAACGCTCTGCACCTTGATGTCGCTCGCAGTACATGTATTGTTGCTCTCGATCTGCCGTTCTTTCCAACACACCTGCGCCAATCGATTTCTGGGAGTCGACTGTCCGCTCTAGCTGTAGATCTAGTGAGCAATGCTTTCATGTGTTTTTCGCGCAGTCGGTTTTTTTTTTTTTTTTTCGAACTTCCAGTTCCATCTCCATCAACAACAATGGACGCGTCGACTGAGACAGCCGCACAGTCCGGCGCACTCGACGCGACGGCGCCCAGTCCCGCCGTCGCCGGCAGCAACAACGCCAGACCCGCGAGCAACGCCATCGTCAGCAACACCAACACAGCAGCTGCAGCAGTAGCAGCAGCAGCAGTCGAGGACGACGACACGGAGGGCGAGGGCGAAGACGTTGCGCCGCGCTTTGAGGACTGGGCTGGTCGCTGGGACCATATTGACAAGCTGCTTGTGCGCCGCGGCCCGTTCGCTCAGCCGACCTTCGAGCCATGCGTTGAGGTCAGCGGTGGTGCTTCTCTTGCATTGAATGAGTGGAGGGAAGAAGCGCGGCGGGTGTGCGTGTGTGTGTGTGTGTGTGTGTGTGTGTGGGGGGTCATTGTGACCTGCACACAACGTCAGCGTTTCTCGGCTTTTGGCGCCTTTTTGGTGCATCTTGACTTCTTCGTTTCTTTGCGATTTGTTCCTCAACAATGTCATTGTGAGGGCTGCGGCTCTTCGTTCTGCATGGATGAAGAGCGTAATCTCAGATCGACCTGTGTGTGTGTTTGCTCACCATTCCTCTGCTTGTTGATGCTACAGCTTCGAGACTTTCTGCTGGAACAGTGCCGCATCTTGGTGATTGGCGCAGGTGGTCTTGGCTGCGAATTGCTCAAGGACTTGGCGCTGAGCGGGTTTCGCAACATTGACGTGATTGACATGGACACGATTGACATTTCCAACCTCAACCGCCAGTTCCTCTTCCGCCAGAAGGACGTCGGCCAGTCCAAGGCGCTTGTCGCTGCAGAGTTTGTCAACCGCCGGGTTGCGGGCTGCAAGGTCACCCCCCACTTTTGCAAAATCCAGGACAAGCCGGAGGACTTTTACCGCCAATTCCAGCTCGTTGTCTGCGGCCTCGATTCCATCCCTGCGCGTCGGTGGATTAATGCGCTGCTCGTTAGTCTGGTCCAGTACAATGACGACAAGGAGATTGTTCCAGGCACCATGATCCCAATGATCGATGGCGGCACAGAAGGTAACTGTGTGCTGAGGTTTTTGCAGTTTTCTGTGAGACTTTTTGTTGGACTAAGTTTTACCGCGCTGTTTTGTGTTGCGGGGTTGCTCTATCAAGGGTTTAAGGGCCAAGCAAGGGTCATTCTTCCTGGAATGTCGTCGTGCTTTGAGTGCTCGATTGACACCTTCCCACCTCAGGTAAGAATGATGGCGATGACGCCTTTTCCTCCAATCCGGTCTTTCACTGCAAACCAAAGCCTTTGCTGACCTCCACTGCAAACCAAAGCCTTTGCTGACCTCCACTCTTGTTGGTTTTTTTTAACCATTCTAGACCACATTCCCTCTTTGCACAATCGCATCGACGCCTCGTATTCCCGCCCACTGCATCGAGTACGCCAAGATTGTCCTTTGGCCGCAAGCCTTCCCAGGTCAGCGTTTGGTGCTTTTGATTGTAGGGTTGGGGGACTTGCTGAAAACTCTCGCGCTGACCAGCCACTCGTTGGTTTCGTTTCAATCAATCTCTGAGCGCAGACCGTGCGTTGGACACGGACGACCCAGAACACATCAACTGGCTCTATCTGGAGGCGTTGAAGCGAGCCAATGAGTATGGCATTCAGGGTGTGACGTACCGCTTGACACAGGGTGTTGTCAAGAACATCATTCCAGCTGTTGCGTCTACCAATGCAGTGATTGCCGCCGCGTGCGCCAGCGAGGCTTTCAAGCTCGCCACTGGCTGCAGCTCCCAGCTGAACAACTACATGCAGTTCAACGGACAGGACTCGCTGTACACTTTTACGTTCGAGTACGAGCAAAAGCCAGACTGTCTTGTGTGCAGCAACATTCCTCTCGATTTCGCCTGCTCGGCGTCGGAGCCTCTTCGCGCTCTCGTTGAGCGCCTTTCCGAGCAACCATTGTACGAGTTTTGCATCGAGGCGGTTTGGATTGGCTTGTTTTTTTTCTGCTGGATTTTTCGCGCTCACCATTTTTTGTTGTGTGTTGTTTTGGCGACCTTCCTCAGCCAATTCAAGGCTCCTGGCATCCGTGGATTGGGCAAGACCTTCTACATGTCCGCGCCGCCAAGTCTCGAGCTGTCGACGCGTCCAAACCTTGATCGAACCCTTGCCGAGCTCGGTCTGCAAGACGGAGCCTTTTTGCAAGTTGCAGACGTCGCCGTCCCGCTTCCCGTCCAGCTCAAGCTTCAGTTCCGTCCTTAAACGAGCGCCAATGCTATTTGAGAGGCGATTGTGTTCTGCAGCCTGCAATTCGCTGCGGAAGAAAAAAAAAACCACGGTTCTTTGTTGGTTTTTTTTTTTCGCGACCTGTCGCTCTTTTAATACATTTTTTTTTCGAATCATTCGCGTGATGGGCGTACAACTTCAGCTTGGTTGAACTGACAAACATAACATGAAATAGTGTTTACAAATGACCAACCAAAACAACAGCTAGACCAAGCGCAAATTAACAGCACGCAAACATCCAAAATACAAAGCAACAAAAGCGCATTTATGCACTCGTGTTCATTGCCTCTTTGGCAGAGTCTTCAGCAGGCGCTTCGTCGTCGCCATCTGCGCCTTCATCCTCGTCTTCGCTTGTTGCCATCTCCGAGGCCTTGCGCTTGTGTCCTCCGTCCTGACTCTGGGCTTCAGCTGCGGTTGTGTCTCTACTCCAATGAAAAAGAAAAAAAAACAAGCACGCGTGAGATTCTGCTGCGGCACAACGATCGTTTTCGCTTTGTTTCAAAAATGGTTGGCAACCCTTACCCAGCAAACTCTTTTTGAGACACACGCCCAGCATCGGCTGGTCGGCTGGCTTTGTAGTTTTCGCTGGCTGCTTCGATTTCCGCCTCGTCCACAGCGCCACGAGCGTCAACGCGACGCGGCTCGCCGGAATCGCCGCCTTTGCTCGGGGTCATCAGCGACATGCGTCGGCTGGCATGAGAGTCGTCCTTTTCACGCTTCTTGTAAGACTGGCGATTCCGTCGGTCGTCTCCCTCGTCTTCCGAGTCGGACATTCCGTCGTCGTACGAGACGTGCTTGTCGGAAACGCGGGCTGGATACAAAGGGAAGAAAAAAATAACGCAAAGCAAGAATGAGTCAGTCGTCTGACATTGTAAGGCGGAGCAAAAAACAGTGGTGAATAAACCTACAGGGCAGACGCTCGTCGGGATCTTCTTGGTCTGAATCTTCGTCCTCGTCGTACACTGGTCGAAGCTCTTGCATTTGCACACCGGGGGCAAACTGCACATGTCGCAAGCTCTCGATCAGCGCGTTTCTGTGATTGGGCAAGATTTCAAAACAACAACAACAACAGCAACAACAGTGAGCATGGCATGCTCCATAGCTCGACGCACAATCTACAATTTGCCCCCCCCCCCGCCGCATTCGTCGCCCTACTTGATGGTTTCGAGATACTCGGGAGTGTTCAGATTTTCCATGTTGCTGGGAGTGACTTCCAGCTTGAAATCAGGCGAATAGTACTCAAAATAGTCGTTGAAGGGGAGCGCGGTGGCAATGCCAGTGCCAATCGCGACGGCGGTCTCGTAGGTCCAGCAACGCGCCACATTTCGAATAGTGTAGCCACCGCCACCAAGAAGCAGCGTTGGTACGTTAAAGCTCCGCACAAACTCGACGCACTCTGCGTGACCGAGCAGTGACAAGTTGAAGCAACCGAGACGATCGCCAGCAAGCGAGTCGGCGCCGCACTGAAGCACCACAGCGCCTGGTTGGTACCACTCCATCACGTGGCGAATAATCTGTTCGGCGAGGGTTTTTTTGCGAAAGCGGGTCGGATGAGACTTTGCGTTCAAACGCTCCCAAAAAAACAAAACAAAAAAAAAATAATAAAAATAAAAACCTGCGAAGACTTACCGGCTGGAAAACGTTCTGATACGAGAAATCGTCGATACCGTCACGAAGCGGAAAGTTGAGCGCATAGTGCTTGCCTCGTCCGGCGCCAATGTCGCGCAAATCGCCAGTGCCCGGGAAAAATTCTCCGTACTTGTGGAATGAGACGGTCATGACACGGTCTGTCGTGTAGAAGGCCTCCTCCACACCATCACCATGGTGGACGTCAATGTCAATGTACAGCACACGCTGATGACGCCTGTTTGTCGGACAAGGCAAGCGAAAGTGAGAACCGAAAAAAAAAAGAAGAAAAAAATCCTCCACCAAAAGCATCCAACTTCATCGACATAATGGCGCGTCTTACTTGAGCAGCTCAAGAATAGAAAGAACAATGTCGTTGACATAGCAGAAGCCCGATGCTTCCGACTTTTTTGCGTGATGCAAACCGCCGCCCCAGTTGATGGCGATATCGGTATCGCCCTTGTTCAGCTTGACAGCGCCGCCTGTGTGAGTAACAAAAAGAATGGAGCAGCAGGGAAGCAAAAAGGGAAAGCAAGTGAGGTGTCCAACGTTCAGAGAGGGGGTCCAGCACGGCGAGTTCATGGATGACAACAACGCGACTCGCATACCAATCGAGCCACCGGCGCTCAGCTGGCTATACTCAAACACGCCCTCAAAAACTGGGCAATCCTCTCCGACGTTGACTGCGTCGATTGGTGAAATGGCGGCAAAACAGAACGGGAGGTGAGCAACTGCTAAAAAAAAAAAGCCAAACAAAAACAAAACAAAAGAAAACCTGATCGCGCAAAAGAGAAAGAACCAATAAACCTTACATCGCTGCATCTGTCGAGTGTGGTCGCTCGAACTGGTCTCGTGGTTGATGCTCTTGAGGAAGTGAATGTACTCGTCCGAGTGGAACTTTGTCATTTCTTCGAACGAAGCCTTGTGGGGTCGCTGCATTTCGGCACCAATCACACACACGCACACACACCGTCAGCCAAATGCGACACCTCGACGCAACTGGAGGTGGGGAGGGCCATCCAAGAACGGTCCCTCCTTACGTAAATGTCCATCTTCTTGTAGAGGCCATAGTTGAGCAGCAGGTTGTGGGTCATGCGAACGCGATGCGGCTTCATCGGGTGTCCCTGGCCATAGTAGTAGTTGCCGATGTCAGCTGTGCAACAGAGATCGAGAGATAGAGAGAGGAAGCAGCAGTCAGCAAAAAGGTCACCAAATGCGTTGTGAAAGTGAATGGCGGGCGAATCGATCTGGTTTTCGCTTCCCACCACAAGCAGCGCCTTCCCCCTCCTTCCACTCATGCTGTTGTGCAGTCTCGCTTGTTTGTCTGATCTACGCGGCGTGTTGAAGCGGACGGACCAGTCGGGACGTGTGGGAATGGTTGATGGAACGCGAAACAACAAAAAGTGAAAGAAAAAAAAAAAGAAAAAAAAAAAGAGAGATCTCCGTTCCTCAAAGCCAAAAGGTCCAAAGGCGTTCTCCCCGCTGCCTTCATCGAGTGGCGACCGACAACAGGAGAGACTGGCGAGTCCAAAAAACGCAAAGAAAGACGGAGGGAAGCGGGGTTTCTGCTGCAGAGCCGTGCGTTTACCATCGTAAAAGTAGCACACGCGACGGCGGGAAGGAGTTGCAGCCATTCTCCAATGGAAAAGAAAAAAAAAAAAAAAAAGGATGACTGATCTGAGAACCTTACAATACAAAAACCGCATCCAACGAAATACAAATAAAAGGAAGCACTCGACAAGACAAGAGATGCAGGGGATTGGAAATGGAGGAAATGGAGGAAACGGCTGAAAAACTGCAAGGTCACGTCCTAAACTCTCACCTGCTGCATCTGTAGCAATAACGGAACTCGGTCGGCTTTGGTCTGTGCGTGGGTTGTCCAGTGATATGCCTAGACTAAGTGAAACCAAAGCGCCGCAATGACCAAGCGACAAGAAGGCGTTTCAATCTGAACCTTGCATCACGCCTCTTCCTTCCCCTTCCCCTCCCCTCGCCCTCTCTCTCCTGTCCGACCCACCTCAATTCCCCGGCGATCATCGCATTGACTCTGGATTTATCGTCGAAGCCAAAAAAGCGAAACCTTGCCTCAGTCATCTCTTTCTTTTTTCCCAATGGACTTTCTGGCCGAGAACAACTTGTGCGGACAGACGCTGCTGCGGCTCGTGTCGCGCGGCAACGCCATCATTGCCGAGCTGCTGCGCCTGTCTGCGTTCGTGCCCAGCGTCTTCCGCATGGAGACACGCGCCGACCGCGAGCGCTACGCCGACATTGTCCTCGACTTTAGCTACTTCAAGTCGAGCGAGTTCTACGACAACAAGATTGAAACCAATCCCGTAATGATGAGCGCAGCACAAATTCCCCCCCCCTTCCTCGACCCAACCGATCGATTTCGCAGACAACCCATGACCACAACAAGGACAGTGGGAGGGGGTGAGTTGTATTGGATTGCGCAGAAGCCACAGTGACGCGGGAGAAAAAGCAAACAAAAAAAAAAAAAAAAAAAAAAAAAAAAGACCAAATCTCAAGCTTTTTATTTGGATTTTGCTTCAAAGACAAATGTCCTGAAGCGATTGGCGGGAGGCGGTCTGTGCAACGACAACAGTTCATGAACTCCCACTTGCGCGGCACAGGGACTGCAAAGGGACCAACGGAACGAAGCGAAATCGAATGGGGGAGAAACAAAAAAAAAAATCGACAATGCTATAATGCAAAAGCCAGCAAAAAAAAAAAAAAAAAAAAAAAAAAAAAAAAAGTCACAAGGCGTTTGGTTTTTCGATGCAACCGACAATTGCGACGCTCGAGAAACGGCGCGCGCGGGTCATCACTTTGGGCGATTCGATGGGATGAGAGAAGAAGGCCGACTGAGATGCAGGACGAACGGGCGCGGCTGGGAGTGGAGCTGAAGTTAGGGGGGCGCAGCGATCACCCTTCGCTCAGCTCTCACTCTTCTCCTCCTCCCCACCAGCGTGCTGAAGACAGTCAGCACTGCAACAAGAGTCGCTCGAATTTAGGATGGGGAAAAAGTTGCAAGCTAAAGTCACCCCCAGTGTGACGGCGATAAAGTCAAATCTCAAACTCATTCTCTCACTCATTCTCTCACTCATTCGTTTGTGATTGTCGCCGCGACACAGGACCTGCTCGAACTCGACGAGGAGTTCCGCGAAAACCACATGGAACTGCTCACGCGATTCTACCTCGCGTTCGAGAGCATTTACAAGTACGTGATTGACCTCAAGCGATACTTGGAGGATTTGGACGAGGGCATCTTCATCCAGCAGACCCAGGACACGGTCATTTTCAACGCAGACGGCAAGCAGCTGATGGCGGAGGCGCTCTTCCTGTACGGCGTCATGCTCATGATTGTGGACATGCGCCTGGAGGGTCCTGTCCGCGAGCGCCTGCTTGTGTCGTACAACCGCTACCGCGGCGCCCAGACGAGCGATGCGCACGTCGACGATGTGTGCAAGCTGCTGCGCTCGACGCGCTTCAACCCCCGCGACGGCTGGGCCAAGCGCCCTGCAGGCTACCCCGAGGACTACTTTGCCCGCGTGCCCATCAGTCCGCAGTTTATCGACATGGTGCTCGGCCGCCTGCGCACCGACGACGTGTACAACCAGATTTCGGCCTACCCGCTGCCCGAGCAACGCTCGGCCGCGCTTGCGACCCAGGCATCCATGCTCTACGTGATCCTGTTCTTTGCCCCCGACATTCTGCAAAACCAGCAAGCCAAGATGCGTGAAATTGTCGACAAGCACTTTCCCGACAACTGGATTATCACCATCTACATGGGCGTCCCTGTCAACTTGATGGACGCCTGGGAGCCGTACAAGGCGGCTCGCCTCGCGCTCAACAACACTGGCGAGCTTGGCAACGTCAAGCACCTGGCAGAGCGCTACGTCTCGCGCGTCAACAAGCTCAACAAGGACGTGGCCGCGTTCCTGACGGAGGGTGTTCTGGTCGAAGAGTATGTGCTCGACCACATTCCAAAGTTGATGAGCTGCATGCGCGACTGCAACGTGACCCTGCGCTGGTTGATGCTGCACACAAACGAGGCTGCCGCAGAGGGCTCGACGCGCTCGCGCAAAATCCGCGAGCTCGTCCTGGCGGCAGGCTTCAACCACCGCGACCTCTTCCAGCTGCTGCTCAACACGAGTCAGTTTGAGTTTGTCCTCAAGCAGCTCTTCTCCGAGCTGCTGGAGCGCAAGCAAGCCAAGTGGCAAGCCTGTCAAAAAGAGGCCGCCGAGCGCATGACCGAGCTGGCCGACGTCTTTAGCGGCACCAAGCCCCTGACGCGCATTGAAAAGAATGAAAACCTCCAGGCGTACTTCACCGAGATGGCCAAGCAGATCAACTCGCTCGACTACTCGGACTCGACTTCTGCCGGCCGCAAGATCATCCAGCTCATCCAAGCTCTCGAGGAGGTGCAAGAGTTCCACCAGCTCGAAACCTCCCTGCAAATCAAGCAATTCCTCGCCGAGACGCGCACCTACCTGCACCAAATGATTCGCACCATCAACATCAAGGAGGAAGTGCTCGTCAACATTGAGCTGATTGCCGACATTTCCTACGCGTGGGAAATCATTGATCTCTTCACGCCGTTCATGCAGGAGAGCATCAAGCACGACCCGTCCGTCGTCATCAAGCTCCGTGCCACCTTCCTCAAGCAGGCATCGGCGCTCGACGGGCCCCTCATCCGCATCAACCAAGCTGCGTCCCCGGACTTGGTGTCTGTCTCCCAGTACTACTCTGGCGAGCTCGTCTCGTACGTGCGCAAGGTCTTGCAAATCATCCCGGAATCCATGTTCCGCATCCTCGAAAAGATCATCCACATCCAGACGGAAAGCATGACCGAGCTCCCAACCCGGCTAGACAAGGACAAGATGCGAGAATTCTGCCACTTGGACGAGCGATACGAGGTGGCGCGCCTCACGCACGCCATCTCGGTCTTCACCGAGGGCATCCTTGCCATGAAGACCACCTTGGTCGGTATCATCAAGATTGATCCCAAGCAGCTGCTCGAGGACGGCATTCGCAAGGAGCTTGTTCAGCAGGTTGCGCTGGCCATGGACCGCGTTCTCGTCTTCCCACGAGGCAAGAATGAGCTGGATGGCCGCCTCGACCAGCTTGCGCTTCGCATGGACGGCTTCCGTCGCTCGTTCGAGTACATCCAGGACTATGTTAACATTTACGGCCTGCGCATCTGGCAAGAGGAAGTGTCGCGCATCATCAACTACAACGTCGAGCAAGAGTGCAACAGCTTCCTCAAGACCAAGGTATACGACTTCCAGTCCATCTACCAGTCGACCGCCATTCCCATCCCGCGCTTCCCGCCCGCGCCCGAGGACGTGTCTGTCAACTTTATCGGCCGTCTCGCGCGCGAAATTCTCGGCCTCACGGACACCCGCACCACTGCGTACATTGAGGCCATGAGCGCTTGGTACGACACCAAGACTTTCAAGGAGGTCTTTGCGATTCGGTCGTTTGGCCGCCTGCAGAAGGCCGTCGGAACGTTCGGTCTGACTGGCCTCGACCGTCTCTTCTCCTTTATGATTGTCCGCGAGCTCCAAGTCTTCACGTCGCTCATCAGGAAGCACCTCAAGCTGGAGCGTGGCCTCAAGGGTCTGCTCGAGGAGATTTCTCGCTCGCTGGAGCCCACCCACCAGCTGCCCGATCAACCGCAAAAGCTCTACGCCGCGGCCATTGCCAAGATGGCCAAGCTCTTCCCAGCCTACGTTGATGTCATTATGCGCGTTGGCCAGCTCCAGATTCTGCGTCGCCAGATTGCTCACGAGCTCCTGTTCTCCTGCAAGCTCGACTCCAAGCTGCTTGCCAGCACCCTGACCGTTTTCAACACCTCCATCAAGATGGACATTGACGAGCACTACCGCGACCCCAACAAGCCGTACCCCGCCGAAGACAACCCGCTGCTGTTTGAGCTGGCGGCCTATCTCGAGTCGGCCGGCATCAGCGACCCCTTCACCAAGATTTACACGACCTCGACCAAGCTCGACCATTTCCCGCTCCTCAACTGCATGTTTGTCTTGGCCCAGCTCACCAAGCTCTCCTACAACAAGAGCGTCGGTAAGGGGATTGGTTTTTTTTTGTACTTTTTTTTTGTACTTTTCTTGAAATTGGAAGTAGTCGCGTTGGTTCGATTTGCCACACTTACATTTTTTGTGCTCCAGGTGCTCTGATGAGTCGTACCAAGAACGATCCCTTGGACGGCACGCCGTTCGCTGTCGGCATCATTACTCTGCTCAAGCAGTTCCACTCTTCGCATTCGTCCAAGTTCCTCGCCCTGCTCGGCCAGTTTGTGCGCGCCCATTTGAACTTTGGACCAAAGTACGTGCATTGTTTGGATTTGTTGTCTTTGCATTTGTTGTCTTTGCTGGGCTCTTGTTGCTGTTTGCTGTGACTGACCATCATGTTCGAATTCATTCTCATTGTGTCAGGGACAAGGTCGTCGAGCTGCCAGCGGAGGTCGTTAACGTTCTCGTCTTCCTCGAAGAATACAGCAAGTACTCTGGTATTTCGCGCAAGAGCGTTGAGGCGCACATTCCTTCATATGTCTTTGATCATTTCCGGCAGTAAGGTCAGAATGCTCCTGACTGTTCCATGTGTCGGTATCTTTTCATTCGTTGTTTTCTCCAGACCTGCTTCTTTTTTTTTTTCTTTCTTTCTTTCTTCCATCTGGTTTTAATGTCCTATAGTATCTGTCATAATTGTTGGTTCCTGATGTCATTTTTTTTTCTTCAAGTACAAACACAAACGTAAACACATTGACAAAGTGGAATTTCTTAAAATGAACCAGATTGGTCGTCACTGTCGCCCCAAAAGGCCGCCGCAGAGGCGGCAGAGAGATCACCGGCTGCATTGGAGGACGATTCGCCGCTTGGAATGCCTGCTGCCAGTGGAAGCGGCAAGGCGGCAGCGTGCTGTGGCGGTGGCAGCGGCGGTCGCGTATTTGGCTCTGAAACCTTCACATACTGCTCGGGCACGTAGCCATCGCGGCCGGCCACACGGGCGCGAAGCCAGCCACTGCCGTTTGGTGGCAGCATGACGGTCAGCTCGTCGCCAGCGCTAAAGCTGCATTCGTACTCTTCGCGAGAAATAAAGTCGTACAGGGCCCGAGCGCGAGCAGCACGCGCCGGTTGCTGAGGTTGCTGCTGTTGCTGCTGTTGTTGTTGCTGCAACGGTGTGCCAGTTGTGGCAGAAGAGGCTGGATCATTTGGACCCAAAGCCGGCTGCTCGCCTTGAGCGGCAGCCACCTCCTCTCGGAGCAGGCGCCAGATGGCCCAGGGGAAGGCAAACACAACCGCTACAAACAGGAAAATGGGCCACGATTTGCTCTTGGGGGACGCGGGCGTGGGGTTTCCGTTTGCGTCGACGGAAGGCGCTCGTGCCATCCGCTCCTGCCGCATGGCGCTTGAAATGTTGGCCAGCTGCGCGTCAATCCGCGGGGATCGTAGGCCCATGGCCCGCAGCAGCCGCAACACAATATACCGCACTGTGCGGAAGACGGCGATGGCCGAAAAGATGGAGGCCAGCTGGTGCCGGAGTCGGGCAAAATGGTCGGCAACGCCGAGCACCGCACGGAAGGAGCTGTACGTCGCATGGAATGTGGATTCGAGCATCATGGACACGGATCCGAATGCCTGCACAATGTTTTCGATTGCCTGGTTGTGGTTGTTGAACAGAGCCGTTAGTGAACCTGCAGTGAAAAATGATTGCGCTCTGTGCAACACAAACCAACTTACTTGAAATGCAGTCCGACTGCTCTCTTCGGCGCGAGTGGTCAGCGAGCTTGGATGCATGCCATCGTCCATGCCACCCATGCCATAGCCTCCGCCATAGCCACCATAGCTCGAGCCATATCCGCCGCCAAAACCGCCATAGCTCGAGCCATATCCGCCGCCATAGCCTCCATATCCGCCATAGCTGCTCCCGTATTGCGAGCCGTACATGCTGCTCCCATATGCACCCATGCCACCGAGTCCTCCCACTGCGCCATAGCGACGGGCGTACGGAGACGCCGCTGCGTACGGTCGCGACGAGTAAGCACCTGCCAGCAGTTGGGCAACAGAATTGAGATTTTCGGAGTCGGGACATGCGATGAACATTTATCCACCTGCGCCATTTTAACACACCTGCTGCTGGCTGGAGCGCGGACGAGGACGAGGACGCTGCCAGCGAAGCGGCCGAGCCACTGAATGGCGGCTGCGAGGGCAGCGGCGGGGCGACTGCACTGCCATTGCTATTACCAGAATTGCTGCTATTACTAGTCGCAGCAGCAGCAGCAGCAGCAGCAGCAGCAGAGGGGTGGTCGTGTCGTATCCGGAGTGAGGAAGCAGCCGACGGCAGCCCGCCTCCGCCCAGCCAGTCCGCTCCGACGCCGCCCATGCCGCCCATGCCACCACCGACTGCGGATGTGGAGCGAGTCATGCCAGTGGTGTTGGTGTTGCTGCTGTTGGGGTTGAAGCCGGGCAGGTCGCTGCCGTTCATGCGCTCCCACGGCTTTGGAAGCGCCATTCAATTTGTTTGAGCAAATGGAGATGTATTGAGAGTGAGTGAATGAGTGAGTCAGTAGAGTGAATGAATGAGTGAATGAATGAATGAGTGAATGAATGAGTGAAGTGAGGGTCGTTTCCTTCCATTCTGCAGTTCAATGCACTCATCTCCATTGTCCCTCCTCCATCCATCCATCCATCCATCCAAGTGTCACTCACTTCATCAAATCCCCTTCTTCTATTTTATTTTGTTGGTTTATTGTGTTTTCTGAGCAGTTCAGTTTTTATTTTCTTATTATTTTTCCCCATAAGGTTTGTTCCAAGCTCACTCACTCGGTTCTCGTTCGCACCTGCACTTGATCTTTGATCTTTTGTTGTTTTGCCCACTCGTGTTAGTCGTATGCCCTGCTTGCCGATTGCGCGTTGGATGTGGACGGGGAGTGTGGATGTGGATGAGCGGGTTCGCTCCTCGTGGAGCACTGCAAACACACATGGACCAAGCCAGCCCAAACAACCCCCACTACTCCCATTGCAAAGACACATCATGCAAAGTCATATTGGAACGAGCATTGGCGCTAATATTGAATCGAAACTGACTGAACTGGACTGGTCTGTGTGTGTGTTCAGGCAGTCAGTCCATATTACAAATGGTCTCGTTCTACTGCGATTCGTGCTCAGAGGTCGTCAAGAAGCCCAAGGCAGAGCAGCACTCGTACCGCTGCAGACAGTTCTACAGCTTCTCGTGCATCGATTGCGGTAATTCGTTTGGTCACGGCGAGTTCCAGTCGCACGTCTCGTGCATTAGCGAGCAGGAAAAGCACCAAAAGTCGCTCTACAAGGGCCCCAAGGCAAACCCGACAGTCCCAAAGTCGGCCCAGCAGTCAGAAAACACTGCCAACAATGCAGTGGCACCAATGGACACCGCGGCGGTGCCATCACAGGCCGCAAAGAAGCAAGAATCCGCGGAGAAGAAGCCGGTCGCTTCGAAACAAGAACCAGCCGCCGCTGCCGACAACAAGGATAAGAAGTCCAAGAGCGATAAAAAGGACAAGGATGCTGCCAAGCAGCAAAAGAACGAGCCAAAGGAAACGTCCGACAAGACCAAGGCCTCCTCAAAGCGATCGCACACCGAAGTCGAATCATCCGACGATGCCGTGGAGGCTGCTGCGGCCGCAGAAAAGCCCAAGAAGCGAGCTGCAGACTCTGACGACAGCGATTCTGACGACAACGACGAGTCTACCAGTCAAAAGAAGTCCACCAGCAGCAGCAAGGCACAGAGCAAGTCGAGCGAAGTCGACTCGCGCAAAAAGTCGCGCGTGGAGGAGCCAACGGAGACTCCAGCAGCGTCCAGCGATGTTGGAATTGCCGCCAGGGCAAATGCACTGCTGATGGACGCGAGCGACACAAAGACGACCGTCGCCGCGCTCGACAAGGTGCGCGCCAAAAGCAGCTCGTCATCCTCCAAGCGCCCTGTGCCTCTCCCTCACGGACTGGCCTACGACTTCCGACGAGCCATCATCTGTGTTCTCCTTCACTCGCAAGAGCACACTCGCCCGCGCAAGGAGTTGAAGCGAATCGTGATTGACATGGCACTCGCAACATTCCCCGACGATGTCAACCCGCGGAAGCGCGAGGGCGTGTCTGTCCGTGGCACGTTCACTGGCCTGACGATGGACGATGTGGAAAAGACCTATCGCAGCGTTCTTCGCTCAATGAAGCGCGTTGAGGTCGACAAAGAGAAGGAGGTCAAGCTGCGTCTGCCCAAGTAGTAGTAGTCGTTTGATTTCATTTTGTAGCGGTGTGGTTTTGATGTTGTGGTTTGTTTCGGACTCTGTTGAGCAACGTAATACACTCAATGGGCTCTTCTCCATGCTCTTCCACATGTCTTTGAATGCATCTCGACGACAGACAGTACAGTAGTGATCCAGCAAACCGGAAATCTTGCCCCATTTCCTATCTGCTCATCCATTTTGTTCCATCCGTTCTATTTCATTATTTCATTTCATTTCTATCTATTCATTCACTCTACTTTAATCATCTCCACATTCATCCATGAGTGGCGAGCGCAAGTTTGGCTTGTTCGTGCCTGGCGCCAATGCACAGCAACCCGTCGCAGCGACTCGATCCGCGAACGTCTTTGGCGACGACGACGACGATGATGATGCTAATGCTAATGCTACTGCCAATATCAGCAGCAGCAACAAGTCGGCGACTGCGACTGGGTATGTGGACGAAGAGTGGGCTTGAAGCATTGGCCCATATCCACTCTACACTCGACCTCACTCACTCTCATCGTTGTGTTCATTCATTCGCTCGTGTGTGTGTGTGTGTGCGTGTGTGGATTTTGCAGGTACGACGGGCGCGCTGCCGTGAACAGACAACTCGCGCAGAACGCAGAGCGATTGGCAAAGAAGGTGAGGCCCTTTTTGGTCTGAGAAAAAGAAAATCTCAGAGATTGAGAGAAAAAACCCGAAACAAGGGGGTGATTGGAAGTAGAACACAAACGGAGCATTAAACACTCACTGCGTCGAGTTCACTGGCTTCAGAACGCAAAGGAACAGGCAATGGTGCTCGAAGAAGACCCCTCCGTGTATGGCTTCGATGAGCTGTACGATGATATCCAGGCTGCAAAGAAGACAGAGAAGGCACAGGTACAGTCAGTCGCTTGACGAGCGGGAGCATGTTTGATTTTGTTACTCAACGACTGAACTGGATCAACCCCCTTTTTTGAATTTTGTTCTTGCCGCAAGCCAGATTGCTGCGCAAGCGCAAAAGCAAGCACAGCAGCCAAAGTACGTGCACGCACTGCTAAACAAGGCGGTCGAGCGGAAAAAGGAAAGCGATCTGCGCCAGGAGCGCAAACTGCAAAAGCAGGCCGACGACGACGCCAAAGAGTTTGGCGACAAGGAGCGGTTTGTGACAAGCGCATACAAGGAAAAGCTCGCTGAAATGAAGCAGCTCGAGGACGAAGAGCGAGCCAAGGCTGAGCTCGAGGAGAAGCGGGATGCCAGTCGCGGCCGCGATCTGGGCAGCTTTTACGGCAACTTGCTCTCTCGCAACGTGGCTATGGGGGGACCAAGCGAGGACAGTCAAGCGAAAAATGCCACAGACGCAAGCCGAAAACCGGGCGAACAACGACCTGGGGACGACATGATCCAGAACGCGCTGTCAACGCTTCGCCAAAAGCGCGGCGATGGCAACTTTCAGCAGCAGCCGCCCAATCCTCGCCGATCGCGCCCGCCCCAGTACAACCCTCCGCCCCAAGACACGCAAAAGCTCCAATTTTCTTCCATCGAAGACCTCAAGAAGCGCTTTGCTCGTCGGAACACACCCGAGCAAATCGAAGAAGCGCGGCAACGGTATCTCGCACGGCGTGCCGCGCGTAGTCATTGAGAATGCTTGCTTGTACACCTGCTGCATTTGAATTGGACAAATGTATTTCAAACGTTAAACAAACAAAAATCAAAGGCCTGTCCGTTCAATCTGAAGGAAGGACCTTTTACCAAACAAAACAATGTACAAAGTGTGACGACAGCCGCCAACCCTCTACGCAAGAACTGGCTTGCTCGCAACTTCGTGGGTGGATGGGGCATGTCTGCTGCTATTGACCTTCTCGAGGTGGGATGCGTCGGCTACAAGCCTTGCGGTAAACTTGCCGGGGGCGTTCGGCTTTTCCGTCACGACCGAAATGCAAGAGTACGGCGTCTCCATGACCACTGCGCTGGGATCCAAGTCCTCCACAATAAACTGCACGCCGTAGCCGTGCGTGACAATCACGCAGTGCTCGTCCGGCCCGAGGAGTGCCACAATGTTCCGTATGCACCGCTGGTAGCGTCGACTCATCATCTCGATCGTTTCCGGGTAGAAGAATGACATCTGAGGGTTGCAAGGCCAAGGCAGGGCAAGCAGAGTGAAGTTGAATGAACGAGCGAGCGAAAACGAACGAAACGAACGAAACGAAGGAGCGAGCGGACGGACGAACGAACACACCAACTCCAACAAAAAGCCTCATTTGTGAGATTGGGACACATAAAGCACCTTCTGAGACAATCCGATGTGGACAATTCCACAACTGATCGAGCGAGATTGCCCGTCCCTTTGAATCTGAGGCGTTTTCGAACAATTTCTGTCTCTTTTTCAGCATTTTTTTCGTTACCTGTGACTGGTATTCGAGGTTCATTGTGGGGACTTGCGCGACCATGTCTTCGAGGCTGAGCATCTCGGGCTTTGCCTCAAACCAGGCCTTGCACATGAATTCAGCGAGACCGTGCTCGACGTTGACGAGGACCTGCGACGCCAGCGACTCGTCGCCAGCCATGCCCGCGACAATCTCCGCAGCCGTCTGCATGCATCGCAGGAACGGCGACGTGAACACTCGGGCGACGGGGTATCTGGCGAGGCGTGACCCGGTGTGCCTGGCCTGCCGCAGCCCGTGCTCGCTCACCGGCGGATCCCTATCGATCCAAACATCGTCAAAGTCAGCCAGATGCAAATCATTCAGGACTCATGAGTGTATGTGTGTATGTGTGTGAGGTTGTCATTCAGGGTCAGCCAAAAGGTCAAAATCTGGCTCGAATTGGAGCAACTCCGACAAGAGGATCGTGTACTACCCCCACTCATGATGACCTCCCTGAGCCCCTGATCCACTCTGAGATGCAGGTGAGTTTGAGTGTGAGTTTGAGTTTGTAAGTAGGGGTGGGTGTACCATGGCCTGGCTGCGGCCGGAATCCACGTTGCGTCGACGAGATCAAGGCGCTCTGCGTGGCGCACAATGTAAATCGTACGCGGCATAGGATTCGCTTGCGAGTGGGGGGAATGAATAAGCGTAGAAGTGAGATGCAAGAAGAGTGTGCTCGACAAGTTACTGTACATATACAGTACCAAAGTGAACGAGAGCAAAATCGTTTCAGAAATGCTCAGAATTTGGAGGATTTTTTTTGCATTTGGCAGGTCCTATTGAACCGTGAATGCTTGTACTTGATCACTCGAACAGCTGTGAATTAGTGGCGATTTGCAAAAAGTGAGCAACAACAAAGAGAGAGAGATTCAAAAGCCGGTCTCAAGGAAACTGAGAAACGCTCAGTGAATTTTGCATCGGTACAGTAGTTGATGTTTTAAAGTCCTCCTCCTGATCGATTTTCATGGTGAATCTCAGTCCACTTTTTGTTTATATGAACGTTGTTGTTATTGTTGCTGCTTGATTCTGAGAAACATGGACGACGACGAGGTCGACCAAAGCCAAAGCCAACGCCAGAGCCAGAGCCAGAGCGACGTGGACCACACTGCTGACCACCACGACCACCCACAGAATGATAAAGAGGATGCTGCTCACTGCCATGATACTGATACCACTCCGGTGGCTGCGTTGGACAGCCAGCAAGAAGCAGAAGCAGAAGCACAAGAGGCAGCGGCACACAAGCGCAGCCAAGCCGAACCAGCTCAAGCGTACAAGCACACTGCGGCTACCACTGATGACAACCCTGAGACCAATACTGCTACGAATGCCACTGTTGTTGCTGCGGGCACGAGGCGACGCTTGGTCGGAGCCACGTCGCTGGTCGTGCTGGCCATTGCGACCGCGGCTGCGTTCAGCTCAGTCCTGCTCCACCCATCCACACTCATCGTCGTCGCAGTCGCAGGCGCATATGCACTGGTCAGAGTCGCGCAGGATGGCAGGCTGCCGTCGCTCTTGAGCTGGGTCACGATTGCCCGGCCGTCGTCTCGTTCCCAGGCTCCGCTGCTGCCAGCGACGACAGCGAATGCTGCAGCCGCCGTGTGTGCTGTATGCCAGTCGGACAAGTGCAACCATGCAGACCGTCTCGTCAAACGGAACGGTGGCGTCACTGCGCAGTCGTCAGCATCTTTAGCTGGTGCGCCCGGCGGACTTCCAGCCATGGCGTATGCGCAGTCGGGTTCGTCTGGACTAACGTCATTCACTGGCGCTGTTCAAGTGCCAGAAACCCTGGATCGCGCGGTTCGACTCTACCTCGACAAACTGCTCGCCGATTACGTTGATTACTGGTTCACCCCAATCAGCGCAGACACGCTCTTTCTCGACGAGCTGCGCTCTACACTGCGGTTTGTGGTACTAGGCATGGTAGATCGTGGTTGCAAGGTACGCTGCTTTTCGTTTTGCTTTTGTTCGATTTTGCAAGACATCTGTTTTGCCGTGGTTGTTGTTTGTTGTGATCTGCTCTTGTTGCTCAGCCCTCCAACCATGCCTGAACCAATCCGTGTGTGTAGGTCGATTGGGAGGCCGTCGCTTGCACAGACATGCTCCAGGTTGCCGCAGAACTGCTGCACGCGTACATGTGCGCGCTGGAGGACTTGAAGCAACAAAAGCGCGCCAACCCAACGCGGTCGCATTTCATTTCCGATCAGGAGATGGCCAGCGCAACTCTAAAGCGTCTCCCCAATGGCGGCCATATCTGCATGCAAAGCCCCGAGCTCGAGCTCGAGTATTGGCGCAAGATTTCCGACCGCTTGGCCAGCCTGCTCATGCCCGCTCCTTTACCAGACTGCCAGTCTGCGCAGCACTTGTTGCGCGAAATGTTTGCTGCGAAAGTGCTTGTGCCCAGCCTGCCTGCAATCTACGACACGGACTTTGTCAATCGAATGCTGTACAAGGCACTGTGCGAGTACGTGCCATTCGACGGCCCTGTCATGGATGGTCCCATTACGCGCCTTCGCCGCCCCGATTATCATACTGTGCCACCCACTCAGGCTGTGCTATTGGCTGGCTATGGTGGTGGAAGCCCACTCGCCTCTGTGCTGCACGTCGCCCTGCCAGACATTCTGTCTCAACCGCCGCTCTTGTTTGTATTTATGAAGTTCCTGGGCACTCAGCAAGCCTTGCACATTTTGCAGTTCTGTTTGTCGGTTGGTACGTCACTGATGTTGTTGTTGGTTTTGTTTGCCTTCTTCCTGCTTTCTGCTTCGTTCGGCATCAATCTGACGTTGTACGAACTGGCTGCTTTTGCTTCCTGTTTTTTTTTTGTTTGTTTTGTTTTTTTACAGAAAACTACAATGAACAGGCTGTGCAGGCCACGCGTGCAGATCCCGAACAGCAGGAGGCGTTGGCCACGCAGGCCAAAGACCTTTTCAAAATGTACATAAAACCCGTCGGAATCTCCGCGCTGCCAGTCGAAGACGCAGAGCGCGTGCGTATCGAGCGCCTGATTTTCGGGCAAGAAGAGTCTGGGCGGCGGTTCCCCGATGCCACTTGCTTTATGACGACCTACAGCACTTGCTACAAGCTCCTCGCCGAAGTGTACTGCCCACTGTTCCAGCGTAGTGAAATGTATTTCAAGTTTCTCTGCCATGACAGCAAAGCCCTGTCTGGGCAAACACCCACACAGAGCCAGGCCGTCCGGCCAGTGACACGGCAAGCTGTAGCGCCAACCTCAAGAGCTCCCCTCCGTGGCGCGGCTCCGCCAATGTCTGCCGCGACAGGCCAACACTCCAACACTAATGCCGCCACCAAACCCAGCAAAATGGCAACGTTCAAGGCCAAGAATGGCGTCGGGCTTCAAACGTCTGCCGTTCCAATTCCCGTCACCAAGTCAGGCTCCAATAACAATAACAATAATAATGGAAGCTTGCCACGAACACCAACTGTATTGAGCTCGTCGCCATACGCACTGAGCAGCGGCATTCCCTCCGCGATTGCTGGAAGCTCGCGTCGCCTTGAGCACGCGAGGACATCGAGCACGTCTTCCAGTGCTTCCGATCCAGTCGCGCCGCTCTCAGAAGCTGGCAATGTCGAGAGCACAGACAGCCTTGCTGTTTCCCAATCACCGCCTCTCCGTGACGCCACTGAGGGGGCGACTACGGACGATCTTTCGCCTTCTGCGTCTGTGGGCCCGTCGGCCTTGGCGTCAACGGCTCACTCGCAGGATGTGTCGCTGGCTGCATCGCCGGTGGAATCTCGAGCGCATTCCAGGTCACACTCCCGGTCTACGTCTGCCGTCTCCTTGGCCGGAGTTGAAAGTGCCGTGCAGCAACAGCAGATGCCACCACGCCAGACGTCCAACCCGTCAAACTCACCCAGTCGACCCCTCACCCCTGTCGCTGCCACCCTGGGATCAACGCCTCCAACACTACCACATCCAACCTCCGACCTTGCTCCTGTGCGCCAGGGCATTGATATGAAACGCTGGCGGATTGCCATTCGCAACGTTTCCACGCAGCGCGAGAATCTGAAAAAGTACGTCCTCTACCGAATTGCAGTGACTGCTCCGATGAACACGCTTCAACAAGTCGTGGATCCCAGCTCGATCGCCGAGTACGCGTCCATGCCTGGTCGCGATGAAGAGACATGGATTGTCAGCCGGCGGTACAGCGACTTTGACGCGCTCGACACGTGTCTCCGCAACTCTTCCTACGGCGATCAGGGCCAGCTCGAACTCCCGGGGAAGAAGACGTTTGGCAACATGGATGCAAACTTTGTCGACACGCGTCGCGCCTCTCTCGAAAAGTATCTCCAAGCACTCATTGCAGACGTCAACCTGCACGAAAGCGTGTTGCTGCATGCCTTTTTCACCCCGACTCCAACATTCCGGCAGCTGATTCATGATCTCAACGACCACGATGTCAGTCGCGTCCTGAAGGCGGTTCCGCAAAAGATCAAGGAGATTTCTGTGGGTATCGTCAGCGCGCCAATGCAATGGTTTAGCGAGGCTGGAAATCGCGCTCGAGAGCTCGAAGGGGCCGTCCAGTCGTTCGTTCCTTCTCTCCCAGCGGCGTTGTTTGACTGGCAGCAACATCGGTTTCAACGGAAGCGCGCTGCCGCTCGATTGAATGAAGGTCGGTTCCACCAACAAAAAAAAATCAACTTTTTAGCACCCAACAAAAGCAGGGATTGCGTCGTCGTCGTCGTCGTCGAACTAACATTGGTCATTTGTCGTATGCGTAGATGTTACCTCTGCGAGCAACGATCGCACTCAAAATCTTACCATTTCCGGACCAATGGAGACGGCTCTATTCGTCCTTGAAAATGCAGCAGACGTCCCACGCTCGCGTTGGAATGCTGCAGCGTCTCCGCCGGCAGAGCGTGCTCCCGCTTCGACTCCGGGTCTACCGCTGCTTCTTGCGCTTGGAAAATTCGCGGCTGGTGCCACATTTGATGACTTTATTGAACGGTATGTTCGAGTGAGTTTGTTCTCATTGGAAGCCCCACGTAAACTCACACCAACGACTGTGCTGCGGTTGACACGCTCCGACCCTCTTTTCGATCAATCCTTTTTCAGAAAGCTCCGTGATAACATTGAGTTTCAGCTGAGAGAAAATTCCGCCCTCGACTTGCTCCAGCTCTTGTACGCTGCAACATTCGACGCTGCCCCTGTTGTGACCGACGAAGAGCGCGCGCGAAACAAGCAAATTGCTTACGACGAAATGTTCAAGTTTCTTCCTCGTGAGTGACTTTGACTTTGACTTTGATGCTTGTTTCTTTCGCACTCGTGACTTACTCTTGGGTGTCGTTTGGTTTTTTTTTGATGACCCACCACCTTTGATGTTTGTTCCTGCCTACAGCCATTGCTCATCACATTGTCGGAGTCGAGTACTTGCGAAATTGCGCTGAAAACTTTTTCGAGCTTCTCCAAAACCCACAACTGTCCAAGCAGCTCGTTCTCAGTGTTCTTGACATCACCATCGTCAAGTTCTTCCCCGAACTATCTGCTAGCGCCACCCCAATCCCTTGATAAGAAAAAAAAAGCAACCACAACAACCTGCCTTGATACTTTGATGTCGCGAAATTGTAATGATACAATCTGAGTTGATTTTATGCTTCAAAATGATGTTTGTACATTGTGTGTTTACAGAACGCCAGGCGCTGGAATTCCGACCAAAAAAAAAAGAAACATAGCTTTGCAGATGGGAGAGTAAGGGGTGAGTGAGAATGGGGAGGAAATGAGGTGAGGTGAAGCGCGAAATTGAATACACGCACTACGTGGAAGGAACGAAAAAAGGGGGTAAGGAGGGCAATGGCATTGATCAGGTGGTAAAGATAAGGGGGGGGAGGAGGAAAAGCGTCATCCAGAAAAAAAATACAGAAAAATAAGCAACCCATAGAAAACAAAAACAATCATGGAAGAAGAATCATTTCTCGAGCACTCCTCAAAATAAGCTCGTGCATGGCTTGTGCGTACGCCGGGAATTCGGAACGGTTGCCGTGCACAAACCGCAGCGTAATTCCGCAGTTGGCCAACAGAGATCTTACGTCGGACGAAGTGGTAACTTCGATGGTATAGCGGAAGGCTGGCAGCGTGCAGTTCAAGACATATGCCGGGCCCTCAGTGTAGACAATGTTGTCCATGTCGAGCAAGCGAGTAATCATCGTGAAGAAGCGGCGTGGGGTGCAAGGCACAACACACGGCACGCTCTCGTCGTGACGCGGAATGGTTGAGCTGGCGACCTTCCAGGCGTCCTTCTCCAAAAAGTTGAGCATCAATATGCGTGTACCGTTTGCGTTGGGCGTGCCGCCAAGCTCGGTGATGGCCTCGAACAACCGTTCTTCTTGGGCGCGTTGGACGGGATTGTCCGCGTTCGCCGTGATGGAGCCAACGACCTGCGCATTGTTTGGCAAACTCAGATCCCGGTCAACCACCGTGTACTGCATCGTGCCACCCTGGTGGGCATGGGTCTGCGTGGTTGTGACGGGGAAGGATGAGCCGCCTTTGATGGCGGCCACCAACCGTGTTTCGTTGAACTGCAGTCGCCAGACAACCGCTTCTGGGCCCAGCGTGACAAGGTTGTGCAGGAGCTGCCCCGTTTTGAGATCCCACACTTTGATGTGACCATCATCCGAGCCCGAAACGATTTTCTCGTCGTCGAATTGCACGCACGTGACGGCAGAGTCGTGACCGCGAAGGGTGTGCAGGCATTTGCCCGTCGTGACATCCCAGACCTTGAGCATGAAATCCGCATTACCAGACACGAGAATGTTTCCGCGGAGCTGCATCTGGCCGACCAGCGACTGGTGGCCTTCGAGCGTGAAGATGTTCTTGCCGCTGCGAGCATCCCAGATCTTGATGAACGAGTCCAGCGAGCCGCTTGCAATCAGGTTGCCGTCGAATTGAAGCGAGTAAATGTTTTGCAGGTGACCCGTGAGGACGTGCAAGCATGATCCCGTTGCAAAGTCCCAGACCTGTGTGGTTTTTTTTGTTTGTGTGGTCAACGAGGTGATTTTTTTTTTTGTGTGTGTGGTCAACGAAGTGAGTCCAACGAAAAACGAAAATGACACGCGAAAGAAGGCACATAAAAACCAAACAACAACAACATGAAAAGGGGACTCACACGCAACGTGAAATCATACGAGCCAGACACGATGAGGTCGTCGGAAACGCAGACGCAGCGAACAGCCATCGTGTGACCGGTCAGAACACGCACAGTTTGCAAGCTCCAAATGCGCAGTGTTTGGTCGCGGGAACCACTCACGACGTACTTGTCGGTCAAGCACAAGCAGCGCACAGTAGAGCTGTGGCCTTCCAGAACACCGACGAGTTTCCCTTGCTGAATATTCCAAATCTGAACAAGAAAAAGTGCAGGAAAGAGCAAGTCGAACAGAAAGAAACATCAGAACAAAAACAAAATGGCCACAAGCAGAACATGCCAAACGCGGTCCAACCGGGGAAAACCAAACAAACACCCGAACCAAAAAAAAAAAAAAATCAAAACCCGTACCCTCAAAGTCCGATCCGTAGAACCGCTAACAATCAAAGCGTCGCGAGCCTGACAGCACCAAACGCCGCCAGTGTGACCATGCAGAGTGCGCAAAAGATTGCCGGAGACTGCGCACCAGATGCGCACGGTTCGGTCGTCGGCGCCGCTGATAATGTGCGTGTCGTGAAGCAACAGACAGGTAATGACGGCTTCGCCGTGACCGTACATGGCCCAAGCGTTGAACTTTGCAGACTTCCAGTTTCGGTCTGACCAGCGCCGAAGCAGGCATCGACGTTTCCAAGAAATCCTTGGTGCCAGAAAGTCAGGCAAGTTCACCGGGCGAGGCACGGCCTGCAGGAAGAAGGAATCATCGATTTTCAGCTGATCGCACTTGAGTCGCCACATTCTACGACATTCAAGGCAGGGAATGGGAAGGCACAAGCACGGTGAGAAGGTGCGTGAAACAAAACCAACGACGCAGACACGCAACACTTTGAGCGTCAACACAAACTCACGCATCGTCATCAATCACTCGTCGCCATGAGCGCGAGACGCGGGCGGCAGTTATGAGGGTATCGACATCCAGGTGTTGAAGAATAGACAGAGCAAGCTCGTGTGGTAGCAAGGAAATGAAATCTCTTCGGAAGAGCGGCTCGAGGAGAGATTCTGCCACGCTGTATGTCAAAACGAGACAAAAAACGAGACGCGGAGGTTGATTGCAACGATATGAGTCGAAGATCCCAAAGCCCCAACAAAAAACACAACAAAATCGTCCCAGACACCAGTTGGACGGGAACGTACCGCAGTTGAGACAAGGAACAGCAGCGCAGCAAGGTCTCGAGCAGCTGCGCTTGCAGAGCCGGACTGGACTGGGTGAACTGGCCAACCCAGCTCCGTGCATCGTTATTACCACCGGCGGCGGGAACAAGATCTTGAACAATCATCTCGGTGGAGCCTGCGGGGTGCAAAGGGTAGGCGTGATCAAGATACCGGCGAGAGTCTGGCGCGTCCTGGCTGAGGGTCGCGACAACGTGTGGCAGATAGTGGTACTGTGCGAGAATTCTCACCGTCTCGCTATCGAGGGGAGTCGCGGGAATGCTCGCCGACTCTGGGCGGAAGTGCTGCCTGTCGACGCGCGCGTGTGTGCCAATGGGCGAGCTGAGAACATCTGCAGACGATGCACCAGAGCGGCCGGCGCCAGAGACGGCTTCAATGAATGAGGCCGACGCCGATGGTGGCTGGTGCATGTGCTGGTTGTCGTCCAGCTTCATGACCTGAGACTCGGTCCAGTGGGCCCCTTGGTTGTCCGCCTTCAAGTCCGGTCTCATGTTCCACAGCGGCTTCTCGCGTTTGGTCGCAAAGATGCTCGTCTCCTGGGGTGCGCGCTGATTTGGCAGCACCTCAAGTGCTTTGGCATCTGGCTTGCCTGGCCACAACGTCCATTTCTGGCTCATTCTGATTCACAGTGGCAACTTGTAGAGGTTTTTGTTTTTGTGCTATTTGAAGGAGAGGGGCTTTTGTATGTGTGTCCTGCAACAAAAAAAAAAAAACGGTGAGAACACACAGCCAAACACCCAAAAAGTAATCCAGACAGCTGCTAAACTGGGGCGTGATGTCTGATCGCTTCTGCTTCTTCTTCCTCTTCCTTACACGTCACCACTCCTATGTTTGAGGACTGAAATGCATTCACAGACTTGTCGTGACAGAGAAAGAACGGAGACTTTTTTTCTTCTTCTTCTTCTTGCTTTCTTTTGGTTGAAGACTTAAAACATAGCTTTTTTTTTTTTCTTTTTTTTTTTTCTTTTTTTTTTTTAAGATGAGTTTTTTTAGCTGGGCCTTCTTCTTCTTCCGATATGTTCCTCCTCGTTCCTGTGTGAGTGAGACAGACACGGGAGGGGGAGCTGCGCCCCGCCGCACTTCCTCTGAGAGAGCATTCTTCACTTGTCGGAAGGTGCTCGCGGTGTCAGGGGAGAGGCGAGAAGGTCGAGAGGACACGACAGTGACAAAGGAAGAAAGGGAAAAAAAAAAAAGCATAGTTTGCCCTCCATCTCGGTTGTCCCGTGCTGCAGAGCCGGCGGCAGGTCGCTCGGGTTGACACACACCATAACACCTGCGTCCGACAAAAGCGCAACCTCGCTGCCCCGTCCCGCAGCCGAGACCAACGCCAAGCAAAAAAAAAAAAGCCACTGCCAGCAAAAAAAAAAAAAAAAAAAAAAAAAAAAAAAAAATGGTGACAAACAACAAGGCTAAGGAGGAACATTGCAAGCTGGACCAGCGATAGAGGCGTCGAGAGGGGTTGCGGGGTGGGGGATGAGCAAGGGGTGAAGAGTAGAACAGCATCAACGAAGCACAAAGTCAGGGAGCGAGGCTGCTCAGCGGGGCTGCGTTGAGCTTCAAGCTGAAATCGCAATGGAAAAACTCACTCAGAATGAAAAAAAGACTGCTCGCTTTTTTTTTTTCTTTTTTTTTTGGATTTGGTTCTGCTGGGTGTTGATCTGGTCTGATTTCCCCTCAATTCTCATCATCGCTTTGCTGCTGCTGGAGATCAAACTGCCACCAAACCAATGCTGAGCATCCGGAGTGATAAAGACAAACCCCAAGCTTCCAATTGGCATTTGGCTGTGAAAGCACTTCTGGTTCATCCAGCCCCCATGTTCAGCAACTGAGACCAGAGTACAACTAGCAACAAACAATTCTAGCATCGTAGTTAAAGTGAAGAAGGCTCGCTCAGTCTTCACCCATCGAATCTCGCAGAAAAATGGCTTCCGTCTCTGGCGTTCCAATCTGGCCCGACGCAGGCATCCGCAGCGCGTGGCTCTCGCAGTGGCAGCTCCCGTCGCTCTCAGTTGCGTTTCTTGACTTGTTGCTGCCCCGGTTGAGCCGGTGGGCGCGGGGGGGAGGAGGTTTGCGCAGTCGGGCCAGATTGCAGTTCAGAGGAGGAACAATCTGGCCCGTCTTGTTGGCATAGGACAGTCACGCAGAGTGCCTGGATAGTAGTCGGCAGCGCCCTTCTTACACTTGGCTGTGCTGTGATTTTCTTTTGCACTTGCGTCGACATGCTGGCAGGTTGGCATCCAGATTGGCCTGTTCAAGCTGCTCGACAGCAACCCCGGGTTGACGAGTGCGCAAATCTCAGAGTCGCTCAAGGTGTCCAAGCGCGGGTAAAAAACGATGAAACATACACGATCCAATGCATCTTGCAAATCGCGTGTCTTTGCATCGTGATGGTGATGTTGTCGTGCGCTCGCGAGATTGCCGGCACAATTCTAACTCTTTGCGCCACTCTGTCGCCAGAATCGACGCGCTGACGGCAGTGCTCGGTGCACTCACCTTCTTGGAGTGCCGCGGAGGAGCCTTCCATAATTCGGTCGAAACCTCGCTGTACCTGCTCGAGGGCAGCCAGTTCTTCTGGGGACACATGCTGATGGGTCGCCCGGGTTCGGAAGCGTCCGCGTTGCACCGACGCCTGCACGACGCCATCGTGCACGACCAAGTCGACCCTGGAGCCGTCAACGAGTGGGAGGCTGGATCGCTGCCAGATCCTGAGCGTGCGGCCGCCATCACGCGCGGAATGCACAGCCACTCGGTTGCACCGGCGATGGCTCTTGCGGCATCGCCTCGCTTTAAGGCTCTTAACGTTACCAAGCTTCTGGATGTTGGCGGTGGCTCTGGCTGCTTCCCGTGAGTATTTTTTCTTTGCTTCTTTGTTTTTGGGCGCGATGGCACCGTTGTCGATTATTCTCCGCGCTCATTATTCTCCTTCCATTGCTTGGTTGCACCACTCGTCGTCGTCGTTGTTGTTGTTGAGTGCAGGATTGCGATGGCTCAAGCCAATCCAGCATTCAAAGGTGTCGTGATGGAAATCGACACTGTCGGCAAGTGTGCGCTCGAGTTTGTTGCTGAAGGTAATAATTCTAGTCTTGCTATTGACAAAAACTGTTGACCAAGAAAACTGGCTGACCCGGGCTGACCCTGTGGCGAAACAGCAAAGGTGTCTGAGCAGATTACCACGATTGCCCGAAACATGTTCAAAGATGCCTGGCCGACACCAGCAGAGGGGTTCAACGGGGTCTTTTTCAGCAACATTTTCCACGACTGGAATCATGCTCAGAACACGCATCTCGCTCGCAGCGCGTTCAACACACTGGCGCCTGGTGGTCGAATTCTGTTGCACGAGACGCTGTTGAATGATGACAGCACCGGGCCCTTTGTTGCCGCGGCGTTTAGCATGCACATGCTCGTGTACACGCGCGGCAAGCAATTCACGTTCAAAGAGCTGCAGGAGCTCCTGACCTCTGTGGGTTTTGTTGATGTCCAAGTGTTCCCCACGTACAGCTTCTACTCGATCGTTCATGCTCGCAAGCCGTGACCGAGGAGCAGAGTGAAAAGAATGGCATTGTTGCTGTTCATTGTTTTGAGTTTGTGTTTTTGCTCGTTGTCAATCGACATACAAGAGCAGACCAGGCAATCGTATATATTGGAGCCGGACACCATTTTTAAGAAGCTACACAACACGAAAAGGGACGCAAGAGTCTGAGCAAACCAGGCGATTTAGGCGTCGGTTGGCCTGTACGCCGTGTAGAGCAGGTACAAGAATCGCACGATCGTCTTGAGGTTGCGCGTGACAATTTCTAGCAAAAGACAAAACACCAAGGCACACGTCAGCCACAAAACCCAAACCCAAACGAAAACAAAAACAAAAACAAACAAACAAAAAAAATGGCATACCGCGCGCGTAAATGCCGTTGCGAGACAGACCCATCTTTTCGAGGAGCTGGAGGCACACTTCAGCGTTGTGAACCTTCATGTCGTCGTTGATGGGTGTCAAGTGATACATGTTCATGGGCACATAAAAGTCGCCCAGCGATCCGAGAAGCAGAATCAGGTAGACTCCGTCGTGGAACTGAAGCGCCAGATCTGTGACCTGCACGCTAATCTTTCGCAGGTGGTTGTTGACAAACTGAACGAGTTTCTGCAAGATGCAAGACAGACAGAGAGCGACAGTCAGTAGAGAGCAGAACGACACGCGAAACACAAAGAAGCTTGCACATACCTCTTGGATGAGTTGCAATCGTTCGGGGTCGTTGGCCTCGAACAAATCATCAATGACATCGCGAGTAGAAATGGCTGGCAAATGTCCAAAACGTCCGAGTGAGCGTCACATGCAAGACTTTCCCCCTTCATCCGAGCACAATTTAGCTTACCAACATCCTTCTCATCTGCGAGCACCTTGCTGTAAAGTCGAAAAAAATGCAAACAATGAGTTTCTCGAGAAAGGAACTAACGCTTGCACATAAAAGAGAAACAGGAGACTCACGCTGCGCCTTCGGCGCCAAGTGCGCCCAGATGCTGGCGATTGTCGGTAATGTCATAGGCCACAGTCTTGTTCGTGATGACGCCGTTGTTGCTCTAGCAAAAGGTCGACATGTGCTGAGTCAAAGAGGAGGTACAAATGCGCAAATAGAACGACTCCAAAAAACCTACCACTCGGTTCACGACAGCAACGCGAACGTTGGATGGAATTTCGTTCGGGCACTCCAGACGGTAGCCGAGCTCGACGCACAACATGAGGATGGCAGCAATATCCTTGCGGAAGATGCCTGCAAAAGCAACAAAAGAAGCAATTGCAATAAACCGAGAAGAAAACTGAGTTCGCACCAATGAAACTTGCATCGCATCAACAGAACAACAAGATGCCAAACCTTCAAAAGTCCAGCGCTCTTCGGACGGCTCCATGTTGAACTCTTGCTTCAGGAACTTGAACAAGAAGGTCAGATTTTCACGCTTGCTCTTATCGGATTGCGCGAGGAGGTTGTACTTGATTTCCTTTCCCGTGACCGTTTCTGGGGGAGGGGGAAGGGGTGTGATGATGATAATGGAGAAAGGTCAGTCATAGCTTCAGTCGCTCTTTGCAGTTGTACTCCAGAACGAGATTGCTGACAAAACCAAGAAAAAAAGCGATCATCCAAGACTTACGGAGGAAGTTGATCAAAATAATGCCGTCATACAGATCTTGTGCAAGATCACGCACGATGACTTTTTGAGAGGCGGTGATGGAGTTGAGCCACACCATCAGATTCTAAGCAAAAAAGTAAACTATTAGTCAAGAACGGGTGCAGGGCCCTCCCCCACCCCTGTCGGGTGTACTCTAAAAAATCACTGTACCTTGATCAGGCGTTTGACCTTGGGGTCGCTGTTGGAAGAGCTGTGCAAGAACGAGCTGACGGTATATTCGCCCACTGTTGCAATGAATAATGTCAAAGTCAAAAAATGTTAGAATGGCGTTCAAGATCTCGCAAAAGCCGGGAATTTTTTTTGCAGCAATGGATTGAATTGAGGTTTATGTGGTTGGTCAAAGGTCTTTGAGCAGTGAGTGGTTGGCGGTTGGATGTGCGCGACGAATTCAAAAATCCAATGCAAATCCTATCAAAAAACTCGAAAACCCGAAAACCAAAAAAAAAAAAAAAAAAAAAAAAAAAAAAAAGGTTGCCAAAACAGATCCGAAAAACGCCTTTTCAATAGCAGCGAGCAGTCAATGAAGTCCCCCCCCCACCCAACCCACCTCGCCTCGCATTGTGTGTTTGGGAGCACAGATGTCTGCTTGAGACTCGAGCGAAACTGCGACTGCACCAGCAGCTCCGTGTGAATCGATGCGTGAAGCGTCGTGAGCGAATATGGAATTCTGGCAGGGCGAAGGTCGCTGCAGCAGCGCGTCGCTGGCAGTTGGACTTGCAAGTACTCGTGTGAGTGTCGCCAGCAAAGTGCAAAGAACGACAGGCAGAGGCGGGTGATGACGCGGAGGAGGAGCGGCGCGGAAAGGAACAGAGGATTGAGCGAAAAATCGTCCATTGCCTTTTGGCTGGATTGGACTTCCCCTTTCTCCCCTTCCCCTCCCCCCCCAATGAACACCACAGACCAACACAAGCCGCGAGGAGCTGCACAAAAGGAGGAGTTGGGAGGTGGAAGACGCACAGTCGCGCGAGTTGGTCTTGTCGAGATCGACAAACGCATTCACAGCGCTTTTCGTCATTGCTGTGGAAGGATTGAAGTAAGAGTGAGCTCAGCTCGACTGAGATTGAGAACAGTAACAGTGTTACATGATGACATCGACCGAGCAGTGCACACGCATACGAACAGATCAACAATCACACAAAGCCCAATCACATCAACCAAAAACAACCACCCCTCAAACTACATCAAATTTTGAGAAATAACTTCATGCCAAATGTTGTGCGCATGAGCAATTATTCGGTCCATGTCCATCTCGGGCAGATGCTGCAGATAGGCAAGCAGGTCGGCATACTCGAGCTCCTCGATGGTCTCCTTGCAGTACGCAAGAATGGCTAGGCAGACGTACGGGTGCAGTGCAAAGCCGTCGTCCTGCGCAAGATACGTATCCCATAGCCGCACAACGCACGATAATGGCAGCTCCTTGGCGAGCAGCGACTGCAACCAGGGCACGGCCCATTCGTTTGGCTCGAGCTCTTCCTGCTCAAAGTGCGAGTACAGCTCAGACTGCGTCGCCCGAAACACGGCCATCAGGTCGGCCACCAGCTTGTTGGTGGCGGGAGGAGGGAGCCGCGGCTGGACTTGCCGCATCAACTGCGAGAAGGCGTGGAAGGCCTCAGCCTCGTTGTCCTCAAAGGCGAAAATCACGGGCCCGCACAGAGGCACGACGCTGCCAGTAAAGTCGGCCAAGTCCGAGTTGCGACTCAGAAACACGGACACGACGTTCTCAAACAGCCGTTGGGTGGACTGCTGCTGGAAAAACTCGACGCCGTCCTGGAAGCGCTTGATTTCGCCGCGGACGCGCTTCACGGGGATGGCGTCGCTGGCACTGAGGTCCAGCTGGTCGCGCCGCCGCTGCTCGCTGTACTCTTGTGAGCGAGCCAGTGTGGAGGTCACTTCCTGCGACTTGTCTGGCTGTGCGACGCGCAGCAAGTACCGCCACACGTCCGCGCGCACCTCGTCCGGAATACCGTGCACGGCGAGGTCTTTCAGCCGATCCATGTCGACGTAGGACTCTTGGCCGAGCACTTCCTGGAAATCCTCTGCGCTTGCATACATGGGTCCAGTCCGGTCAGGGTTAGGGTCAAGGTCAGGGTTAGGGTTAGGGTCAGGGGATGTAAACGTTTCCTCGTGCTTTGTGCTCTGTTGGCTCGAGCTGGTTGGGCGGTGAGACAGCAGAGACGTATGGAGTGGGGCTGTTTCTGCTTCGTTCCCTTGTCGTCGACTTTGTGTTGGACTCGCGATGGACTCGCGATGGGCACGACGACGACGACGACGGTCTCAGCCGAAAGAAGAAGAAGAAGGAAAAAAAAGAGTGGTACAAACAAAGGGGTTGGATGAATGAATGCAACAGTCCGTGCAATTGTGTGCGAGTGGTATGCGATTGAATTTCGATGATTGAGAGGGCGACGGGGCGGCGGAGGGGGAGGGGGGCAAATACGGGTAAAATTGCTGCAGAAGAGGCTCAGAGGCAAAGTCACTGTGTCAGTTCAATGGTGTGCTTGATCGGCGTTTTGTTGGAATTGGATGTTGTCAGTCCACGTCAGATTAAATTAGGCAGCTCAGTCCCTTTCCTTGCAATGTCAGTACACCACAGTGTTGGTCTGTTGAGTTGGTCTGCTGCTGTGAAGTGATCAGCGGTTGCGTCGTTTGAGCTGCGTGCTTCCGGCATGCGAGCAAATGGTGGAGGGGGGGACGCAGAGTGACCTTGACAGCCCCATCGCGACAAAGTGCGACAAGTGCGAGACGGAAGGGGGAGGAGAGGACGAGAAGCGAGCGGAAGATTCAGCCGAGCAACCGGCAAGTGAAGGGAAGACAAGGGGGCCACAGCGCCCGACAAAGACCAAGCTCAGAACCCAACGACACGGCGTGAAATCACTCGATCTGACGCACAGACGGAGGGAGATGGGGACAGGGGGACAGCGAAAAAAACTGCGAGGAAAACGAGAGCGAGCGGCAAATTCAAAAAAAAAAAAAAAAGGAAATCAAATGATCGGCTTTTCAAAAAAGCCAACGGCTGAATATGAACAAAAATCGTCCAACTGAGATAACTGAGATGTCAGATTTCACACTCACAACAGCATCATCACAAAGTAGCATGAGTGTCGCCCGTGATACACGAGAGAATGGGGCGGACAGCAACAACAACAACAACAACAGAGTTTGAAAATCTTAGAAACAAAACAAAAAAGGCAGTCAGTAGGTCACACACACACACACCCTCTCAACTCGGAAAAAAAAAAACAAGCTTGCGAGGTCACCAGACTAACTTTTATTGGTTGCTGCTTGGATTGTGCGCTCTCGCCAGATCCTAAATCATGTCTCGTCCGACTGCCGGTCTGTTCGACCTTCGTGGCCAAATTGGCTTTTACGCCCAGTACCACCACAACACCTGGAACAAGCTCATCCACATTGTCTGCGTTCCGCTGCTGCTGTGGACACCCATGATCTGGCTCGCTCGCACTGGCGCGATTGCCGCCCTGCCCGCTGGCGTCCAGTCCTTTGCCGCCGGCTTTGGCCTCAACCCCGTCTTTGACGGCGCAATGGTGCTCGCCCTCTTCTACGGCACCTACTATGCCATCCTTGAGCCCGTTGCTGGAACTGTCGCCGCTGGTATCCTGCTCGCCGGCGCTTACTCTGCCACGTACGTCTCGTTCAACGTCGACAACGTCATCAATCTCTCGATTGGCCTCCATGTTGTCTGCTGGATTGCCCAGTTCATTGGCCACGGTGTTGCCGAGAAGCGTGCGCCTGCTCTGTTCCAGTCCCTGTTCCAGTCGCTCGTCCTCGCTCCCTTGTTTGTTTGGCTCGAGGTCCTCTTCGCTTTCGGCTACCGCAAGAGCCTTGCCAAGGAGATCAACATTCAAGCCATCAAGGACATCAAGACCTTCCGCGATTCTCAAAAGAACAAGGGCAAGTAACTGCTGCAGCTACGCCTCGAGTCGCTCGTTTGTTGGTGGCGCGTTAAACCCTCTCGGATGTTTTCTGTGGAAGAATTCTGCTCGAATCAAACGAGACAAAAACGCTCTTGTATTTTTTTGTTTTTGTTGTTTCTTTTGTTTTCACGACCACATCGATCAATGTAACCATTTGCAAAGCCATCCGTTCTAAACGGGCCCAACAACTCGTTTCAATGTTGCGTCGTCACGAAGGGCAAACGTTACATCCGACTGGCTCACATTCAGCCGCACACGTTGGTACAAATCATTGGCGCCATTCTCGACCAACAGCAGCCGCGATGCGCCAAGGCGAGCACAGATGGCAGCGACCGCCGACGTCGACGGGGCTGGAATTCCACGGATGCGACAAATGCCGACATGTCTTGTGAATAGCTGTTGTTTGTTCCAGTTGAGCAGTTGGGAGGAGGGGGGGGGGGTTCGAGTAGCGTTAGAGTAGACCAAAAAGAACAGTCGAAAAACAGTCGAAAGTTGGTTTCCAACACATGAAATCGCGGTGCAAAACATCAAAAGTCCTCTTTGCAACCGAAAAAAAAAGCTCACCTTGCCAAAGGTCGCCTCCTCCAAGCCCGTGCGGCCAAATTCGGAAAGAATCGCGCAAAGGAAAGTACGCTCTTGCACGGACGCTGTCTGCATTGCCATAATGCTTGGAGAGGCAAAAAGCTCAGCAATGGCCGAGTCCACGCTCTCGATCGTCACGGAAAATCCATCAAGCTCGCTACTCTCAGTCTGAGCATCGCCGCCGTCCTGTGTAGCAGCTGTGCGTTTCGTGCGATGGGCAGCCTCGGCAATTTCCGTGGCTCGCCGGCAAATGTCCAGCGCGCGCCGAGCATCGCCAGAGACGGCGGCCACCTTGCGTGTGCACAGTGTGAGAGCTGCAGCATCGAAGGCGTGGACAATGCCTTCCAGTCGCGACTGCACAATGAGCTCCAGCTGCTTGAAAGTGTATGGCTCAAAGGTCAGACGCGTCGGGCCCATTCGACTTTGAATTCGATTGGACAGATGGCGCTCGGGCAAGTCCATCGTGTTGGCAATCGCCAGTGCAATAAGACGGGCTCCGCGACGTGTAGGCCACTCGAACATGTTGTACAAGACAGACTGCTTCTTTGTCACGAGCAAATCGAGCTCATCTACAATCAAGACGATGCTCTTTTGCTTGGGCTGTGAACGCAAGGTCTGTGACTCACGCTTTCCGGCACGAGTTGCTGCACGACCGCCGCGAGAACTACTACGGCTTTGTTGTGCTCGGAGAGGGATTCGAGTGACGTGGCCATCCTCGTCTTCAACCAACTGGAAGGAATTAGAACTCGGATTGGTATTTCGCCCTCCACGGTTGCGCGCCTCGTCGCTGTCGTCGGCATCGCCGTCGTCCTCAGAGCTTTCGCCTTCGCTACTCGAGTTGTTGAAGAATTCGTCGCCGTCACCGGCACCGACAGACTCGGCTCGTGTTGCGGCGTTCACTTGCTCGCGGCGAAGGCCGACTTTGCTCGTTGTGCCTCGCCCTCGTCCCCTGCCGGCATGAGCGTCTGACAAGATTGATGCAGATGAAGATGCAGAAAAGCGCTTCTCGAGTAGCTGGGCGGCGTGGGCGGCAGTGACCTTTTGCCCTGTCAGATGCTTCCAGATGGTGGCATAGGCTTGTTGAGGATCGGTCAGCTTCATGCCATTGATTTCAATGCAAATAAAGTCGTCGAGGTTCCGGTCGTCCACTTCTTGCTGCAAGCTGCGAATCACAGCGTGCACGGTAGCAGTTTTGTCCGGTGCCTGGCACGCCCGAAATGTACATGCATCCCGAGCTCCCGTCGCGCAGCTTGGACTCGACAAACGCATGCAGCGTTGCAAATTCACTCTCCCGACAAGGCAGCGAGTCGGGCTCTGCTGAGACGTGCAGCCGCGCGCGTGCCAGCTCCAGCAGCTCTTCCAACGACGGACCAGCACCCGTCTCCGCCTGGCCAGTCGTCAGCGATGCCGATGATCCCGACAATCCCGACACCGATGCGCCAGGCGTCTTTGGTGCGACTATTGATCGCAGACGTGCATTTGGTTTTGGTGCAGCGACTGTTGCTGCAGCGCGAGCCGCCTTTGCGCGAATGGCTTCGAGCATTGCACGACGGCTGGGTTCGTCGTCGTCAACTTTGTCCGATTCGTCTTGTTCGTCTTGTTCGTCTTGTTCGTCTTGTTCGTCGTGTTCATCCTCGTTCTCAGAGTACTTGAAATCCTCGTCCTCGTTCTCGTTGTCGTCGTCGTCGTTGTTCTCGTCCTCGTCGTCCTGTGTGCGCTTTGAAACGGCGTGCTTTCGTCTCGATTCCCGCGCCTTGTCTTCGTCGTCGTCCACGTCCGAGTGGTGAGTGCGATCCAATGCAGCCGGCTCGGCCACCTCGTCGCTGCTCGATCGGCGAGCGCGCTTGGTCGCTCGTGGCATGCTTGTCGGGTCAGAAGAGCGAGCAGAGCTTGAAACGAGTGAACCTCGCTTGAATAAGGAACGAACGAATGTAACAATAAGTGCCCATCGCTGCAAATGCATTAACAATGAAGGGGGTTGATTACTAGCCTCTCGATTCAGAGACTACTGCAGTAGTGCAGTACCATTCACTTTGGAAGTACGATTTGGGGGGGACAGCTCAGTCTTAGAAGTTCTTGTGACTTGAGCAAAAATGGAACTTCCGATCGAACGCTATGACAAGGGGACGTACATTGAGACGGTAAATGAAAAATAGATGGGAGGGCGGATGACGCGGAAGACGGGGAACTGGAAGGCCGAAGAGGTTGGTTTGAGAGGGGAGTTTGCAGATTTGCATTGCTTTGAAATGGGATTTGGCTGGATTTACTCACGCTGATGTGGTTGGGGGGCTTCGACTGGATCACTGCTATAGAACACCAAGAACAAGATCAGTCGGCATAGCACTGTCTGCGGCACCCAGAACATTGTCCTCGGCGGCAAGGTCAGTCCGTCAGTCAGTCAGCGGGCAATGGTTGCTGTGGTCGGTTGATGGCTTTTGGGTGATCAGAGTCTTCTGGTGGTGTAGCTCGGAAGCCGCCTTTTGCAGAGGTCGAGAATGGGCTTGGGTGTTGGTCAGGGGCGGCAGGGCAGGAGCGGAGAGTGAGGGGGGGGGATGAATGTGCTTTTGGTGGAGGCGTCCTGTCATTCACCCAGAACTGTGTGAATCGGCAGAGCATTGTTCACGCAGAGTGCGTCATACGAGGTGATCTCAAGCACATCCAAGTCGGAAAGTACTGCATCTTGTCCAAGCGCTCCGTGATCCGACCGCCGCATCGTCTTTACAAAGGGTAAATACCTGGCTTACCAATCATTCGCGTCGTTTTTGATAACGTGCTGCTTCTTGTTTTGCCTCACTGTCTGTCTGCATACGTTGGGAAATCAGCGAGGTCGTGTTTTTCAAACTGGAAATGGAGGACTATGTTGTGATTGGAGAGGACTCTGTTGTGGCTGCGGCAAAGATTGGCTCGTATGTTCAGATTGGCAAGAACTGTGTCATTGTAAGGAACTGGGCGTTGGTATCGTGTGTGTGTGTGTGTGTCTGTACATGTGTGTGTGTGATGAGGGGGGAGGTGTTCTACAGACTCAGTGTCTCAATGTGTCACTCTCTGCTCTAGGGCGCACGATGCATCTTGAAAGACTGTTGCCGAATACTCGACAATACCGTGTTGCCGCCCGATACTGTTGTTCCGCCTTTTGCCGTGTTTGGCGGCAATCCAGGTGAGATCGTATGCAATTGTCGTGATCGCGCACACACACACACACACACACACACACACACACACACTTTGCTCACCACTACGGCTCCTGCTCCTTGTAGGAACCCTGGTCGATCAACTGCCTGAGTCGGCCAAGCTACTTCACCAGGAACTGGCGCAAACCTTGGCGGCCAACTTTGTACCGCAATGAATGCCGAAGAACAAATGACGTCGAAATTTACTTTGTCAAATTGTATGTATTCAAAGCAAGCTCTTCGACAGCGTTACAGCAAACAAGAAAGTCGGCCAACGGCCAAAACATTCCCAGGGTGATAAATGACAAAGACACTTTGAAGAAGAAGAAAAGAACAGCACAAAGAATGCAGAAAAAAACAACCTACACATGTTATAACAAACAGAAAGGAGAAAGGAGAACGAATGAGATGATAAGATGTGCACGGCGAAAACAACAACGAAAGCAACAACAACAAAGAAGGGGGATCGACCACAACAAGCAGCGTGTGCAATTAGTGGGAACGATCGCCTTGGTACAAGGGGTTCTCCGTCTCCTTGACCGAAGACTGGAAAAGGGGGTTGTTGTCCGACTTCCACTGGGAAGCTTGACGACCCTGCTCGAACTTTTGCCATTCGCGCTTGTCCATCAACATGCCGTACAGCTTGTAGGCAAGCAGTGCAAGCAGACCCGCGGCAGCCAGGCCACCACCGACACCACCGGCGATACCAGCCTTGGCTTCGTCAGACAGACCAGAGGTGGGGCACGTTCCGTTCGCGTACTTGGCATAGCACTCGGCAATGGCAGCAGACTTGGCCATGCAGAGGTTGTTGTCATCGCACCAAACGCAGCCAGGGTTGGACCTGCGCGAGCAGGCGTCGCAGTTGGTCGCAGCGCCGCAAGGGTCGGGGTCGGGTCGGTTGCACAAACGGCCAGTGTAGCCAGCCTCGCAAATGCAGACGCCGTTGCAAGTGTCGCACGTGCCATGGTTGGAGCAAGTTTGGTTTTGGAGGTTGACGGGGCAGGTGACGCCAATCTTGCAGCTGCAGCCGGTTTCGGGGGTGCCATAGCCAGGTTTGCACTTGCACTTGCAGCCGTCGCATTCGCCGTTGGGGTAGTTGCACTGCTGGCCGCCGACCTTGATGCAGCCGGAAGTTGGGCAAGAGCAGTCGCTGCCAGTGTACAGCGGCGTGCCAGTCAGCGGATCACGGTTGCACAAGCAGATGCCGCACTGAGTGGCAGACGACTGCAGGCACGTGCCTTGGCCAGAGCAGGGAAGCACAACGCCAGAGGTGGAGTTGCCAGTCGGGCACGGGTGAGCAACAGTATCGCAGTCGCACGCAGGTCCAGTCTTGCCAGGCGGGCAAGTGCAGATACCGCAGATTGGGTCGCAATCACCGCCATTGCAGCGAACGCCGCCAACAGAGGGGCAGACACCCTTGACGCAGCCGCAAGCAGGGCCGGCGTGCAAAGCATCGCAGACGCATTGGCCGCAGATGCACGTGCCAAAGCCGCTGCACTCCAGTCCATTTGTACCAACAGGGCAAGTGTTACTCGAGCACTTGCAGTCAACGCCGCTCCAGCCCGAATCGCACTGGCAGACACCGCAGTTGCACGTGCCGTGTCCGTTGCAGTTACCGGGGCAACGAGTCGAGCAGTTGCACGCAGGACCAGTCCAGCCACCCTTGCAAACGCAAGTCTTGTCGCATGTGCAGGCCGAGGCGTGACTCAGCGGGTCCGTTCCAATACCACCGCACTCGACGTTGTTTTGGTCGCGAGGGCAAGAAGCCGTGCTGCACGAGCAGTTGGTGGCCGGGTCCCAGCCAGTGGCGCACTGGCACTGGCCGCACACGCACTGACCACGAGGAGGGTTGCAGTCCGTGTTGGCACATTGCGAGCTGCAGTCACACTTGGGGCCAGACCATCCAATATTGCAGCGGCAAGTAGCAATGCACGAGCCAGAGGTGGATGCCTCCGTGCAAACGCCGTGACCGGAGCACGAGTTCAGGGAGGCGCAGGTAACAGTTGCACTGGCAGCGCACTCGCAGGCAGTGCCGTTGTAGCCAGCGTTGCATTGGCACTGGCCGCAGACGCAGGTGCCTTGGCCGTTGCAACGAACGCCGTTGAAAGTGGGGCACGAGTCGATACACTCGCAACTAGCGCCAGTGAAGCCAGCATTGCATTGGCAAGCACCACACACGCACGTTCCGCGGCCAGAGCAGGCGTTGGGGCAAGTGCCGGCAGGATTGTTGCAGGAGCAGGTGGGACCCGACCAGCCCGGCGCGCAATTGCAGCGTCCGCACTCGCAGCTCGCAGTGCCAGGTGAGGAGCAGGCACCGGGGCAGGTGCCAACGGGGCAGTTGCAAGTCGAAGGAACCAGCGTGATTCTTGATTCGCCCAAGCCCAAAAAGACCACGCGAACGTCAGCAGCAGCAATGTTGTAGCCAATGGACAGCTCATCGTCCTCCAGAACAAGCGTAAAGGTGCGAGAATCGCCGCGGCTCAGACCAGTATAGCCTGCAGCGGGAGTAAGCGAGCGAACAAACTTGTCCATGCCATTGTCAAACAGCTGCGGCTTGATTGTTCCCACAATCTGGTTGTAAACGCTTTCAATGACGCTCAACACGTTGCTCGAGTCGCCAGAAAGCCCAGCACGGCCTCCGAAGCCAAGGGCGTTGATGAAGGAATCGTAATGATCATTGTTGGAAGAGTACGCGGTGATGGCCAAAATGGGAACCACATTCTTGTCCAGGAAGGCAGCCTTGATTTGAGGCCAGCTGGGAATCTCGTGGTCAAGCGTGGCTGCGTTGATCGTGTTTGCGAAATTGCTAGAGCTGGATGCGGTGCCGGGGGTAACGTGGCACTTTTGAAGTGCGCGACGCTGCGGGAAAGCGGTGGCAGAACTGAGGCGGTTGGAGTCAAACTCCATGTGTCCAGTAGCATCGGTGGCAAGCAGCAGAATGTGACGGCGGGCGGGGTTCCAGTTCACGCAAAGCAACGATTGCAGCATCGAGCTGTACTGAGACTCGGGGAAATCGTTACCCCATTCAGTGGCAGCGTTGCCAAGAGCCGTGCTGAAAGCGCCGAACGAGCCAAAACTGCGATCGTCACCGGATGCAATTCCCTCGATACGGAACTCGTAATCACCACTGCCACCGAAAGGACCGTTTGGCCTGTCAACGTGCGAGCCCAACCTCCAGTAATGGCAATCTGACGAGATACTGCTGCTGCCTCTGCAGAGTGATTGCATTTTGTCCCTCAAATTGTTGCCCAGATTCTTGACGTTCCTCAAATCGTCACCCATCGAGCCAGACAGATCGAACAGGTAAAAGAATTCGACTTCCTTGCGCTGCGGGATGGTGACGACAATGCTCACAGTTTGGGGGACGCCTGCGAGATGGGGGAATGGAGTGACAATTTCGAGTGAGTCAGACATGGGCGAGGAAAAGAGTTATGTTGAGAAGGTTGGACACAAACCAAAAAAAAACGGAAAAAAAGGAACAACAGAAAAAGAAAAAAAGACAAAGCAGGGAAAAAAAGAGGCGGATCTCTCAATGCAATGTGCAGTTTCAGAAGGATCGAGAGATGATGAAGAAGAAGAAACATTGAAGGAACGAGAAAGGAACGAAAAGGAAAGAGAAAAAAAAAAAAAAAAAAAGGGAAAAAATGAAAGGAGGTTTTTTTTTTTTTTTCCTTCCTTTTTTTTTCGATTTTTGATTAATTCCTTTTTTTTTTTTCTTTTTTTCGTTGCTTTTTTTTTCAACTTTTGCTGTGCTTGCATTGTGTGGATGGGAGACATCTGCACTGCGCCACGAGGACAGTCGATGACGACGCCACGCCAGTCAACTCTACCGCACGCGTGATGGGAGCACCGCTACACCAACAACAACAACAACAACCCTGACAAACACGCTGCGGTTTTTGCTTTTTTTGCGCTCTGTTTTTTGTTGTTCTTTTTTCTTTCTTTTTTTTTTCTTTTTTTTCCATGTTTTTTATGTGTTCTGCTTGATTACTGACCTTTGCGGAGCTCGACGACAGCCGTGGTGGGACGGATTTCGACAACGCCATCGGCGTTGGCAACATTGGTGGTCGAACGGATGTTGGACGTGGGGTTGAGGACGCCGGCAGGATTCGGGCAGAGCAGAGCGTTGTCAGACGGGCTTCGGCAAGTACCGTCCGCGACGCACCACGAGCAGCCGTAGATGGAGTCTCCGGTGATACACTCGTTGCAAGTGAGAATGTCAGTGCATGCTTGGCCATACGCGGAGCTTGCCAGCGCCAGAAGCAGCAGCAAAGCAGCGAAAAGCTTCATTTTGGAAAAAGGGAAAAAAAAAAAAAAAAAAGCCAAAGGGGAAAAATAAAAAAAAAGGAAAAAAAAATGAACAAAAAAAAAAAGGAATGAAAATCGAAAAGGAAGAAAATAATCGAAAAAAAAAATCCACGTTCTTGAATTGGTAAGTGATCGAACGAAATGATCTGAAGCGGGAAAAGAGGAAAAAACGCGCCCCGCTCAAAGTTACCGGATAAAGCGAAAGGTCCTCAATTCCATACTAGAAAAAAAGGCTCGAGAAAGTCGACCGGGGGGGGGGGAAAAAAAAAAACACAAGGGTTTCGGCAACGGTGCTGTTAATTTTTTTGGGGTGGCTTGTTGGCGGTGGCGCAACTGGCCTTGGTGGGTTTTTTTTTTTTTTTTTTTTTTTTTTTTTGGGGGAACGATGAGCCAACAACCGCTTTTTTTGTTCGACGGTTTTGTTGTGGACCCTTTGCGGAATGCATGACTCCCTCGCTGCAAGGCACTGCAAGGCTCGTTGGGATCGACCCGCCGACGTGGATCGGCGGTGTGTAAGAGAGGCACGCGTCTGGATTGCCCCGGCGGAAGAGTGGCTGGCCGACCCGCATGGCGAGAAAGAGCGAACCTGTGTGGAACCGCGCACCTGCCGAATGCGGCAGGGGGTTCGTTTTTTTTTTTTTTTTTTTTTTTTTTTTTTTTTTTTTTTTTTCTGCGGAACCTTTTTCTTTTATTTTGGCAAGGTGTTGAAAGGTTTTTTTGAGTTTTTGTTGAATAGATCATTTGGAGCGAGATCAAAACAAAACCAGACCTGCAGCGATCTAGATCGCAACCACTATTTGCATGGGTTGCTCATGGCGCGATGAGAAAAGGAGCGCAGCTGTCGGGTATTGCAGATCGAGTCGGATTGAATTTTTGATTTTTTTTTTGGCGACGGTGGTTACTCATTGCAATTTTGCGATTCAGCAAATTGGATAAGGAAAGGTAGCTTTTTTTTTTTTTTTTTTGGGAAAACTGAAAAAGAACAAAAATCATTCTTCTTCCTTTTTCTATCTTTTTTTTTTTTTTTTTCTGCCCCCTTTTTTTCTGCTTTTTTTTTCCATCCTCTTTTCTTCGCACTTTGCATCAATGCTTGCTTTCAAGTCATTGGCGTGTGTGCTCCTTCTTTGCTCCTGGTTGAGCTGCAGCGGTATGGTTGACTCACGCTCTCCCGCAATCGTCTCCCAAAGAAAAACACGCAAAACAAAAAGAAAAAAAAACGTAAAACAAAAACGGTAGCAAAAAGAGAGGTTTTTGACCCGCTCGTTGTACACCACCGCGAGCACAGGACGGCGAGCGTGTCGGACGCTCTTTGCGGCTCATCGTGCACCTGCCTCACGGTGCAGCATCCGCCCCCCCCCCCCCCCAGTGCACCGTGAATGCGGATTTTTCGACTTTTTTTTTTTTTGTTCGATTCTTTTTTTGTTCCTTTCTTTTTTTTTTTTTTTCTTTTTTTTTTTTTTTGACCTTGTCCTTCGGCTTGACTCTCGTCGTATCAGCGAGATCGCTTCACCTACGTGTTTCAGAGATACTTTGACACTGCTCATGACTTGTGCGCCGATCATGCGTCTTCGTGAGAATGAATGAGGCAACCTCCAAAGAAAAAAAAGACACACAAAAAAAAAAAAAAAAAAAAAAAAAAGGGAAAGGAAAAAAAAAAGAAGAAAACTCGCAACCGCAATGTCTCTATGCTCGTCAACTCGAGTGAGGGTGTACTTCTCATGGTTTATGAGGTCGTACACGGGGAGGGGAGGGGGTTGCCTTCGATCCCTGGCACAGTCTCCACTGTCTTTTCTGGCAAGCTTTCAGTCCAGCAGCCACAAACTCTAGCCACAAAAAAAAAAAAAAAAAAGCTTCTTTCAATCTTTCATATTTCTTTCCATCATTCTTTTCACCGTGCTTTCCCTCCATCAGCTTCCCTTCCCCCTCTTGTTTTTTGAACCCCGGCTCCTTCAACATTGTCATTGTCTTGCAATTTCAACTAACTTTTTTTTTTCTATTGTTTTTTTTCTATTGTTTTTTTTTTTGTTTTTTGGCTTCGCTCTCAGCCCTCGCCGGACCCATCTCCGCCGACCTCTCCGACCATGGTGTGCTCTTCCGTGGTGAGCCGACGAGCGACTGCGCTTCGTGGTCTGTTTTGATGCAGCTCAAGCATGGCGGCGCCAAGCCTGCGACTATGCCCAGCGTTGTGCGCGCAAACGACACTGGCGCCTTGGAGCGCCATTTCGGCGACTATGCCGTCGAGCGCCTGCATGTCGGCGAGAATGGTGCCGAACACACCATCACGCTCAACCGCGGACCGAGCTCGCCGTTTGCAGTCGAGTTTTCGCTGTCCCACGACGGCATTGCCTCTGCTCTGATTTCGGACGTTGACGGCGCGCTCGAGTTTACCACGGTCGGTGGCTGCACCTTCCGCTACGAGAAGCTTGAGGTTATTGATGCCACCGGCCGCAAGCTCGCAGCTCGCATGTCGTGCACCCCCTCTGCCACCTCTCCCGAGGTTGGCATTGTGTCGCGCGTGTCGTCGGGCCCCTGCGCTGTCTCGGTCGGCGGTGCCCCGCTGCCCTTCTCCCTCGACATTCTCGAAGCTGGCGTCTACCCCATCCTCATTGACCCCTTCGTGGCAGACAACTACCCGATCGGCGCCATGACCACGCAGCTCTTCTCGCAAAATGGCGATAGTGTTAACGATTATTTTGGCGCGCAAATTGGCTCTGGCAACTTTTGGTCCAGCTCGAACGCCTACGCCGACTTGGTCGTTTCTGCACCTGGCTATTCAAGCAAACGAGGCACCATTTATGGGTACAAGGCGACTGGATCTTCGCTGGTCTACACCTCCACGCTGGCCTCTGGCTCCTGCGTGAGTAACGGCAACAGCTACGGCTTCCGCTTCCACGTCGGCCGCGCTCCCGGTGCTTCCTTCGACACTGTCTTTTCTGGTACCCAGTTCTGTTCATCTTTGACCGCCTTCCAAGGCTCCGCGACCGGCCCGTCACGAACAATCTCTTCCACCAGCGTCAACTGCAACTCTTACGCCATCGGCCAGTATCCCATCTGTGGTGTCATGACCTACTATGGCGAACCGAACGGCGGATCTGGCACCCTGTATGTGTCGTCGTCGTCAAGCTGGTCCTCAGTCTCGTCATACTCATCGAGCAGCCTTCTTGGCTCTGGCTCGAATGGCCGCAAACCGGGCCTCCATGTCTACACGGACTACCAGGTGCCATCCGACTTCTTTTTTGCAGACCCTGCAGCAGACACCCCGAGCGGAGGTTACCTTGGCCGCGTTGTTGGTGTTTCGTCGACCGGTTCGCGCTTCTGGGCCGCCGACGGTCCCAACGGTGACTCTGGCTTTGGCCGTGCAATCATTCTTGCTGATGTGGACGGCAACGGAGCTCGCGATCTCATTATTGGTGTCCCGCACATGAACAGCCCCACCCGCACGGACTGCGGTGGCTTCCGTGTCTACCTGAATGTTGGTGGCTCTGCCAAGTACCAGACCTCGCCGGCGTTCACTGCGTATGGTGAACAAGACGCCGAGGAGTGCGGCAGCTCGCTCTCCAACGTCGGTGACTTGAACCGTGACGGTTTCCAGGATGTTGTGATGGGATGCCCCTACTACTCTTTCACTGCCGCCCTCTTCAACGAAGGTCGCATCTTTTTGTTCAACGGCAAGTCGGGTGGCGCGATGGTTGTCGGCCAGATTCTGCGCTCGAATGTCGCCGGCTCCTTGTTTGGCTACGCTCTGTCCACCACCGGCCGCGATCACAACAGCGATGCCTACGCTGATCTTGCCGTCGGCATGCCCGGAACCAACCAATACACTGGTCGTGCCGTTATTCTTGCTGCCGTTGGTAACAGCGATATTACCATCACCCTTTCCAGCAACCGCGGCTCCACGGGACCCGTGACTGTTGACACGTCGGTGGCCACCTTCACTGTCACGGCGACCATTAGCAACGCCGGTCCTGAAGCGACGTTGAACGGCATGGCTCTCGTCTGGTCCACCCCGACCGGCTTTGCCCTCTCCTCTGCCACTATTTCCCCCTCTTTGACCGTTACTGGCAACACGATTAGTCTCCCTGCCATTGCGGACGATGCGTCGTACAGTGTCACACTTTCTTACACGCTCTTGCAGACTGTGCAGTACCCGAATGTCGCCACCTTCTCGGCCAGCATCGCCAAGAACCCCCCGCGCATTCTGACGAACGAAGCCGCCTCGCTCTCGTTCAAGTTTGTCAGCCAAGTCACAATCAGCTTTATCACCCCTCCCAAGGCGTTCCAAGAGGTCACCACCGCGCCCTACACGACTCCCTCTTGCACGACCGGTTCGTGCCAGATTGTCAAGGGCAAGCAGGCCGTTCTGCGCAACTTTGGCTTCCGAAACACCGGCACTGGCACGGCGTTCGGCAACCAGCTGACCATTACCTCGCCAGCGGGTGTCGTGTTCAACTACATTCGCAAGATTTCCGATCAGTCTGCGGCCAATCTTGCCACTCTCGGCTGGTCTTGCTCGTCCACTGGCTCTGGCACAACCACCAAGTGTGTCTTCCCCAACCTTGTTGCGGCTGCCAACACTGACACTAACAGCAACACAAACCAGTATGAGCTCGTCTTCTCCACTGCCGGCCTGGCGACGGGCGGCAGCTGGGCTTTCCAGATCCAGCACGTGTTGGGAACCACACCGACCACGTCGACCTCGTCGAACAACTTGGTTGTCCCCGCGGCCCAGTGCGATCTTGCAGTCGTTCCCTCTGCCACTTACCTTGCTGGCGGCAGCTGCTGCGGTGGCGCTTCAACCGAGATTTGTGTCGGGGCGACCTCCCGCGTGACCTTCTATGTGACCAACCAAGGCCTCTACTCTTCTGCTGCCACGTCCTATGTCACTGTCGCTGTGCCCGCCTCGTTGGCCGTCTCTGCCGCTGACTCGTACATTACTTCGTCGTACAACATTGGTGCGACCACCATTTCCAGCTCTGGCGCTTGCACTCTTTCTGCTGGTACTTTGCGATGCAATGTCCCTGGCGATCCTGCCGGTGTGGTCAATCCCGATGGCCTTGTTGCCGTCACGGTGACGATGAACCCGGTCGCGACTGAGACTGCCACGTCGGCCTCCATGTCGGTGACTGCCGTTGCCGGTGCCACGGTTACTGACACGAACCTCACAAACAATGTCTTGCCAAGCTTCTCGGTCCAGCTCTGCAAGTCGAGCATCCTCACTGCCGATGTCTCTGTTGTTTCCTCGCAAGATCTGCCTGACTTGAACGGCGTCACTGGCTTTTACTCGACCTCTGTGGTGGAGCTGTCTGTCAACGTCAAGAACAATGGCCCTGCCGTCTATGTGGCCGGCTCAAAGTCGTTCACGTTCACTTATGACAGCGCTCTGACGGTGACTGCTGCTTTGTCGGCAAATCCCGGTCTGACGTGCTCTGGCAGCGGAGCTGTCGTCACCTGCGTCTTGAACAACGCCATGGCTGTCGGTGCCCAACTATCCTTCTCGACGAGGATCAAGCTGACCTCCCCTTCGGCAAGCGCCGTCGGACCCTCCTACCAGTATCTTGCTACCTCGACCGTCCAGCTCGTCGGTGGTTCCAGCACGGATTCTGCTGCCGTCAACTTTGTCGACTATGTCAACCCCACCGTGTTCATGGCGGTCTCTCCCTCTACAATTGGCCCCGACGGCAACATTGTGACGGCCACTGTGAGCGTGACCAACCCCGGTGTTTCGAGTGATGCTACCAATGTTCGTCTCGTTGTTTCCCTTCCCTACGCCATCGGTACCCTCACTGCGAGCAATATCGCCCTCGCCGCGCCCTCGGCTTCCGGTTTGATCAACTCGCTGAACTGCGCCATCACCCCCATTCCCACTTTCACGGATTTCCAGTCGTACACTTCGTGGATTGTGAACTGCACCATTCCCACAATCACTCCGTTGACCGCCGGCTGCGACTCCAACCTTCAGACCCAGCGCTGCCGCTACGAGCTCAGCATCACCGCTCCCACCGTCGCCTCTGCTTCGTTGCTTGCCAGCGCGTACAAGGACAACACTGTTTGGCCATTTGCTGCCGACATCTATTCCCCCAAGCCGGATGACTTTTCGGACAACTCGGACTCTGATGTTCTCAACATGGCCACCACGCCTCAACTCGCCGTTACTCTGGCTGCCCCCAGCTTGGCGTCCCTCACCGACAACCCCAAGATTGCCAATGGCGACACCATCCAATTCCAAGCACACATGACCAACTTTGGCACGGCGTCCACGAGTGCCACTATTACAATCGAGGTTAGCGGCTCTGGCTCAGGAACGCTCGTCACTCCTACGGCGTCCTTGACCTGTAGCTCGACGAGTTCCCCTGATGCCTACACTTACACGTGCACCCGCAACGCTTTTACAAAGGACAGCACCCAGACCATCTCGTTTGGTGTTCACGCCGGCTCGCCGAATGGCCAGATCCTCGTGAAGGCTACTGTCACTTCCTCGGTGGCCGAGCTCCCGACCGACACGGCAGACAACACTGTTGCAGTCCTCTTGACCAACGAGATTCCCGGTGTGGATTTGGCTCTTGACGTCTTTGTTGATAGCACGCGCATTTCTGGCACTGGCACGACCGTCTTCAATGTTGCCGTTTCCAACATCAACGGTCCTTCCCCCGCCAAGAATGTGACTGTGGTTTGCCCCCGCTTCTGGACGAACGCTACACAGTTCTCTTCCATCGAGATGGTGGACGACTTTGGTGGCGACGTGTCCTTCACCACCACCACCCCTGCTGGTGGCTTCACGACTCTCACGTTCAACATCAAGACTCCGATCGCCCCGTTGAGCACGGCCCTTGTCTGGCGTGTTCCGTTCTCGTTCTCGGTCAAGACCCTCAAGCTCCCCGGTGCTCGCCCCATCACCTTTGACTTTGAGACCTCGGACAAACTCCTCGATACCACCGAGGTTCGCACTGCCTCTGTCACGCTGTACTACACCCCTGTGGCTGCGTCTGCGTCGAGCGAAGACAGCTCGTCCATCATTGGTGCCATTGTCGGCTCCATCCTCGGTGTTATCGTCATCGCTCTCATTGCCTGGAAGCTTGGCTTCTTTGACCGCAAGGCGAAGCCGCCGGCACTTGATGGCAGTGGCAACCCGAAGACTGCGGATGATGATTAAGTTAAAAAACTGCCGCGCTCTTGAACGCTGGTTCTTGCGGCTTTTTTTTTTCTTCTTCTTCTTCCTCTTCTCGTCCGTGTATGTTGTTACAATTTGTGTGTTGGACATTATTCGTCATCCTAGCACCCTCTTTTGTTTGTGTCCGTGTGTCATTTTCTTCTTTTTGTTTGTTGTTAGTGCTCTGCCGAACGACCCCCCGAATGTTCGCCTCCAAGCTGCACTATTTGCGTGGTTTTTTTTTTCCGTTGGTTGCGGTACTCTTTGGCTCAACGTGCTTTTGTTTCTTTTATGTGTCAATAGCATCAACATGTTGCCTTTTTTATTTTTGTTCATTCTCATCAACTGCGTGTCGTCGTAGTCGTCATCGTCGTCGAACCCGCCAATGAAGAAGAGGAAGAGCTTGTCGTGGTTGTCGGGGCCACCACACCAGGTGGGGAAGAAGCAGAGGACGCCGACACGGATGCAGATCCAATTGCAGAAGCCACAGACATGGGGTGGCTCTCAATCTCAAAGGCCTGTGTCACAGTTCCAACGGCTTTGGTACGTCCTTCTCGGAAGACGAGTCGCGCACCGATGCGAACAAACTCTGGGTGCTTCAGAAAGCGCAGCCGAACGCGAGCTTTATCGCCTGTCCGGAGCAGTTCGCGATCCATCGAAAGAATAGACGCGGTCTGACGAATGCTACCGCAATGGACCATGGCTTGGTACCGCGTGCTGATCGTGGTGGGGTGGTGGAGAATGAGCAACTCTGCCTCAAACTCTCGGTAGGCCTTGAGGTGTGCATCCTTGGCGAGGAGCACCATGCCCTTGCGGATGGCCGAGCGCTTAATCTTTTTGAGAGCAAAGGATGCAGCCTGCCCGGCTCTCACATCTCGAACAGGCAGACGTTTCCGCTGAATCGTCTTGAGCTGCACCGGCTGGAAGTTGCCCAATGTATCCGGGCCCAAGTACAGCGTATCGGTGCTTCGGATGACACCCGCCATGACGGTGCCGGAGATGACTGTTCCGACACCCTTGGCGTGGCAACAGAACGCGAGCAACCAAACACACACACACACACACAAAAAAAAGGGGGGGTGAGCCGGAAACGAAGGCAATATCGCAGAGCCAGGGAGAGTCAAACACTCACTGGAACAGAGTAGGTCTCGTCAATCTGGAACTGAGCTGGCAGCGTTGGATCAAATTCACGGCGTGGGGAAATCAGATTGAGGAACATTTTGAGAAGGTCCAACACTCACTGGAACAGAGTAGGTCTCGTCAATCTGGAACTGAGCTGGCAGCGTTGGATCAAATTCACGGCGTGGGGAAATCAGATTGAGGAACATTTTGAGAAGGTCCAAATTCTCGCCGGTAACGTTGGAGATTTGGAAAATGGGGCACACCCTACCAAAAGGAAAAAGAAGTCAAGCGGAATTGAACCGGGAACTGCTCATTATTGTGAAAAAAAGTTTGCCTTACCGCTCAGACATAAAGTTGGTCGCCGTCACGACCACATCGTCCTTGTTGGCGACGACAAGTGGGATTTTTCTGCACCCAGGAGACTTGAGAATCTTGACGAGCAGATTCATCGTTTCCTTGAGCACATTTGGCGGGCACATGTCAATTTTGGTCACAACGACAATGACTGGCACGTTCAGAGCGAGGGCAAGTCCCAGATGTTCTGGAGAAGGGGAAAAACAAACGAGGAGAACGGAACCAAGACGGCGAAAATTGAGCACGCGAGTCATTCAGGCCCAACACGACGCTTCATGCATGCATGCCTCCAACGAATACCTTTGCTCATCCCGATAAGACCAGCATTGGCACCAACCTGCAGCGGTGGGGACAAAAGGGGAACAGAATTTCTGGTAAGTCGCCAGTCAGACAAGTTTCAGCTGTTTCGGCTATAGATCCGCTTACCATCAGCATGGCAAAGTCGGGGACATGGCCCGTCAAGCCAAAAACAGTTGTTTTAAGGTAGCGCTCGTGGCCCGCGAGATCAATAAAAGTCAACACTTTGGAGGCGCGCTCGCAGATCAACGTCCAGTCCAAGCCGCCAGTGTGCTCGTCCGGGGCGTTGACAATGCGGCCTTGCGAGTCGAAGCCAAGAATGTTGTGCGAAATGCTGCTCGTGCGCCCAGTGTCAGCCTCGTGCTTGTGCCTGAAGAGACGCAGACGGCTTTTGCCTCGGCCATTGTCCAGCTCGCCGTGGGTGAGGACGCCAAGCAGGGTGCTCTTGCCGGCGTCGACGTTGCCAACGACGGCAACACGCACCTCGATAAAATCACTCTCGTCGTCCATGCGTCGGCGCACGAGGTATTCTGCCACAGTGCCCGCGTCCGCTTGTTTCTCGCGCAGCAACGAGATATCCGCCTTGCACTCGATGGCCAGTTGTCGCAATGTTGCAACAGACTGATCGAGTTGTTCTTGCGTGAGCCCGCTTGAGCCCCCGTCTGTATTCCAGCGACCGAACAAACCCCACGAAATAGACGACATTAAAACAGCAAAAATAAATCACAAACAAGGAGGGGGGGAGGGAAGAGAGGTGACGTGTCGGCACAATTGAATCACAGCAAAGGGTGCGGCGGTGATGCAACGTTGTCCGGAAATTTCGCATCACCAAGCCCTCACCTGCCACTCCAACCTCATAGATTGTTTCGCCCTGCGACTCTTGGAGCCGGGCGCGCAGTTGGCGCAGCAAGAAGGCGGTATCCTCAGCGTCGGGGTTGACCAATTGCAACTGTGGGCGTTCAACCAAATAGTGAGTTTTACACGACACACACACGAAACAAAGACCCTTCTTGGGAGGGGTTTTATTCGTTTTCCTTTTGGTATCGCATTTCCAAACCCTCGCCGCCCTTATTCAAGCCATCCAGCGTGGTCGTGGAGTTTGGCGATCGCGCTCACCTTGGGATCGAGCAACAGCGTCGCGTCGTCTGTCGTGTCCACTTCTTGACGAGCCTTGTCCCGTGGAGCAGCGTCCTTGAGATCAATGGCATCACCATTGTCATCGCTTTCAGTGTGCTCGTCATCGTCATGGTCATCATCCTTGTCAGCGGCATCGTCGTCCTCGTCGTCATCTTGGCGGCGGCGGGCTTTCTCAGCAGCTGAGCTTGACGACGCTGCTGCGTTGTTGCTTGTTGACGCGCCGAGCTCCTGCTTTGGCCGCTGCTGTTGCTTTTGCTGTTGCTTTTGCTTTTGCGGTTGCTTCTGCTTTGGCTGCTGCTGCTGCGCTGTGGTGGTTGTTGCAGTCACTCGCGGTCCTTTGCCCTTGCTCGTCACCGATGGCTGCTGCTGCTGCTGCTGCTCCAGTGCCCGTTCCTCCGCGCCGTCGGCATCCCCGCCAGTCGTAGCACCAGCATTAAGGCCAGCTGAAGCCGTCGTCGCCGTCGCCGTCGCCGTCGCCACGGCGTTCGTCGGGTTGAAGTTGGAGAGGGTCAGATTGGTCATCGCCGAGGCGACCTGGTCCAATTGCTGCTGCTTCTGCACCCGCTGAGCATGAGCACGATGAGCATTCAGTGCTCTGTTGCTGCTCGCGTTGGTGTCGTCGGCGGCATTGCCATGGTCGCGCTCCTGCTTGTCGCCGTCGTCGTCGTCGCTGTGGTCGTCGTCAGCAGCGAACGCGTCCTGCTGGTCGAGCGCGTTCAGGTTGTCCTCGTCAGCGCGCTGCGAGTGCTTCTGGTAGTCCTTCTTGTGCTGCAGTCGGCTCATTCCCGCTCAAATCACAAACTCTCGCAGCTCTTCTTTTTGCTTTCTGTTGAAATGGTGATGAAATGTGCAAAACTGGAAACTGAAAAAAAAAAAAAAAATTCAGACTGGAACGATTTGAGAACGAGCCAAATTTTCAAAATGATTCGTGGTTTTGTTGTTTGCTTGAATGGTTGAATGATGAAGTGAAAGCGAACTTGAACTTGTGCTTTTGTTGAGAGAAAAGACGGGAGAGAGACGGGAGAGGGACGGGAGAGAGACGGGAAGAGGGGGTGATTCAATAGACAATTGCCATGATGCAACAATTGGGGGGGGGGCGGCTTTTGGTACTCTCAGCCGGGGCGCGAAAGCTCGACTCGGATCTGGATGTGTGTTGGGGAAAAGTACATGCGAGACATGCTGGGGAAACGTGCATGGAATGATCGATTTTGCTGAGCGAGCGAGCAATTCAGTGCTGTAGTCTATCTCGCTCTCCTGTACTGTACCTTCAGATTGAGCCCTCTTCCTCCTTCCCCCAATGCTTGATTTTCTCAGAATTCTGAGCTCCTGTGCTCACACTCATTCCTCATTCACTCATCACACAAATGGGCTGCAACCAAAGCACCAGCAAAGGTACAATGAAATTCAGCCACTTTGGCTCACCCCCTTCCCCCTTCCCCCGCAACGCGTAACAAAGGACCACGGACAATGTTTATTGCTTTGTCATTTGGAGCGTTGGTGGGGGGGGAGCTTGTTGAGGAGCGGAGAGGGGAAGCGGGGGGCGGCGAGATCTCCAGTTTGGCGCTGCACACGCGATTCTCTGTCGGAGACACGCACACACACGCCCCCAGTGCGAAAATGCCAATCGACTGTCGTGTGATTCATTCAGAAGGGAGTGCTGATTGTTTCCAATGGAAAGGTGAAAACGAGCGCGAGAGAGACAACGGAAAATAAAAAAAATAAAAAATAAAAATAAAAAACGCCAATGCATTTCCAGCCAAAAAAAAAAAAAAAAAAAAAACAAGTCGTATTATACTATTTGCGCTGTAGCTGACGCGGGGCACACTTCTCGAACGCGTCGACACACTCAGCAAGCAATGACTGGACAGACAGCTCATGTGTGCTTCACGTATGGCAGGTCGAGAGTGAGTGCGTGAGTGAGAGCGAAGAGCCAAACTGCGACCGCGTGCCCTCCCCATTGCACATTCTCCGACCAACCCCAACCCCAGTCAGCCTCACATCACATCACATCACTGCAGTCACTACAATCACTCCAGTCACTCGTTGATGGTGGTGCAAGCGGGGGGGGGAGTGTCGAGAGCATGTCGTCGCTCACTTGCTTCTCCCTCTTTGCTAGACGTCGACGACTCGGCTCGCGTCCGCGCACCCACTTCGTCCGTTGCACAGCAATCGCAGCGCCACCAGACGGCAGCACAGGACGCCCCCAGTCGCGCGTCCGCAGCAGGCCAGACCGCCGCCGCTGCATCCCCTGCCCGCGCTGTCCCCGCTGGAAAGAAGTCCGAGTACGTTTTGCTGCTGCCCAGTCAGTTGCCTTGCCTCAGGCTGACTTTCCTCACTCGCGCACTCACTTGTTCAATCCCATTCATCTTGTGATTCTTTGTCACGCACGCTCTTGCGAATCACAGAGGCAGCTCGTATCTGAGCAAATCCGAGCACGACCGAAAGCTCATCATGTCGGGCGAATTCTACAAGCTGATTATCGACCGCACTGCCGGGTATGCATGCGTACTGCTGCGTGGTGGTGCATCCAGGTGTTTGTGTGCAGTTGGTCAGTGCGGTTTTATCGCTCACTGGCTGCGTTTTCGTTTCGATTTTTATGTTTGCCATCATCGCTTTGTACGCGTGATTCGTTTGCGCGAACAACAACAACAACACAGCAACTTTATCGATGTCATGCGTGATGATGATGTCACCTTGATCAGCAACGTAACGGCATTCGATCGCTCCAAGCAATACAAGTAACAGTCGATTTTGGCAATGCTGGTCATTTTGGCCGTTTTTGGGCCGAAACTTTCACATCTGGTATGCTCACATCCGCGACTTTCTTTGTTTGTGTCTCGTCTCCAGCGCCGTCTTGGCACAAAGCAAGGTTGGTGACTCTGGCGCGCTCGTGTTCGACCTGCCCACACCGTCCAAGACGGTCACCGGCCCCGCTGCTGTTGATCTGCTTGCGGCACCAGCTCTTTCTAGCAGTGATAAGGATTTGGTATGTATCTCATTGTGCGTGGCCATGCGCGATATACCGCTCCTTGAAACATTGCGTTTGTTGACTTTCTGTTTTTGTTTATTCGTTTGTTTGTTTGTCTGCTGTAGATTCACTCGGTCGCTTCGGCAATCGAGAAGGGCAACAAGCAAGTTGCAGTTCGATTCTCGGAAAGTATTGTTGCATCGCTTCCTACCATCTAACCATCGGGCAATGGAAGTTACAGGGACTGTTCATCCCCTGGCGTTATTGGGTTTTGTGTGTGTGCCTCTATTGCAGTTTTCTTGTTTGTTCGTTCTCAAAGTTATGATTTTTACATGTTGTTGGTTTTTTTGATTTCGATTCAAAAACATCTCTCAGTGGTATGCTCTTTTTGAACTTGTTGATTCCAATTCAAAATACAAGTCCGCTTCGTCACTCTGCCCACTGGCTTCCCCATCGACGCACGGCAGTCGAGCAGTCTTGGAATCTTGTGACGGCATCCACGATCTGGGCCGGCTCCACCATCATTCGCATCATGCGGTACTCTTTGGGCACATGGAAGGCGTTTGGATGCACTGGCTTGATGAGTTCGATCGCTTGCAAATGCTCAAATGCCTGTGGTTCATTGAAATTGTGGCATGAGTCTTGCTGTTTCGTGATCGCCTGGGCCAACGCGTTGTGGTCACGCTTGTTGGTCTCACTCACCTTCAGAGATACAGGCTTGCTAAAAAAGTCGATAACGTGCACATTCGAGTTTGCAAAAGCCTTGTACTCTTCGTACACCATTTCAAAGTTGAAGGGCTCGAGCACCCCGACTTTGACTTGAACGTGGTTGATCGCAATCATGAGGCATAGTTCCAAAGTCGAGAGACCTGTGCGATTGAAATTCGCAAAAAATGAACAAAACAATAAAAGCAAAGTTGCTCAAATCTTTCACAGGACGACGAGCGTACCCTGCAAAACGAGTGCCTTGGCGTCGACGAACTGTGCCTGAATGATACTCACGACAGACGATGCCTGCAACCGCCCCGTGGCAGAAGCCGTCAGGGCAGAACTCTGAATCGACAAACAAAAAATGATTTTCAAGAGTTCTTGTTAGCCGCAGACCCACTCCAGTTGCGCATCAAAAAAAACAACTACTTGAGTATACACACCAGTACAGTGCTGATGACTCGAGGATCTTTGCTTAAATCGAACTGGACTTGCAGGGCCGCGACCAAACTGCGGTCATTCATTGCCTCGGCAACCTGGGCGTTCCATGCACTTATTGCGGCATCGTGCTCGGCGCCAGCAATCAGCAAACTATTTCTCGCAATGCTCAGGTACTCGTCAAATCCAAAATTGTGTAAAAAGTGGATTTGGCGATGGGAAAATCGTGACTTGACGCGTTTTTCGAGCAGTTCAATGACGTCCTGTTGTTTGTACGAACAGAACAGACGGTCGCAAACTGAATCGCTGCAAAACAATCATTGGCAAGCATGTCAAGACTTTTGGTTGTGTGCGTACCAGCCGACAGCTCAATCCCAGAACAATCATTGGAGCTTCAGCAGACTGGACGAGGTCAAACAGATTATACAAGAGTGTTTGCTTGGCGTGGTGTGCAAACTGATCAAACTCGTCCAAGATGACAATTAAAGGCTGAGACTGTCGTGATCCATTCCGCAGTGTCTCGAGGATGAACGCAAGGGCTGCCGCAAACGAGGAGAGCTGTGGTTTGTGTTTTTGGCATGAACGGAAGGTGAGAAGAGCAACACAAACAGACACACACACACACACACCTCCACCTCGAACTGTACACTAGGAACACTTACGTTGCCTGTTTCAAGTGCTCGCTGGACCTTGAGTTGGCTCGCAATGTCGCGCAGAGCGAGTCGATCGTCCGTGTGAATAAGGCCGTTTAGCCGCACTACGGCGAACGCGTCGCTTCCAAAGTCGGCCGTGATGGCAGCGATGCATGCATTGACAGCCTATCCATCATGGCAAAAAGACAAAGGTGCAGGGACGACGTTAGTTTTTCGTCCATCCTGATAGTGTGAAACAGCCGTTTCAAAACAGGCAGCGAAAACATACAGCTGACTTGCCGCTGCCGCGTGGACCGATCAGCAGCGCCGAGTTGCTTTCCAGATTGGCGACCGTTCGTCTCATGAGTTTCTCGAGCTGCCTGCACACATCGAGGGCGAGAGTGACGGTGAGTTGAAGGGGCACATGCATTTGAGGAGAGCGCGAGCCATGCAGCCGAGCAGCAGCAGCAAGCAGCAAGCAGCAGCATCCACGCATGCTTGGATCTCCAAACTGGCTGTCATAATGCCAGCAGAGGAGGAGCGGGGGGAAGAGGGAAGAGGGGGGAGGGACCGTACTCGAGTTGTGGCGTTACGCCGTAGAGCGTTCGCGGGCTTTGGTCTGAGAGCTGCAACCGGACTCGCGCGATAATCTCGGCCGTCGATGTGTGATTCGCCATCATTGTCATGTTAACAGACGTCGCTTATTTGATCCGTTTTGTTTTGCTATTGCAGAATGTCAGAACGATGTGATGAAAGAGACTGAGCCATGATTGTTTGCAAAGAACTGAGAGTGTCTCACGCTTCTTCCATTCGCATTCGTACCCATTGTGCCTTCACTCATTGCTTTTTTTTTTCTCTATCTCCACCACTCTTTTATTTTTTCCACTATGGCGAGACTGAGCGAGTGGGCATCGCGGCTCGTGTCTCCCGCGGGCGGCTCCTCGTCCTCGTCCTGGTCGTCATCCGCCTCTTCCTCCTCCTCCTCCTCCGGCCTCGCTTCCCCGTCCCCTTCCAGCTTGGGCGCTGTCTCTGGTGGCCCTGGCTCTGGCACCATTGACTTTACCTGTAACCCACATCCATACGACGATATAGACCGCATCACGCTTCATTTTGCCCTTCTTTTTTTTTTTTTTTTTCTTTTGAAAAACGTTCGTCCCTTTTTCCCTTTCCCCCCTTCACCCTTTCCCTCTCTTCCTTCCGCCCAGCTTTCGGATTGTGCTTGGCATTCCACACGTCTTTGCCTTTCCCACCAACGTCGTCCACTCTTCCACTTGTTGGAGCGCTGGTTTGTCGCTCTATTTTGCGGTTGAGCGGTTTTTTTATTATTTATTATTATTTTTATTTATTATTTATGATTATTTTTTATTTTTTTTTTATTGTTTTTTATTTTTGAACCTTTTGTTTTGACTTTTCGTATTCAAAGTTGGACGACAGCTGACACGAATGCAATACACGATGGAACAACAGAGAAAGCAAAGCCATGGATGATGATGGCTGCATTTTGACAATTGGAAGAAGGGACGTGCGGAAGTGAATTTGTCGAGAGAGAGAGAGAGAATGAGAGTGTCAAAAGTGAGAGAGTGTGAAAAGGCGAAGCGCAGTGAAAGCGAGTGAGCAGGGTGGGCTTTTGTTGTTGTTGTTGTTTGCGAGTGAGTGAGAGTCATGCAGTAGTCAGGCTTGTCAAAAGAGAAAGACAAAAGCGCTTTGTGATGTACGCATAGACACAAGGTGATTGGAAAAATGGAAATACCGAAAAAGAGTATGAAAACACGCTCGTGCAATGCGATGCGATGCGATGCGATTTGGAAAAGGAGGGGAAACAAAGCCGTGCGTGTGTGCAAAACGAGTTGAAAAGAGCAGGACAGTGAGTTGTTTGATAAGGGTGCGCGTTCGCTTTTGGACGTACATGTGGAGAGGAGAGCGCTGGGTTGAACCAGTGCCAAATGGAAAAGAGAGGAAGGGAAGAAGGGAAAAAAATGCCAAAAGTGTGATCAGGATGTGAGCAAATGGAAATCCAGCCAAAATAAAAAATAAAATAATAAAAAAATAAAATATAAAAATATAAAAAAATTGGTCTTTTTTTTGTTTTTTTTTTTTTTTTGTTTGAACTTGACGCTGCCACACACTCACCCAGTTCCGTTCAACGCATTCAACGACAACTACAACTACAACTACAGCATTCCATGACGACGCCGAGGTCGCGGAGGGCGTCGTGTCGAACGAACCCGAGGCGTTCAACTCGAAATCGGCATCCAGCTCGACCGGCATGCTCAACGCGTCCACGCTCATGCGCTCGGCTGCCTACTTTCGCAACATCAAGGTAAAGAAGAAAACACAACAACAAAACCCAAGCTGCAAAAGCCCAAAAGACGGTCTCACTGAGCCATCGATCAAGCACTCTTCATGCATTGGCAAAAATTTCACTTCATTGCGGACTCACTCGAAATTGGCTTGCCCCACGACCCACCACTCTCTCGATAGTACGTTGGCTGCGAGGAGAGCAAGCACGAGTACGGTGACTTGACCATTGCCCACATTGTCGCCTTGCTCAAGGTATAAGCGCAAGTTCACCTCTTCAAATTTCTCGTCGTTTTTTGTACCGTTGACTTACTCTGCGCATTCTGCCCAAACTGCTGCCTGTTTTCGCCGATGCCCGAACTTTTGCTTGATCAACCCATTTCTAGGACGCAAAGTCACGTCCCCGCCGCATGACAATGGTCATGTCCATCTACGGCGTCCAAATTCTGGACAAGACCGATGTTCGTGCTTTTTTTTTTTTGTTTTCTTTGTTTGTTTCTCATGTGGATGGCCAGGCTTGTATTTCACCACGGCACTTACATTTTGGCATGGTTTTCTTGACGTCGTGCTTTGGGAACACACCCACAGAAACTGGTGGCCAATTTGCCAATCAGCCAAATTTACTTTTCGTGCCAGCTGCCGTGGAATCCGGCGGTGATTCTCTTCTGCGTCCAAGAGAAGCGAGGCGGTATCTGCACGTACATTTCACACATCTTTTACAGCACACGAGCGGTAAGCAGCTTGGACTTGGCTTCTCGACCCTTTGTTCCCTAAACTCATCTTCATCACTTTCCCAATGACGCGTAGAATGAAATCAACTCGACCTTCCGTATGTGCTTTTCCCTCGCCTACAAGTGCTTGGTTCAGCTGCGAAAGACCAAGCCGGCTGTACGTCAATCGTCCACAAATCTTTGTTTTTGTTGTTGTCGTTTTGTCGCTGTTTTTCTAACCTCCGGCCCGCTTCCTCATCGCACCACCTTAGAACTCGGCGGCTTGGGCTGCGGAAAACGAGTCCATATCTCGCGCCCAAAACTCGTCCATTTTCACGGCGTCCCAGGAAGAGCCAGTGTCGGAAGATATCATTCGGGCCTTGGAAGCTGGAGAAGACAGCACAGCCCGATTTGAACTCAAAACACATTCGTCGATCAATCCCGATGATCTCAACGACATGACCTTGTTCGAAGCGCTCGGCAAGACCTCCAGCGTCAGCTATCAGACAGACGATGAAGAGCTCAGCCCTAGCATGGTCGAAACATTGCTGCTCAATGGTTCCGTCCGCTATATGGATCTTCGGTACCAAGGCTGCGTGCCATGTCCAGACAGTGATGTGGCCGAGTTTAGTGCTGCGACTCAGCTGATGAAGGTAGGCAAGAAAAGGGGGACATTTATGGTGTTGCTCAGCCAATTCTTTTGTACTGCGCTCACCCGCTGAATTGCAACAAACCGAAATTGCTGAGCAGAACAAAAGCAAGGCAGGCCGCTCGTTCATGGAAGTTAACGTCGAGTCGGTTCGTGTGGTCAACCAAAAGCGGCCTGTACGTTGTCTTTGTTTAGTCGAATCGGACATTTGCGCATCATCGAAAGAAAAAAAAAACGAGATTCGTAACTCCTCACTTGCATTTTGATGCTGCTGCGATTGTGCGCGATCTGCTAGGAAATCTCGGCCGAATTCCCCACCACTCTCATTCGATATTCGTCCACGGTTCCCAACCAGCCCAAAATGTTTGTCTTTGTCGTGTCGGAAGGCCAGGAGTCGTTCATGCATGTTTTCAAGACTGACCGAGCTGTAAGAGACAACCCCGATCAACAATCAACAATCAACGATGAATTTGTGCGAGGGTTGTTTGGTGGACTGTCCATTTTCTCATTGGATCTTGCGCGTGTCTTCATCTTCTCCTCCTCCTCCTCCTCCTCCTCCTCCTCCTCTGGATTGATGCTCCACTAGGCCGCTGTCAATCAAGCATTTGCCTCATCGTTCAAGCTGGCTGCTGCGCGCCGTGGCGTCCCTGCTGCCAAGCCAACGCAACTGCGTGTGGCTCCCACTCCGCCTGCTCTTCCGCCCAAGCCCAGCATTCCGATTCGCATTCCCAAATCGCTGGACGAGTCTGCCAAAACCGACACCGCGACAGCAGCTCCCAGCAGCTCCTCCAAGCCCACATCTCCCGCGCCGCGCGTTGAGGACGATGGCCCATCGATGGACTTTGGCAGTGAGCCCATCATGGACTTTTCCGACACTCCACTCAGTGCAGGTGACGATGACGACGAGGACGAAGCAGGTGCCGGTGCAGTTGGTGAGTCTGGCGGTGACGCAGACGCTTCGCTTTTGTCAGACGCCAATCGCGCCGAAGCGGCAACAAAGACCTTCCGCAGCCGCTCCACTCCCAACCCGCATCAGGCATTGCTTTCCATGTTTGCTCGCTCCACGACCGCAGAGCAGGACCTGGACGACTCGAGTAGTGACGAAGAGGACGGCATTGGTGCAAACCCGGGCCGTTCCCGTCCCCCGGCGCCACGCAAGAGCTCTGTACTGTCAGCAACCACGTCCAGCAGCAGTGAAGCCTCCCCGAGCCCAGCCGAGGCGCCTCGCACGCCGCAGCCCACCTCCCCGCGTCCCGATCCATTTGGACCCAACGCTGCGGCTCCTCGAACTCGCGAAGATTCTCGTCTTGCTCGCTCGCAGAGCGTGTTTCAGGTTTGTCGGCTTCTGAGGTTTTGATGTCGAGTTTAATTTGCGTGGTTTTTGTTAAATGCTTCTAACACTTGTTCATTTCATGTTGTAGGACGACACGGATCCGAACTGGTTTGAACCATTCCGCGACAAGGCCCTCGATGTGCAGTTTAGCAACCTGGCGAAAAGTAGAGTTGAGGAGAACGGAGCCGCGCAGGCGTCGTCTAATCCGACGGATGGCACCCCTTCACGACCTGCAGCAGCCCCCGTGTCTGCGGCATCGCCAGCAACCGCTTCGCCAAACTCAACCAAAGTCTTCGGGCCTGCCCCGGCTCGACCCGGATCTGCGCTTTCAGGCTCGTCGGCAGTGATTCCACTCGGTGCCCATTCTCTAACACGGTCTATCTCTGTCAACGTGCCGAGCGTTGGACCCTCCCTTGTTGGAGATGCATCGAACGGCACATCAACCTCTGGGAACGCTGCGTCGGCCAGAGCCGGGTCGCTGGCCGATCATCGTGCTCGCACAACCGCTGCTCAGCCCCAAGAGGCAACTGAAATTGTGGTGGGAAACGCCACAGTTTCCTTTGCCAACATTCGTGTATGTGGCATGATGGGGGGTTTTGTTTGTTGCTGTCGTTGCCCTTGGAGAGACTCACCTTGAACCCGGGTTTCTTTTTGTTTGTTTTGTGCTGTGCGAATCCAGTACCTCGGCATTTACAGCCTGGCAGACAACGAACTGCCGGTGGATGAAATCAACGATTTCGTCAAGCACTCGACCAAAGGCCGCAAAATTCATTTGCTTCTCTCGACCGAGAGCGTTCGCATTGTCGACGCCAAGGTCAATCAGCCACTACTGCACGTGCCGCTCGTTCATGTCCTGTACTCTTCGCTGTTGCACAAGTATCCCAAAATCATCGTCTTCCTTGTGCTCAACGGCGTCGAGCGGATTGTGCACGTTTTCGAGACCGAGCGCTCGGTAAGCGTTTGTTGTGTTGCGCTGTTGCTTGACTGGTGCTTGATCTCGAGTGCCGAACCTCACTTTGAGTTTCTGCGCGCTTGATGCTTGATGTTGGGTCAGTCTGAAATTCACTTGCTGTTCGCGGCCATGTTCACGGCTGCGGTGGAGCAACTGCAACAATTGCCTGCCCAGCCTCAGCGAAGTGCAACACCGCAAAAGCAACAACAGCCGCAACAGCAGCAGCAGCAGCAGCAGCAGCAGCCGCAACAACAACAGCCGCCGCCGCAACCCAGCCCTGCGCGAACAACTCCTGCTCCAGCCGGCGCTGCGGCCCCGCCTCAAATCGCTCCTTTTGTGGCGCCAGCTGTGCCATCGCGCTCCAGCAAACCCATTATTCGCGGCGTCAACACCTTCGATTCTCGATCACCCGCACCGCTGTCCTCCCCTGCTCCGGTGATCAACCGCCCGCAATCCGTCAACATGGTCCCTCCTGTCATCAGCCCTCCTCCTCCTTCTTCCAGCAGCCGTTCGGCGACTCTTGCACGCTCGCCGCCAGCAGCCATCAGCCCTCCGCAGGCAATCAGTCCTCCGCCGCGTGTCGACAGCCCACCTGCCCGTCCTCCGAAACGCGCTCAATCGTTCGTCGATCCCATCACCAGCTCTATCTTCAACGACGCCTTCTTTGTGAGTTGTCGTTTGCACTGCAGCCGTTTGTGGTTTTGCTCAGAGGACCTGTTGAACACTGACTTTCTCTTTTTTTTCTTCTTCTTCTTCTTCTTTTTTGTTTTGCACCATAGAACGAGAGTCCTGCCATGTCGAGCTCGTTCTCGCGTGAGCCCAGCCTGCCTCCAGGTGTGTTTGGGGCCGTCGAGCCTGAAGCTCCCATTCTGGAGTTTGCCGCGTCCGGCGAGCTGTCTTTGTATTGATTCAATTTCCGATCGCCCCTGAGCCACGGCTTCTCCGTGTCACATGCATGAGCGCGATCCTTTGTGTTTCCTGTGTGTTGTGCCTCTGTAAATGAAGTTGTCTAAACCTTTATCACCTGCCATGTGCGATGTTGCAAGTGCAACTCAAAACGACTTTTCAACGTCACGTCCATTTGCCCCCCCCCCATTCCTCCACGCATGATGCTGCTGCTAAATCTCTTAAATCTCGAATGTTGTTGTATCGAGTGTATCTCTGCCAGTGGATCAAGATTATTATTGCTCGGGATGGCCAGTCTTCTTCCATTCTCCTTCAAAAGCTCAAAGCTCAGAAATGGTCATCCGAGTCCGCCCGCTCGGCGCCGGCCAGGATGTCGGCCGCAGCTGCCTGCTCGTCTCTATCGGCGGCAAGAACATCATGTTTGACTGCGGCATGCACATGGGCTACAACGACGCGCGCCGATTCCCCGACTTTGCCTCGATCAAGCGAACCGGTCCATACACGGATGTGATTGACTGCGTGATTGTCAGGTAGCCGCACGTTCACTGAGCTCCAAATTGCACATTGAATTTTGCTTGTGATCATGCCTCGGTGCTCCGATCCGACCCCTGGACTGGACGGAGACTCTGCCGGCCTCCTCTTCCCTGATGGCGCTTCCATTGAGCTTTGAGTACCTGCAACCCTGACCCCATATAACACCATCCCTATCACTGACACCAACTTGCACTAACTCATCCTAGCATCAGAAAGCCAACACGGACTTGCGATCAGAACCTCACATTTTACGACAACTTTTGATTCTGGCGTTTGGTAGTCACTTCCATCTGGATCACTGTGGCGCCATCGTGCACTTTAGCGAAGTCTGCGGATACGATGGACCCATCTACATGACCCATCCGACGAAAGCCATCTGTCCAATCCTGCTTGAAGACTATCGAAAGCTGACGGTCGAACGCAAGGGCGAAACCAATTTCTTTACATCTGCAAACATCAAGGCCTGCATGAAGAAGGTGATTGCAGTCAACCTGCACGAAAGCGTTCGCGTGGACGATGAGATTGAAATCAAGGTGAGCTGCACACGGTAGATTGAGAGAGGCTGTTTCTCGTTTCGCATCCGCAAATCAGAAAATCGTTCAAGATTCTCTGTTTCTCATCTTCCTCCTCCCCCCACCGCGTTCATTCTGCGCTACACCTTCTTCAGGCATACTATGCTGGCCACGTCCTCGGTGCTGCCATGTTCCACGTTCGGGTGGGCTCTGAATCAGTCGTGTACACTGGAGATTTCAACATGACACCCGATCGCCACCTCGGAGCAGCCTGGATTGATCGGTGTCGGCCCGATTTGTTAATCACCGAATCCACCTATGCCACAACCATTCGAGACTCGAAACGCAATCGCGAAGGGGAGTTTCTAAGAAAGGTAAGCAGCACGACGATCATCAATCTACAGCTTTTCCGATTTCTCGCTCATTGTTTTGTTTTTTTGTTTCTTTCCAGATCCACGAGTGCGTCGAGCAAGGCGGAAAGGTTCTCATTCCAGTGTTTGCTCTGGGCCGTGCCCAAGAGTTGTGCATCTTGGTCGAGACATACTGGGAGCGCCTGGGTCTGACCGTCCCCGTTTACTTTAGCGCCGGCCTGACCGCCAAAGCCAACAACTACTACAAGCTGTTCATCACGTGGACCAACCAAAAGATCAAGCGCACGTTTGTCGAGCGCAACATGTTTGAGTTTAAACACATCAAGCCTTTCGACCGCGCCTTCTTGGACAATCCAGGGCCGATGGTCTTGTTTGCCACTCCGGGCATGTTGCATGCCGGCATGTCCCTTGACGCCTTCCGCAAGTGGGCACCCAACGACAAGAACATGGTGATTCTTCCAGGCTACTGCGTGGCAGGCACTGTCGGCAACAAGGTTCTCGCTGGTCACAAGCAAATCGAGATGCCCGACCGCGCTCGCACCGTCATTGATGTCCGATTGTCGGTGCAAAACCTCTCATTCAGTGCGCACGCTGACGCGAAGGGCATTGTGCAGCTCATTCGACACGCCGAGCCGCGAAATGTCATGTTGGTGCATGGAGAAAAGGCCAAAATGGCCTTCCTAAAAGCCAAGATCATCTCTGAGATTGGTATTCCCTGCTTTGATCCGGCAAACGGGGCGACAGTCACCATAGAGACCGCCCATCCCATCAGTGTGAGCGTCCCGCCAAACTATGTCCTCGACAGCGTTCTAGATGCGACACGGCAACGCCGCAATGCAGCGGAGATGGGACTGCCCGACGAAGCAGCATCTGCATCACTGACGCCGCAGCAAGCACTCCGGCGAGATGCCGAGCGGGACGCTTCCGAGTTGCTAGAGGAGCTTTGTACGCTATTTGTTTTGTGCTGGTTTTAAGGCTCTCCTCGGCTAACATTATGTTGTGGTTTTGGTGGATTGTTACACAGATCGCTCCAAACGAGTTCGCTCTGTTCCAGGGCTGCCAATTCAATCAACTACGGTTCGCGGTGTGCTGGTCATGAAGGAGAATGAGGTACAGTTTTGTTGCATTCGCGCTGGCAGGGAAGGTCAGCTTCCCAGCACTCCATTCTGACACCTGACCATCTGACATTTGGTACCTCAGCCGTTGCGGTTGGTGCATGCAAGCGACGTTACGTCTCACGACAACACCGCCACCAGCGACGAGGTCGAGTTTCATCACAGCATTGCGCTGCTGTTTGTTAGCCAGATGCCGTTCGCAGCGATTGTCGAGTCACTCCGGGGAAGCCTGCAGGCGTAAGTCGCGGCCCTGTTGTGTGTCCCAAGCGACCTGTTGCTCACAACGATTGCGCTGCATCAAGCAGTCTGGACAGTGCCATTCTCGAGACATCGCCCGCGAATGACACCGAAAAGCTCTCCTGGCTTGTATCCAATGCCATCAGAGTCTCTCTGAACGAGCATGACGTTGAAGTTTCGTGGACTGCAAAGGTGTGTTGAGAATTCTGTTCAGCTGTGTGCTTTGTATGCGGCCTTTTGCTGACTGATACCTCTATTTTTGCTCGCAGCATCATACCTTGGGGGAGCGGGTCGCTCATATTTTAGCCGATGCGTTGGATGAGATGGCTGTCGAATGTGCCCAAATGTCGTCCTCGTAAAATCTGTAAAATCTGAATTCTGAATTTTATTGCGCAGTCGAATAGCCCTCAAACTCTGCGCTCAAACCCCAATCCAGACCAAGCCTCAACTTGAAAATGTAGGCCAGGTGTAATTTCCCTCAACAGCAAGCGCCAACGACTGCTCAAGGAGAGCTCTTGGTAATCTCCTCGACATGGAACTGGCTGTAAAAGAACAAACGATCGTGCGAGTGAACCTGCTTGGCCAGCTCGGTGTGGGCGCTAAAGTAGGTGCGCAGACTGTCTGAAGGGCAGCGCGGCACAAACAGATTCCAGAATGCAAGACGACCGCCAACACGGAACTTGTTGGCAAACGCCAGGAAGAGGGCGTCGGCAGCTTCGGCACTCATGTACTCGAAAATGTCCGAGAGGTTGGCCTTTGAGAAGACCAAGGGCGTGGAGCCAGGGCTCGACTCGCCCGAAAGTTGTTCCTCGATGCTTCCCGTCACGACCTGCAATCGAGGCAGCAACGAGCGCATTCGCTCATAGTTGGACGGGCGCAGATAGGGCTGTGCCGTTTCAAAGGATCCCTTGTACTCGCCGAGCAAAAAGACGTGCATGTACGGATTGTCCTTGAGCAGCTGTGTGGTGAGGAGCGAGCGGAACTTGTTCCAGATGTACGTCGAAATGTCACCATCCTTGATGAAGCGCATCTGGGCCGGATCGCGCCCCTGACGCTTCAGCATGTCTTCGCCAAAATACCAACGGAACTTGCTCTCGACTTCTGGGTTGGACAGAATGTGCTGCTGGACCAGGGCCACCTGCTCGGCGAGGGTGGGAGCGTTGCAGATTGCCTCAATCACGGGAATGGGCACGAGCTTTTCCAAGTAGTCAGTGTGGAACGTGTCAAAGTACTTTTCCAGGCGGCCAGCCTTGACGATACTAGACTCGATCGTGGCGAGGTTGTGGTCCCAGTATTTCTGCAGAAAAGAGCAAATGTTTCAGTCGAAATCGACCTGTGTGTGGGGGTGCACGCCTTATTCGACTAAATTCATACCTGGGCGTACTCGCTCATGTTGCTGCGGATGTGCTTGTAAATATCAACACTGCTCAATAGCAGGGAGAGAGAGAAAGAGAGAGAGAGAGAGAGAGGCGGTTTGTGAGTTTCCAACGCGAATTGCACTACAACAAAGAATCCGACACACACTTGCGCTTGGAACTCACCGCTCTTGACCAGTCGCTGGCGCAATGCCAATCAGCTTGACAAACGCCTCGTGCGGCACCATGTGAATGGCAGCAAGCTTGAGATCGAGGACTGCGTTCTGAGACGCGCTCATATCAATTGCAACTGTAACCACCCCCAGCGCGTTAGGACGTGAGCCTTCTTGCGATTGATTGATCTCTTTCAAGGGCTCAGTACATGATATATCATGAAAAAGGCTTACCAATCTTTTGCGGTTCCAAGAGCAGCAGGTTGAGCACATTGTCGCCAGAGCTGTACAAAATCCAAAGCAAAGCAAGTAGATTGTTTCGTGAGCTTTTTTGACTTTAATGTCTGAGTTATAGTGAGTATATTCCGAGTAAGTATCGTTGAGTGCAAAACCATTGACTGAAACAACGTGAATCAAAAAAAGCCATCTGAAATGACAGCTGGAGATTTCACATTTGGTTTTTTGGGTTTTTTTTTTTTTTTTTTTTTTTTGATTTGGATTTGGATTTGAGTGAAGTTTGCATTGAGCAGCGAATGTTTTCTCGCTTCGTCTTTTGTCCTTCGTCCGAGTCGTCGCAAAAAGTGCAACAATGCGTTTGCTGCGTTTCCTTGATTTGTGAGTTGCATTTGTGACTGTTGCCTGCCTGCCTGCCGCGCGCGCGTGCAGTTGTCGCATTTTGCGGTTGAGGGGAGCGGAGATTGAACAAGTCCCAATCAAAGACGTCTCACTCCACGATGCATGATGGCCCCACTGTTTTGATCATCATCATCATCATCATCATCACAAGAGAGAGAGAACGACTTGAATGTGCGCGTGCCTGGTGATGGAGAGGACGACGTCGTCCGGGCGAATGTCCAGGGAGCGCTCGAGCAGTTGGTGGTCTTCCCAGACGCGCGAGTAGCGAATCACAGAGAGATCGAGCAGCTTGGCCACTTCGCTTTCAAGCACCATGACTGATGACTGAGTGACGTGGAAAAGAACAAAAAAAATGAAGGAGTGAACAACAACAAGGTACTGTACTAACCAGTGAAAGTCAAATTGAGATGTGGAAGAAAACAATAAATTCATTGGATTTTTTTCGATGTGAAACACAGACAAAGAGAACGAAGGAAGAGAAAACAAACAGTCAAGCAAAACGGGGAGGTGGGGAGGTGAGTGGGGGTCAATGCGACCGTTGTTGTTAGGGTGATGTGAATGTCAAAAAACGGGGCTGGAGTGGGCGTAAAGTCCTTGCACGACGACGAACAGAAATCAACAAGCCGCGCTTACACGGCCGATGAATCGTGGCGGGACAAAGACGCCGACTCTCCTCGCGCATCGAGGCCAAATCCAACATAGTTGGAATGGTCGGCAAACAAGGAAGCGTAGAGCGAAGCGGGAGACTGGTCGCGACGGAAACGCGCAACGAGCTCTTCAATCGCACGCTTGCGCATGTTTTGGGGGCGGAGGGATGGCTCTTGCAGCTGGCGTACGAGACGGCAGACATTCATGGCGGTTTCGCGGACCATCGGAGCAAGGACGCGGCGACTGACAACCATGCCGTCAAGCAGCGGGCCCATGAGCGCGTCGCTGACCACGCCAATGCGATACAGTCCGCATGGCAGCGGATGGACAAAGATGATGGCCTTGGTGTTGGGAGGATGGTGAGCGCCCGTGGCAAGCGCGGCCGCGAAGTGCGGCGAGGTGCGCGAGGTTGTCGACGCCCCCCGCTCGCTGCTGCTGCTGCTGCTGCTGCTGCTGCGGTTGATGCGGCTGCCGAATCGTTCGAAGCGCTTGCAGATGCCGAGTACTGCGAATCGGCACCAGCACTAGTGGCGGAAGCATCGCTTGCCTGCTGTGACGGCAACGGTGGCCGGAATTCTCGCGAGAAGGATGGGTTGAGGGAGACCACGCCGCTTCGGCCAGCAGTGCCTGGTCCGTGGCCTGGTGCGCCAATCGCGGCATGTGGCATGCGAAGCTGCGTCACGCCGTCCACAATGAATGGGAAGGTCAGCGAGTCGTCAAAGTCCTCGAGCCAAGCGACAATGACTTGGTCTCGCTCGACGCCGCGCCGAATCTTGTCAATGCTGACATTGAGACGTGTCGGTGGGTTGGCGCCGCCCGGCGTTGTGACCCGGGATGCCTGAGACTCTGAAACCGAGGCCGCGCTCACGAGTGGCTTTGGCGATGCAGCCACCTGCTGGGCCTGGCTCGTCGATGCAGTCGAGGTCGACCGCGGGAGATTGACTCCGAAAAAGTTCACGCTGCCGTCAGCTCCGCTCGCGTCCTGTGTGGAGGGTACATGGAGGAACATGGAGGGCACACGGAAGACGACTTCCGTCAGAGGATCTGCGTAGTATGGGAATGTGTTGCAGCACTGCGCGGAAAGATCGGCCTTGGCGCCTGGATGCGTCGTAATGTTCACAGGCCAGCCCAGACCCTCCACAAAGGTCGCAAAGTCGTGGCTGCCCACATCGTTGCCGAGAATGTCTTCTTGCGTGTTCTGTCCGCTGTACACGTAGAGAACACTGACAGTATCAACATCGCGCTCGGGCAGGTGATCGAGCAGATCCAGCGCCTTGACAAACTCGGGGCTAATTTCGCACTCGACCAGTCTCGGCGGCGCCATCGGTCCTCCAGTGAGCACCCGGTTCAAGGCGGACGGCCCAGAGACTGCGGCGTTATGCGTCGCAGTCGAGCTGTTGGCAGATTGTCCGCCAACGACCGCCTGGAGCGCACTCATCGTCACACCAGACACCAGCGTCGAGCCAGCACTGATGAACGAGGCCAGCTGGCTTCTTTCTTCGCGGTTGGATGGGAATTCGAGGTTGGACGCCGGTCCGACAGAATGCTGCACAACGCCAGAGCGCTGAATCGCCAAACCAGCCGAAACGCCCATGGAGCCTCCAGAGAGTGTTCCATAGCCGCTGCCACCACCAGAGGCAAGGTTACCCGAAGCCGCGTTTGCACTTGCGGTGCCGGTGGCGTTGATCGCCACGCCGCCAGCGCCACCAGCGCCACTGGCGCCACCAGCTCCTGTAGACGCGTCACTGCTTCCGCCGCCAACGCCAGGACCAACATTGACAGTCACAGATGTCTTTTCGGCATTTTGAGAGATGGCAACCACGAGGTCGGACACGGACTGGCTGATAATGTTCTCCACGTGCCATTGACCAAACTGGGAAAGCAGAATGCGGCCGGCTTGGAACTTGCTGGCCCCAGAGTACATGCTGGTCCGAGGAGGAGGCTTGAGGGACGTTTCGGGGTCTGGGAAGGGTGTCTGTAAAATGTCTAGAGTGTTGGCGTCTGCGCGGGACGCCTCGAGCGCAATTTGCTTGCTCAGGACCGAGTCTAACGCGTTTTGCAGGCCTTGGACCCAGGTACCGGCGACCAGCTCGGACATGCTCGGGACGAACGAGCTCAAAGGCTTGACAGCCAGGTCGATCTGTCCCGTGATGCCAACACGCCCGGTGGTCGGGTTTTCGTCTGCCGGATACCAGGGACGCGGGTCAAAGACGACAGGAAGCATGTCTTCGGGGTCTGGGCGGTTGGCAGGCACGACGCCCTTGTCCGTGAGCGCGACTTGACGCGAAAGATAGCGCAGTTCGACCGTCCACGAGTAACGGCCCGTGTGGTCGCGAGCGACGACTGTCACAGCCGGCGAGGACGACGGGGTGGGGCTCTCCATCAAGCACAACAGCGTGCCGTTGTCAATGGCAAAGTAGCGCAAGTAACCTTCGAGACGAGGCTTCTTTTCGGCGGGAGAAGGGAGCCCCATTGACAGCCGCTGGTTGATCGGAGAAGAAGCACCGGAATGGAACGGCGAGCCTGGCTCGTTTGCCGAGAGCGCCTGGGACTGGCGCAGCTGGTCTCGCAGCCCGCGAAGCAGATCGCGCTCTCGCGCCAGGGTTGATAGACATGCTGGTCCGGAAGAGGCCGGGAAGTTGCCGACATGGTTGGCGAGATAGACGAGAAGCAGCTCGGCAGCGTCTTTGACACGGCGCGACGCCGGATGGGCCTTTTTGACTGTCTTGGCCATGCCAGGGGGCACAATCGAGACGCCGGCCACCAGCAAAGCAGTGGTGTCAGTGCCACCCTCCGCGCCGTCGGCTCGGGAGGCTTTGGCGAGTGATTGAGCCTCGTCGCCGTGCGCCTCAGGCACGCTCGGCCTGCGTTGTTCGCCATTTTGCTCTTGGGCCGCATTGTCCGAGGCCGTCGTCGGCTTGTGCGGCTCCACTTGGGCGGTGGTGGCTGGATTGGTAGCAGCGGCCGTCTTGTCCGCGCTGCCGCGACGGGACCTGCTGGCAGAGTCATCGAAAGTGACGGTCGGCGGCGGGGGGTTTGGCTGCGGTCCGAACGGGGGCGGGATGAGAATTTGCTGCGGCGTCGGCGCCGAGGGGTATGGTGGGATAAAGTCCATTGTCGGGGGCACGACCAAGTTGATAAACCCGTTGTCGTCCGCCTCCCGCGACTGCTGGCCAGTGAGACCAAGCTCGATAGCCTCAATCACGGCTTCGAGACACTGCCGATCGCGCATGAGCCACTGGTCGGTCAGAATCCACGCAATAACGCAGTGGTATGCAGCGACAATCATCGAGTGCAAATCGCGGGTGTGGCGCTGCGTTGGCTGGTTGGCCTGCTCCTCAATGTACCAGCAGAGAGTCAAGACCAAGTCACGAGCGAGGGTGGGGTCGCATCCCTCCAGCTTGCGATGCAGCGATGCAGCGCTCGACAAGACGCCAAAGGCAGCGTGTGTAACATCGGGTGGCCACGAAAATTGTCGCAATTGTTGCAGAATTGTGCGGAAGGCACGGGAGCCGACCAGTGGGTTGAGCTCAATGTCCTCGTACACAATCACAAGCATCGAATACAGCAGGATCTGCCAGTTGAGATTGTCCGTTTCGGTGTCGAGTGCGAGCAAAAACACTTCCACCGTGCGTTGCTTGAGCTGGACGAACGACAGGGGCTCAGAAAGTGGCATGGGCACGGATGCGTCTCGAGATATCGCAACGCCTGGAATCGAGTTGTATCGGCGGTTGATCTGAGGTTTTGTCGCCTCGCGCATGGACGTCCGCGTGGCCAATCCGGGCTGAGGCTCCTCCTGGCCCATGTCCTCGCTCGTCACGCGCGTATGCCACTGAGCAGAGGGCTTGCCAAGCGTCGGTGATATGGACGACGCTGAGGCCTTTGGCTGAGTGCTGCCGCTGCCTGCTTCCGTGTCGGAGGCGCCTGTGGTCAAATCGTCCAAGGACGTGCCGATGGCGTTCGAGTACGACCCTTGGCGCGCAGGCCGAGGCGGCGGCGGACTGCCATCGACCAAATCTAAGGTGACTTGAGGGTTGGGGCTGCGCGGCGAATCGCTGGAACCGATCGGTTGCAGGTCGGTGGCTTCGACGGCGAGCATGTGATCCCGGAGTTGGCTAAGCTGTTGCTGCTGCTCGACTTGGAGCAGCGAGAGCTGCTGTTGATGCAACGCCAGTGCGAGTTGCAGCGGGGTCTGCAAGCCCGATTCCGCCGAGAAGGCGGGCTCTGGGCTGAAGCTGGCGTCGCCTGGCGGAAGGCCAATGGCGCCAGACGTCACGGTGAAATCAAGCGCAGAGAGCTTAGCGCCCGAGCTGACCTTGGCGGCAATGGAGGGCGAGTTGCTGACTGCAGCGGCAATGGTGCTGGTTGGCTGCTGAATGGGGAGCTCCCAAAAGTGATATGGCAGGCTAACAATGGTGTTGAGCAGCTTGATGGAGGCGCGACGCAGCTCGTTCACGGGTGTATCGTGGAACACGGACATGCTTTGCTGCTGACGAGGGCGCAGACACAGGATGGCTTCGATGGTGCCTAAAAAGGACGGCACGAGCATGCGGCAGCCCTCCAGCTCGAGTGGGAAGAGGCGTCCGCAATACAGAATGATGGCCGTCTGGGCCAGCGAGTCTTGCCGAAGGCCGACCAGTAGCGCACAATAAAAGCGAGCCAGGTATTTTGGCAAAAACTGGTCTTCGGTTTGATATCGGAGCGAGTAGTGTTGTTGGTTGGTGAAAAGGCGACACAGTGCATAGTGTGCCTCCGCGCGGCCTTCTTCCAACCCGTTCGGCGCTGTGTGCGGGCTGAACACGGCGGCGAACAGCCAAGAGCCGAGCACATGCAAAATGCTGTTGCCCGATGGCCGCTTCCCCGCACGCGTGTCGTTCGGCGGTGGTGGTAGTGGCCGGACTTCATCGTCGGGAATAAATATTTCGACAAGCCGCGCAAGACCCTGCATGGCGCTAAGGAAGATTTTGGGATCGGCAATGTTGTTGGGGTCGTCGATCAAATGGAGCATGCGGTGCCATGACTGGATGACGCAATCGTCGGGCATGTCAATGACGCTTTGGAAGACAAGGCTGCCCTTGTGGTCGACGGTGAAGAACACGGACGCCGTCCCCTCGGTCTCGCCGTAAAGGATGCGCATCATGCGTTTTGTGAGTGCCTGGTTGGCCGCATTCCACACCGCGATGAGGCCCATTCGATGACGCCACTTGCAGCACATGACCTTGAACGAGGCCCACAGAGTGGGAGTGGGAAAGCACGAGGCACAGGCGCGCAGCCAAGAGTTAAAGATGGTGTTTAACAAACTGGGACAGAGCAGCTCGGCCAAGTCGCCCGAACGAGCCGGTTGCTGCAAGAGCGAATCGGCAATGCCAATCAGCGTCTTTAACAACACATCCCATGTGGCGGACGTCATTGTGTCGCCAATTGCGCGCAGGGCGTTCTGCACAATGTCAAGTGCCTTCAAGCAGAGCTCGGCGCGTTTGAAGGTGCTTTCCGGCTGGATTGTTTTCCGCGTCAAAAATAGTAGGCTAAAGTGTTTGAACATGATTTGGTAGTAGTGCTCTGGCGTGTCGAGGATGCAGGTTGGCACGGCGACGGTCGGGTAGTTTGAGCGACCTGGTAGCCAATCCTTGTACAAGTCTATTGTCTTTGCAATCGTGTCGGCATCGTCCAGAGGCAGTGCAAGCGACGTTCCAGTCACCTCCAGGATGAATCGCAGGTGTGCGTGGCTCGTAATGCGCTGGTGCACTGGCGCTGGCGGGTGCGCGGGCACTGGCGGTATTGCGCCGTTGAGCATGGTGGTGCCAAACGTCGGGTTGAGTGACGCGACGCCGCTCGCCCCGCTCCCACCAGCTGCCCCAGATCCTCCCGCCCCGGATCCCGCCCCACCAACCGCCGTGAGGGTTGCTGATGTGGACGGTGTTGGCTGTCCAGATGCAGCGCCCGATGATGCGATCGTACCCGTTCCGGCACCACCGAATCCTCCTGCCCCACCAGCTGTAGCAGCAGCAGCAGCAGCAGTTGCAGCAGCAGCAGCAGTACTCGCAGTGGTGGCAGACGCGAGCAGCACGTCGCGCGAGTGAATCAGATGGTTGACGACCAGCGACGCAATGCCGCGCCGGGCCTCCCACGGGAACGGCGTCAGCACGTTGGTGTCTGTCGGAAGTGGCGATTTTTGTGAACACATTGAACAAGAATTGAATTTGTCAGCTGTCAGTTTGAAACAACGAACGAAAGGTCGGAAAAACACGACGAAAAACGAAAACGAAGCCAAAAAAAAAAAAAAAAAAAAAAAAAAAAAAAAAAAAAAAAAAAAAAAAAAAAAGCGAATTTCAATTGAGTTTGAGTTGCATTGAGTGGCGAGGGGAGAGGGGGAGGGGGGGGGGCCGCGATCGCTGTGCTTGGGCTGCTGCTAGAAGAGGGGAGAGGAGGAGAAGGTCTTTGTTCCAACAAGGAATCACAAAGCGATGGGGGGCGAAGATGAAAAAAACGAAAAAAAAAAAAGCGCTTTGGTTTTTGCATTGGGTTTTGCATTGAGGCTAGCATTGAGGCTGCATTGGCGTTGGACGACCCTCTTCGCTCAGAGGAGGTGGCTTCAAACGACTCAAAGCCACAGGATGAACATGAACACAAAAACAACGGCACTCAGTCCGCCTCAGAACGCGCCGAATCGCAGAAGGATTGCCTGTGGAGAGATGACGCCCCTCTTGTCGCGCTCTCTCTCTGGGTCTTGCTTACCTTCATCGTGCTGGAGCAACCCGAGCTGGGCAATCCAGTCAAGGAACATTTGCCGCAGGGGGAGAGCGCGGAACGAAGCGTGCGGAGGCGAGGAATCGAAACGCTAGAGCTGCAGCAAAGAAGAAGAAGAAAAAATAAAAATCTAAGAAAATAGAGAAAAATAAAAATAGAAATGGACTGAGAAAATCAATTCTGAGATTGAGATTGAACGGATCGCGCAACAAAAAAACGCGCTCATTCGAGACAGCTACATTGAGAACTTTTGGTCGGTCGGCAACAAAACGATAGAAAACGAAAGCAACAACAAATAAAAAGAATAAATCATGAGGTGGAAAAGACTCGCTAGCTTCAGAAGATCAAACTAGGCCAGGAGGGGAGTGCTTGGGCTGGCCGGGCGATGGCCGATGGACTCGCGGGTCATCTGCGTGGCTGCGTAAGTGGTGTAAACGCGAGAGGTAGCCGAGTACACAGACCCAGTGGGCCTGAGAAATCGGACGCAATAGTCAGCAGACAAACACGCATTGTGAGGGCGGAGAAAAGAAGAAGAAAAAAAAGCTCGGCAGACCACAAAAGAGAACAAGGTTGTACAAAAGCAAAAACCACAAAAAGAAAACTTACCCTCGCGCGGCAAAGGGCTCGAGAACGCGATGCGCATCAAGTCGCCCGGAATTGGAGCGCTGCATCAGTTGCACCATTTCGACGGGATTGGGGTTGAATCCGAGCGCATACGCACGGAAGATGACCAGCGGGAACAGGCAAGCAACCGTAATCAGAAGCACGGTCAGCCAGTAGACGGGATCGCTAAAGAGCTTGAACATCAGCGAGTACATGGAGAGCGTGGGCACCAGCGAGGCGAGGGCAAACAGCACAAACACGGCAGCGAGCTGGCCCCAGATGGCCAGATGGTTGAGCCACGTGAAGGTGTGCGTCTCCAAGGCAACGTTGCCGATTTGCACAAAGATGGCCGCCGTGTAGGCGACCAAGGAAATGGTCTCTTGGTCCAGCAGTGTCCCGTCATGCAGAGCAAACTGCGCATTGTAGATGCCGAGCGTGAAAAACAAGGTGACGGCGGCCTGGTACAGCGCACGCACCATCCAACGCATGAAGATGCGAACATGGAACGCATGGCCTCCCTGCGACCACAGGTATAGCTCTGGGAAGGTCATGACACTCTCTTCCTCGACATCGCGATCAAAAATGTAAAAGATGACGGGAATGCCGGTGAACAAAATGTTGTAAAACGTCAAACTGATTGAGTTGAAGAAGCTTGCTCCTGAAAATCCCGACAAGAAGGCAAACCTGCACAACCCAGCAAGAGAGCGAAAATGGAGGAGGGAAAGGGGTTTCAATTTGGTGAGCATCCCGCCTCATCTGATCAAAATAGTTAGCGACAAAAAGAGAGTAGGCAGACCCACTCACATGAGTTGGATCAACGCAATATAAATAGACTTGTGGAAGCTGTAGAGGGCCACGAACGAAGTGCGGTTGTACGAGTATCGACCATGGATGAGCACCAGTCGCCGCAGAGCTTTGAAAACTGCCCAAACAAACAGCATCATCATCATCACCAAGAAACATTCAGCCATTTCGCGACAATTGTCCAACAACAAGACGCAATACCAAAACGACGACAATCTTACACGGAACGCTGTAGTCGGCCGCTCGTGCCGCCTGCAGACCTTCTTTGCCGTTGATGCCAATGCCAATGTGCGCTTCTTGGATCATGCTGACATCGTTGCCACCGTCACCAATCGCGAGAGTCACACGCGTGGTGCGACGCGTACCACGAGACACGGCACGTTGGTGATTGGCAAAGCGCGCATCCAAATCGCTCGAGTCGCTTTCTTCCTCGCGCAAGCGCGAAAAGCCGCTTCCTGCTCCGAACGGCGTGTCGGACGCACCAGTCGACGAGCAGCAGGAGCGCAATGTTTGCCAGCCCTCGGAAATGCCCTCGGAAATGCGCTCAGACCACGAGAGCGGCGGTGGTGTATCGCCTGGGCTGGCGGGGACAAATCCATCGTACTTGACCAACGCCACCACTTGTGCCTTTTGCTGAGGAGTGACGCGGCAGCAAATCACAGTGTGCGCTTGCAAAGACAGCTGCAAGAACAATTCGGGGAGGGCTTCCAACGCCACTCGCAAGGTTGAACCCTCAATAATAACAGAAAATTGGATGGGGAGCGGCTGGGAGCGGGAATGGGACTCTCGCCCGGCATCACTCGCACTGCGTCGGTGGGTCTCTTCCTCGGAATTCGCGTACAAGGCTGCACTGTGGCGGTTTTCAGGCGAGAGCATGCGCTGCACATGCAAAAGATGCTCTTGAACGGACGCCCGAACTTGCTCGGCCGTTGTGCCACGAACGGGCAGCAGCTCGCCGTGCGGCGCAGGCGTCATCAAATTGCAGCTTGTGGCAATTTGCACGGCAGTCGCGTACTTGTCGCCAGTCAGCATCCAGAAGCGGATGCCAGCCTGTCGCAGCATGGAAATGGTCTGCGGAACTTGATCCTGGAGCTTGTCTTCAATGGCGCTCGCACCGAGCAGCGCAAGGCCTTGTTCGATTTGCGCATAGCAAGCGGCAAGCTGTCGATCGCGGTCCTGCATCGCAGACTTGGCAGCAAGCAGTTGCTTCTGCCACTCGGCAAACTCGGCCTCGCTCACAGGACGTTGAGCAATGCACAACGTGCGCAGTCCGAGCTGCGCGTACGTCTCTAGTTGTGGTCGGGTTGCATTGATAACTCGGGCGGCGCCAAGCACCGCAGACGGGTCGAACGCCGTGCTCGCAGCCGCCTCACCGCTGTCAGCAGAAATGCTCGGCTCCAAGTTCAATCCAACCGCGGCAGAGTCAGTTCCAAGGCAGCGAGGAAGCACAGTGTCGTCAGCACCCTTGGTGAACAAGAACAGCTTTTGCGTCAACGGGCCCTCGACACCGCGGACAACCACAGACATGCGCTTGCGGTCGGACGAAAACTCGAGGACAGCCAGTATCTCGTACTTTTCAACCGACCCGCAAACCGAGATGGTGACAATCGATCCCTCGCGACGCAACAGCTTGATGCGCATCTTGGCCGCCGCCTTGACGAGGGCCTCTTCGTCGGGAGACGACGCCTGGTAGACGAGCTCGCTCTCGTCTTGGCCTGGAGCGGAAACATGATGCTCAAAAGCTGCTCCGTGAGATCGAGCATGCTGATGCGCTTGCATGGAAGTCGCAGGGACAACCGTGTGACACACAGCAAGGACGCGGAAAAAGCTCAAGGCGGCAAAGGCGTCTGCAGAAGCAGACATGGAGCCACGCGGCGAAAGGCTGGCCGAGGCAGCTTCGGCGACCATGGCCTTCAGCCGCTCATCGTCCAATGCACTCAACTCGCCATCGGACCAAGTCGAGTGCTGTGGAACGTTGGCATGCTCTGTGGACGGCATGCTCAGCGATCCATACGTGCTGCCGTGAATGGTGCAAAATTTGAACTCCATCACATTTTCCGTCAACGTGCCCGTCTTGTCGGTGAAAATGTACTCGATTTGGCCCAAGTCTTCGCTAATGGCTGTGCTGGTGGCATGAGCGCCGATGTTTTGGCGATCATCCCACAACGCCAAATCCCAATCAATGAAGACGGCATACGAGTACTTGCAAATATCCATCGTCACCTAATCAAGGAGAGAAAAAGGAACGAATGAAGCAAGGAGGAATGGGAAGAGGTGCGAGGGAAGGATGGCATTTTTGCCAGCGTTGTTTTGCAAAACGAAGCTCAAACTCACTTTCAACGAAATCGGAATCATGAGGGAGAGAAGCAGCAGCATTCTCAACGGAATGACAAACCAGTCGTACCAGTCTCGCACAGCTGGCACCAAGAGGTACCACGCCTTGCAGCAACGGAAAAAAGTAAAACGGAAAATAAACACCGAGTGTCAGAAATGATGCGCAAATCGCAAATGCATCATCAAAATACACCTACTTCGTGAGACTCTTGTTCGTCCACAACATCGCCACCAAAGCCAAAGCTGAAGGACAGGAGCAGTTGAAGGCAGAAGACGAATGCGGAAACAGCATTGACGCTCTGATCCAGCTTTGTCCATTTGATCGGCGGCGCGGTTTTGTTCATACCAAGCTTCGTTTCGTTGCCTACGACAAGAGGGGTCCAACAAGGAGAAGAAGAGTTGGGGTCAGAAAACACGACCAAATACAAAACAAAGTTCACCAAAACAACAAAAAAAGTTTAAACCACCCTCCATCAACATACCAGTGTAGACAGCAAGAGCGATGGCCCATGCAGTGTTGCGCAAGTGCGTTCCTTGCAGAAGCAACTGGGCAGAACTGAGCGATGCGGGTGCGGGAACAGAATGAGGAGAGGAGCGGTAGGCATTCAGGTGACGAATGTCTGTAAAGAGCCGCGAGTCAAAGCGGTAAACTTCTGGGTTTGGTGCTGCGCACTCAACCACGCCCGTGAAAGCCAACAGGGCTTCTTCAGACATGGCGTGCGTGTCTTTCAACGAAAGACGGGTTTTCAGGTCCGTTTCGCCGTCAAGATTAGCGGTCTGGATGTAGCACAGGCCCTCGGCGCCTTCCGCTGAGGTTTTAAGGACTACTGCATCGCAAGGCAGTTCATTCTCGTTCTCCAGGTAGATAATGTCGCCGACATGAATGTCGGACGCCTTGATGGTTTGCCACACTCGCGGCGCACCCTCCACGCCGCCTTCCAAGCGCGCGACCGTTACAGGACGACTGTTTGCGCGAGCATCGGCAATGTGACGAAGGCGATCGTCCACCGCCTCCTTGGCGGCTGAAATGGCAACGATAAATATGAGCGGAACCCACGTCGTGAGCGGGTTGACGGGCGTCAGTGTTGGAAACAGCTGCAGGATGGCGATGAGCAGAAAGTAGCGATTCATAAACCGGCTGCCAGGTTTCGAGCAGTCAACGCGTGTCATGATGCCAGCCAGCCAAGTCAAGAAATAAGAGGATGGAAGGATTTTGACGTCCATTCCAAAATAATGATCACAACGAATGCAGACCACAACGTGAGTGAATTCAACATCCAAACTGGCCACATCGATACAAGAGATCAGATGGATCCATCTAACAATGCTACGTCGCTCAGAAAGCAAAGCGCAGGCGAAAAAGGAGAATGGCCGAAAACGAATGACTCTCTCCACATCGGCAGTCAACGCTGAATCCCCTCACCTGAACTGCTCGTAGAGATTGAACGGGATGAACGTGAACAGCGTGTACTTTGAGTTGACAATGCGGTTGTCTGGGAAGCCGGCATTGAGCGCGGCCTGGTTGGCAGCCACAACGCGCGTTGGTCGCTGATCGGCCGCGCTGTCGTCATCCTCGCCGGACTCCGCTGCTGCAGGCTGCAAACCAAAGCACACACCAACGAGAAACGATGAGAGTGAGGCAGCAATGAGAACGAATTGGGGGTGTTTTCAAGTGGGCTTTGTGTGCGTGATGGTTGAGTGGAAAGGGCGTGAGTGAGTGAGCGAGGAAGAGGTGGTGCAAAACGGGTGAAGCGTTTGGGTTACCAGGCCGCGGAGACGTCGCCACGAGCGCTGCACGAAGGACATTGTTGGAGAAACACTTGTCAAGGTGTGCGCTGTTCGAAGGGGGGTCGTGTGTGGGAAGGGGGCCCGAGAGACGGAGACACACGCGATCCCAAAAATGCCGTGATAACAGAAAAAGAAAACGGAAAAAAAAAAAAAAAAAAAAAAAAAAAAAGACTGGGACAAGATTGAGAAAAATGGCTTTGGATCGAATGTGATGCCGGCTTCCAAGGCAGTGGGCAGTGCAGTTGCTCCAGCACTCTTTGAAAGAGATCGGAGAGGATGGATCTTGTTTCAACGGGCATCGTCCGAGATACACAAACACTAAATCTCGCAATTCGAACAGGCGGTTTGGTGCCTGTTACCCCGCGACGGGTCAGATCTCGCAACAGTTCATGCATTATCGACAATAGAGCACACTTGGAGTAAAGAAAGTGGGCTGGCAACAACATCAAGTGCAATAGATACGTTTTTCATTTCAACTTTTTCAACCATTTTTCAACCGTTTTCAACCATGCTCCACAACTTTCATACTTTCTTTCAACACTGCCTCATCGGCACACTATCATCCACATAACATTGTACTTGTGCAGTCAATCAATCGAATAAGATTAACCTGCACTTAGTGCTTTTTGGAAAAGAATCCCGTCTTCCTACAGTACCAATTGTTTTCCACAAAGAACTCGGCATTAGTAAAAGCATTAGACCACAACAACACTCGCACAAACATTGGAGAAATGTCGAAATGACGTACTTTGGGGTTCGGTTCGAAGTGTGCACAATGCTTGGGGCCATGGCTCCATTTCCTTGAACTCCAACGCTGCACTGTAGATTGTGAAAAATCCAACAGAAGCAAAATGAAACATGTGTTTCGCCCGCAGAAACAAAACGCCTTTCCGAGATTCAAAACCCCCTTCCCCGTATTGTCTCACCTTTTCGCGAATGCTCTCGGACTTGGACTTGGTCGAGGAAATGGAAGACACGCTGCCGGTGCTGTCTCGGCGAGTGGACTTGCCACGAAGAAGCTCGACACTCGCTACGCTGACATTGTCGCCTCCATTCTCATACTCGTCGCTATCTTCATCGTCATCACTGTCGTCGTCGGCCCCAAAGCTGCGAACGGACATGCTATCGCCGCCAAGGGAGCCGGTTTCAGCAGCCCTTGCTTCGGCCAACTCGCGGGCATCCTCGCCGGTGGCCACGACAGCCGACGCGGGGAAGGCCACGGGAGGATCGAGCGGAGAGCCTGCCGACAGCGACTCCACGCCAGTCAGCTGCACAGAGATGCCTTGCGAGCTGATGGACTTGGACACCGTGCCCTTGTACAGGCTACTGGTCAGCCGCTTGTTGTCATCAATGTCTTGGTGATGCACAACGTACTGCGGAGTCTTGACCTTCTTGGTGAACTTGGTCAGCATGTTCTTCAGGCTTGGGCTGGCGGTTGTTTTCTTGTTCGGAATGATGGGCGACATGATCGTGTCGGGCTCAATGGTGCCGTCCGGAACGTGGTTGAGCACACGCGGCGCCGATTTCTTGCGATCGCGCTCCGACACGGTCGGGTCGCGGATGCCCACGTTGGACAGCGAGACGACGCTTCCACTAGCAGTGTTGTTCCCGCTGACACCGGCCAGCAAGGAGGACGATGAAACAGCCGCCACGGCAATCTGGTTTAGCTTTGCGGCAGCGCCGTTTTGCTTGAGCAGACGCACTTGATCCAGAACAGGCTCCAGATGGCTGGGCGCTTCGAGCAGATGGCGGATTTCGTCGAGCTTGCTGTTCAGCTTGGTCTTGAGGTCGCGCTCGAGGAATAGCTGGCTCTCGACGGCACTGAGCTCCTTGACCATGCTCGACTCCATTTCTCGCTTCCAGCCTTCCTTTTCTTGTTGGATGCGCTCGACGACCGCCAAGCGCAGCTCGTTCATTTCGCGCTTCTTTTCCTCCTCGAGCTCCTTGAACGCAATCTCGAGCGAGTGAATCTCCTTGCTCAATGCTGCATTCTCCACCTCGGCCTGCTCCTTGGCGGCGGCACCTCGGCGAATCTCTCGCTCCTGCATCTCAAGGCGCTGAAGCATTTCCTCCTGCGCACGCTCCTTGTGCAAGAGTTCTTGCTGCACGCGCTTGTTTTGCTCCTTCAAAGCGGCGCAAGTATCCTCCAACGTCTTGACCTGGGAGTAGCAGTCAAGCAATCAGAGACGGCATTTGAGTACAAACAAGTTTCGAAGAACAATGCACACTCGAGTCAAAGGGGACACTGTCGTTACCATCGAGTTGAGGATTTGGCTGCTCTGATGCGCCTCGGTCAAGGCTTGCGTACTCTCAGCCAACGAGCGTTGCAGCTCTTGAATGCGCAGTTCCGCTTGACGTGCCCGCTCTTCCATTGTGTTTCTGTACGTTTGTTCTGGATGGATCAAGTCACCGAAGGGGGGAATCAGTGACGCTTGTGTGTTGGTTTTCCAAAGAAGTGCTGAATTTCACAAAACTACCATACCTTGAGCTTGAATCACCTTCTGGGCTTGCTTAAAGTGGGAATCATAGTTGCGCGTCAACAAGTCAACTTGAGCACGAAGTTGGGCTGCGTGACGGTCGAGGGATTCTTCTCCGCTGAGAAGCTGTACACAATTTTCAGTGAGACTGACTTGTTTTCAACAAACAAACCGCCCCAAGGTGTTCAAACGCAACACCACCACCCTTCAACTTCAACTTCTTACATCTCGTGTCATGTCTCCAATGACAATTGACGGGCGACCAACACTGACAGAGCTCCATGCCGAGCTTGACGCTGTCGAAGTTGGCGAAGTCTGCTGGCCGGTACGACGAGCCTTTCGCGCTTCCGTCTCACGAACTGGAGACCCCTCATCGCTCTCACTCTCGTCAAACGTGCGCTTGCTGGAGCTTGCGGCATTCGTGGCGGCAAGGGAAGAAGACGAGCCTGAACGTTTGAGGGCCGATGATGACGATGTAGCAGCGGCGCGGCGTTGGGACGCTGCGCGCTCCGTTTCAACATCCTCATCGTCTTCGTCGTCGGCAGCGTCAAAGCGAAGGGCGGCTTTGGCCTTGTTGATGAGCCGATTTGCCTCACCTCGTCCAGGAGTCAACCCAGTGTCGTGCTTGACGGGCGTTTGAACGACCGTGCTAACATCTTGCGCCACGTCCGAAAACTTGAGCACCTGGATGGTTTCGTCGTGTTCCACAGCCGCGGGGTTGACGCACACAATCATGGCCACCTTGCCGTGGCCTTCAAAAAAGTTTTGGAAGAGATGGGTGAGCTTGCTGCCTCGGTAGATGACTTTTTTGGGCGTGGCTGCGGGACTGTCCACGTCCTGCACCATGCTGGTGTTCAAGGAAGCCGATGCGCTCTGTTGCACGGCACGCAACTGATTGAGGCACGCATTGAGCGCCATCAGGGACGTGTTGATCGCGCCTGCCTCAATCAAGCGCTGGCCAGTGTTCTTGGTGCGCGCGCAGCGTTCAGACCCCGCGAGGTCGACGAGAGAGAGCGAGCTCACGCGAATAAACTTTGGATTGAGAAGAACTTGACCGCCAGTGGCGTCCAGAGGAACACACACCAGCCGGATGCCGAAAATGGAGTGACTGCGACTCGACTCGTAGTTGAGCTGAGTTGACGCGACCTGGCGATTGCGCTGACCGAGACGAAGGAGCTCAAACGCCTCCTCGGTCGACCGCACTTCAACCTCGCGCAACCCTTTAATGTACCGACTGTGAGCCGTGTCTTGAGCAATTGGTCGCGAGGTGCGCTTGAACGTGGACGATGTGGCCGGCGCCTCTTCGAGCAGATCGTAGCAGTGCTCATTGTACACCTCCGCGTAGGTAACCATGACCGTGTAGCAACAGTCAGGATCAACCTCAAGCACGGTGCCGTCTGACAGAAGGCGCGCGCCATCAGCGCCGTTCTCATGGACAATGTCCTGACCAAACTGCACGCGTCGACCGCTCTTCTGCGCACTAGCCTTGGCTTGCCGGCGCTCTTCGATTGCCTTGGCTTCGCTTTGCAAGGTGAATCCGTTGGTGCCGTTTGGCTTGATTGTCTGCAACGCAGAAGGGCACAGCACATGTGTATGTGTGTGTGTGTCGCAGAGTTGTCAGGACAATTCTTGACTCTAAAAAATACACCAAAAAACAACACCTACCATGGGACTGGCTTGCTGGGAGCGAACGCTGTTGAACACCACGTCGAGCACGCGTCCGAGAATGCCGGGCTCGGTCGGAGTTCCCTGCATGGTGTAAGTCTTGCCGGCATTGGTGATGCCGTAGGTGAAGAGCAGACTGTCGTAGCCCTGGACAAGGTCGCGCACAAGCCGCGAAGTTGTCGTGTCGTACACTTGACGCTGTGTTGCGCGTTGGTCAAAGACGTGGGTGAAGTTGTACTTGACCAGTGCCCGTGCTTGGCCGCTCCTGTAGTATGCCGAGGTCTGAGCGGACAAAAGTGCCAACAAAGAAAAACATGCAAGGTTGAAATTTTAGTTTGGACTCTGGCACGAAGGCTTTGCACATAAAGACGTAGTACGTACAGGAGGTGCTTGAACGCCCACCGTGGAAGAATCCAAAATGTCAATGCAAGTCTCAGTGTCACCCTCGACTGGGCGCATGCGCAGATAGACCTACAACAACGCAGAAAACCCGTGAAACGTTTCCAAAGTGAATCAATTCAATGTCACTTGAACACACAGCTTGCGTGTACTCGGCATCATCCTCACCTTCAATGGCTCTCGTGCAGGAGCCGACGTCAATGCGACTGCAGCAGCGCTGTTGACGATTTGCGACGCGAGCGACGAGGTTGACCGCTCGTCCGCCAGCAGCGCGTCTGTTTTCGCCTTGCGCCATCCACTGTCAAGAAAGCGAGAAAATACAAAAGCAAGTTAGTCACTGCCACATTGACAAGATAACGAAACAACAATCAATTTGGGAGAACTAGTTTTGGTCAAGATTTCAAGTCGTCGGAGGTTGAAGGCGGGAACGTTGAGCAGAGAAGTCGAATTTTGAACATTTTTTGCGTCGTTTCTCCCCCATCGCAGCTTGGTTGGTTGTTCATCACAGAACAAGTATTGTACCGTGTTGATGTTTATTCTCATCCTCCAACTAGCTTTAACTTGAGCGAGGAAAACAGCATCCGACAATAAAAAAACTCTCGTTTGCAACAGTTTGAAACAAAAAAAAACAATCGAAAAATTCAAACCGTTTCACTTTCGTTTCGTTTTGAACTTTGCCGTTTTTTGTGTTCTTTTTGTTGTTGTTGTTGTCCAGCTAGTGCTTTCATTGTGCTTTCGCTCACATATTCACCCAGTGCTCAACATCAAGTCGCGCTTCTGAAGTGCGTATCGCTGCGTCGCGGTTCAAACGGCAGCGAGCGGAAAGGAACGGAAACTCGAAAAAACCGCCATTCTTCACAGACACCATCAGGTAGGTCCATACATTGGATGCGTTGCTGCTTCACTGTACAATACACGCGCTCAATCGTTTTCCAGGATGGTTGAGAGAAGTAAACTTACGAAGGATTGCTGAGTGCCGATCGAAGCAACGGCGTGTCCAACATCTTTGCTTTGCCCTTCACGTCCGACATGCTGGTTTGGTTTGTCTTGTGTTGCTATGTGTGTGTCTTTGCCCCCTTTCGAGTGTTGCCGATGTGCCGAAGTGTGAGCCGAATGGGACGGTGCCGAACTGTTGCCGAATGGTTGCTGGACAACAACAAAGAATCTGCTTTGTTCCGAACAAAAAAACTTGTTTCAAAAAAAATGAATGAATTGATGGATGAATTTCACCTCAGGCTCAGACTTGAGCAAAAATATAGATTTATTGTTTGAAAATGATGCTTTTGAAATGGACAGAAAGAAGAAAATCAAAAACGACATTGAAAGGCTTAACGAGAATGAACAGATTCCACCTAAAAGCGCAACGACGTATTTTAGTGCGCAGGCGGGTACGCGCCGCCATAATAGGCTGCAGTCGGCGGTGCGCTGTAGCTGCCGCTGGATGAAGGAGGTGCGCTGTAGCTGCCGCTGGATGCCGGTGGTGGCATGCCGGCGCTGCTGCCGTAACCGGAAGAGTGGTGGCCATTTGAGTGACCGTTGGAATAGCCGCTGCCTCCGCTCGAATAACCGCTGCCACCGCTCGAGTAACCAACAGGCTCAGTGTTGGCACCGGTGCGGCTGCTGGCGCCGCCAAAGCCGCCACGACCGCCAAAGCGACCAGGTGGGCCACGGCGAGCTGCAAAACACACAAACAAAAAAAAAAAAAAAAAAAACAACGAAGTGGAAAAGAACGGTCAGTTTTGTTGGTGCTATTCAATGGCCAAGGCAGACAAGGGCAATTCATCCACTTCAAACTTACAATCACCACCACGACCAGTCAGGGCTTGGAGCGCCGGCGGGATTTCTTGCTCGGCCTCGCGAAGGACATTGACGAGATCGCGAGCGCGACCAGCATCGTCGCGGGTGAAGAGTGTGTACGAGGTACCGGTTGCCTGGGCACGCGCAGTACGGCCGATGCGGTGCACATAATCTTCAACATTGTTGGGGAAGTCGTAGTTGATGACAAAGCGAATGTCCTTGACATCTTTGGGTAGTAGAAATCCAACCATGGTAGCGAGGTCCCAAAAATATGCGAGATGTGAAAATGAGTTAAAATCTGTCCATCATCAAAAAGAGCCATCTGGAGAATGGCGCATCGTTATCGATGCACAGGAAGCGCGGGTGTTTGATTTTCGGTAACATTGCAATGGATCCATCAAATGCACGGATCGGACATTGGGTCAAAGCCGTTTGGCAAAACGACTTCATTGAATCCAATACTGAAACGGTCACACGATGTCGCAAAGCAATGCAAAGAGGTAAAAAAAAATAATGAAAAAAATAAAAATAAAAAAGGTGGCAGAAAAAAAAAAAAAAAAGAGAAAGTGGGGTGTGGAGACCCAAACACACAGTGACGAGCACGCATAGAGCAACGCACAAACCAAGAAAAACAACGAGAAACAAATACATGCAAGCTTCAAGTCACAGTTCGGGGAAGAACTGTGCACAACTTGAGCAGAAGCTTTGTTTGCATTGAGGAGTTTCCCGATGGATGACGGTTGGTTTGTGAGCAGGTCCATGAGCTCAGGGAGTGTTTGAGCCTTGAGGAGGAGTGAAGCCGAATGCCGTGCCGCGGGGGGAGGTGAGAGAACCAGCGGGTCGTGGCGAAAATCGGGGCCGGTTTTTCTTTTTCCTCCATGCGAAAAGGTCTTCCAGCATTGTGTGGCTCGATCAGCAGCACGAGCATCATTCGTAGATACTCGCGCTGCCAGTCACAGCGGTGGGTGGGGGTTCCTCGACATGCCCATCTCTCAGCCACGCAAATCCATGTATTTCTCAACGAAACCTAGCCCTCGACCCCTTCCACCTTGCCAAACCCCACTCGCCAAACCCCAACCCCAACCCAACCCCCTTCCTCTCACCCTCAGCATTGTCCTCCTGGAATCAAAAAACTTACCCAAACCGCGGGAGGCAACGTCGGTAGCAATCAGAATGTCGCACTTGCCAGCCTTGAACTCGGCAAGAACCCAGTCACGCTCGCTCTGGTTCTTGTCGCCGTGAATGCTCATGGCGTTCCAGCCGCTGCGGCGCATACGGCGAGTGAGATCGTCGGTGCCGCGCTTGGTCTCGGTGAAGATGATGGTCTTGTGGTCGGGCTGGGTGACAATCGAGGCGAGGAAGGTGAAGAGCTTGCCGTCCTTCTCGTGGTCCTCGACGACGTCGACGAGCTGGCGGATCTGGCGGTTGGCAGAGAGCGAGAGCGAGCCAATGTTGACTTGGATGTAGTCCTTGAGGTACTCCTCGGCGAGAATGCGGACCTCCTTGGGCCAGGTGGCACTCCACATGAGCGTCTGGCGGTCGGGGCGGATTTGGCCCACAATTTCGCGGATTTGCGGCTCAAAGCCCATGTCGAGCATGCGATCCGCCTCGTCGAGCACGAGGTAGGTGGTGCGGCGGAGGTTGGTGTGGCCGCCGTGCAGCATGTCGATGATGCGACCGGGCGTGCCAATGACAATTG